ATGATTTTGTGTACTCAATTTCCTACACCTACTGTAGCCGAGTTGACTGAAGCCACTGCTAATGCTACGGTGTTTAGTACTTGTGATTGTACGTCTGGGTATCATCAATTGCCGCTTAACCCAGATCATGCTGAATTGACTGGTTTTGTTACCAAGAAGGGTGTGTTCAAGTACAAGGTATTGCCTATGGGGATTTCTAGTGGTTGCTCTGAGTTTCAGAAGGTGGTGTCTAGTATTTTCAAGGACTATGTTGGTAAATTCGTCTTAGTATTTTTGGACGACGTCTTAGTGTACAGCAAGAGTATGGATGAACATGCTCATCATTTACGTCTGTTATTTGAAGCTTGTGAAAAAGCGAATCTCAAGTTGAAGCGCAAGAAATGTTTCTTTGGCCGCGACTCAGTTGAATACTTGGGCCACTGTATCGGTAGTCAAGGTGCTTCCCCTGGATCAAGAAACGTAGACAAGATACGTAACTTTGAGGTGCCTTCGTCAGTGGCTGTTTTGAGAAGTTTTCTTGGTTTGTGTAATTATTTCCGCAAGTATGTTGAAGGTTATGGGTCTATTGCTTCTTCTCTGACCAAGTTAACGAGAAAGAATGTACCTTTTGTCTGGGGTAATGATCAACAAGATGCTTTTGATACTTTGAAGAAGGCTCTCTGTTCTGCTCCGATCTTAGCTTTCCCGGATAAGGAGAAATATCAGGTGTTGTCTGTGGATGCTAGCCACAAAGGTTTGGGTGCTGTGTTGTCCCAATGTGATGATCCAAAGACTCGTGCAAATGAGAGAGTGGTGTCTTATGCTTCTCGTGGTTTACGTGGTCCTGAAGCCCGCTGTCATGAACCAAGCAAGCCTTGTTAACCTTAGCACGCTTGTCTCAGTGTTCCAACCTTTAGTTCCAAGCATCAAGTTACCAGCATCTAGTTACCAGCATCCATGGCGTAGTTTTAAGGTAACAATGCCAAGGCAAACAATGCCACTTTCCCATGTACAAATGACTCAGTCCTCAGGTCATGAGGTAGAACGCATTGCCAAGCCTCGTCATGTTATGACTTAGCCCCTTCCTCACATATATTTCATGCTACCTCAACATTAGTATAAATAGTTTAGTTATTCTGTCGTTGAGTTACTTCTTCGTCAGTTATATTATCAACTTATAGTATAATAAATATCTCTATATTCTCTAGCCAATTGATAAGCTCATCTTGCCTATAAAGTATTCTTCGGTCTGTCTTGTTCCTGACAGCCTGCCTGGCATCCCGTGGCCTATGAGTCCAAGAAGTTTTCTTCAGCAGAACGCAATTATCCTGCTCAGGAAAGAGAACTGATGGGTATTCTACATGCGTTACGCACATGGCGCTGTTTCCTTGACGGTTGTCGTGGAGGATATAAAATATTGACCGACCACTTACCAAACTGTTACCTACGAACCCAAGAAAAGATGAGCCCAAGATTGGTTAGATGGATGAACGAGCTTGAGCTTTATTCACCTACCATTGAATACAAGCCTGGTAAGGAAAACAACGTGGCAGATGTGTTATCTCGACTTGGTGGGCCAGAATCGGAAAGCGCCGATACATCCTTGGAACCTGAATTCTTGTATGCCACTTGGACCATGAAAGAAGCACCGGAATCGATTCAAAATGATTGGCCTATGTTGTATTTTGACCTGAATAGAATCAAATCTGCTGTGTTACGCAGATATCTCGAAGAACGACAAGACAAATTTGTCGTGAAGGATAAAAGGGTGTACCACTTGACCCCTATTGATGACAAGCAAACACTGAAAGCCGTTCCCTTTGTTCCTTTTGTGGCAAGAGCCGATTTGGTTGCACAATACCATGAATCCAATGGCCATGCTGGTTTTGAAACAATGGTTAAACTGTTTACACCTCGCTTTTGGTGGCCAAGCATGAGAAAGGACCTGAAAGGATGGTTGAGGACTTGCCTAGCTTGCCAAGTAAATAGCCGTCCGGGGCACATTCACCACGATGTCATGCATCCACTTAAGGTACCCTCTGCATTTGATTGCTGGCATTTAGACTTCATTGGCGAATTACCATTAACGATGAAAGGAAACCGGTGGCTACTCGTGGCGGTAGACTATGCCACAAACTGGCCCATTGCTCGTGCTGTCCCTGTTGCCACAAAAGAAACGGTTGCTAACTTTATATATGAAGAAATCATGATGCGTTTTGGTTGCCCTTCAGAGATATTAACTGATAGAGGTTCCAACTTCAATAGCGACCTGGTAAACGCCTATCTAAAACGTGTGGGTACCCTTCATAAACTGACTTCGGCATATCATCCTCGAACACACTCCAAGGTGGAACGTTTCAATGCTGTAATAAAAGGAATGCTTCGCAAATATGTAAATGGCGCCTTACACCGCTGGGATGACTATGTCAACGCTGCACTCTGGGCCTCAAGAATACGCGTACACTCAACCACTGGGTATAGTCCGTTCTTCCTGACTTATGGACGTGAACCTAGACTACCCGGTGATGCACTTGTGCCGTATATTGATAAGAAAACATTTGAAGATGAGCGAACAGTAGCTGATATCACTTCAAGAGAATTGGCTGATCTCGGACAACACCGTGCAGCTGCTGAATTCCGCATGAAAGCCATGGCCGAAAAAGACAAAGACAAATGGGATTCACAAATCAAGAAGGTGACTTTTGAAGTCGGTGATAAAGTCATGCTCACTCACGAAGGACGATATGGTCTCGAACCACAATACAAAGGTCCCTACATTGTTGTTCAGACTTTTCCGGACTTTGGTACATACAAACTACAGACTTTAGCAGGAGAGCCTTTGAAATCGTTGGTACATGTGGATCGATTGCGCATAGCAAATGGCCATACAACATCTACACCTTGGTATGATCCTTTAATAGCTAGACAAGAATGGCGACAGGTCATGACAAACATCGGACGAGCTGCCGTTGTGCCCTCAATTCCTCCTACAATTGTTGATAACGAGTTAGTCACGGAAGATGCATCAAATAATTCACTCATGCCTACCTCAAATGATACTGATCAAGATGACTCGCCCGTACTAGCTCCAACTCTGGCTTCTGAAGATACAAACAGTGCTCCGATCATGCCCACTGATCGTCCAACTGAACCTACTGACGATTCGCGTGTTGCTCTCTCTTCTGGTAATGATGTGATTATCAGTCATCATGTTGATAATATCGATCCTGTGGAAACAGAACAGCCCAATACCACTATCATAGAATCTGATGAAATACAACCTGTTGCAAATCCCACAACCGTAACCGTACCTTCTCACTCGTCTTCTCCTATATTGCCCTCGTTAGCCCTTCCAGATCAAACCACTGATACCTCTATACTTACGAGCTTTGTACCTAACTACGACAACTCGATTGACTCTAGTACGTTGCCTTCTGCTGACAGTGAAGTATTCGTTGATGCTCAAGAAGATGTGCCTGTTCACCCTTGGGATCTCCCTGAATCAGAATTCAATTTTGATATCGATGTCGATGATTTAGACGATTCTGATGACCATACTGTTCAAGAATTCCCACCTGTTTTCAATTGTTGTGAGATGAAGAGAGAGTAGATATTCAATAAGAGAAAAGGTAAGAACACAGAGAAAGTCCGTTAGAACTTGTATAGGTTTTTATTTCTCCAAGAAAAATGTTATCTTTCAATTGCTATAAAATGTCAAGGTATTTATACTTTTTCTTCTCGGTCAAAATATTGTTTTGGGTTAGCTTCTTGACTACGGATTGATTTGTTAGATCAGGAGCAATTAAGAGAAATGCCTTTAGAGGAAGTTGTCAGCTCAGCCAATAGTACATGATCTGACCTGAACTTGAATAAACTATTACATATTTGTTAAATGCCAATGCTAATGTATTTGTCAGCTCTAACTGTCACTTTATAAGGGCCATTAATAATAACAGAGTCAATAGGTTTATAGTCTCTGTCTATGAGGATGATGTAGTACTTCTAGTAGAATGAGTGAATGTCAGTGACTATAGATCCATTGCAATTGCCATAGATGTGATCTGGTTTTTTGCCATGATCATCATGTATTGATCTATGCATATGAATTCATATATGTTCACAACATCAATGAATCGCGAAACGCGTCTACTTGTCGTCCTGTCGTTGCGTCTTCTTCTGGTTTATCGCCCGTAGTTCAGAGACGAACTTCAAGCCAGGAGGGGGGTAATGTCGCAGATATTAGTACTTCCGACCGCCAACAGCCAATCGAGATTGAATATAACCTTCCCTATATGTATAGATCAAACAAAAAAAGGTTTAAACCTCAAATATCAAACAAGAAAAGAAAGAAGGTTAGACTGAATCTATTACGCTTAAGGAAGTTGCCTTTAGGAGACGCCAAGCTCGCGTGGCATTCGTCGAAAAAGAAGTAATCAATCAAGTTGAAGGATATAATTACTTCCTGCTTTATTAGTGATAGAATAGATATTTTAGTATAGAATAGAAAAGATATAAATACCGTGTTGTTGATGATTATAAGTTACTTATCAAAGACTTATAATATCAAAACACAGGTAACATATAACAAAGAAATAAAAAAAGATCAAAGACTTATAATATCAAAACACAGACGTCACTGCCTTCTAGAATATTTTCCCAGTAATATCATTGGCTAGAAAATATTCTATTGTCACCTGACCTGTATTATTGGATACAAACCTTAAAGAAATATCAACTTGACAAATATGTCGTCTCGACGTTGGAACAACCAATAGTATTCTTATAATAAAAGATTAATAGTAAAGCGATGATTGACTCCTTTATTTCATTGTATGTTATGTTTATATTTATACATGTGATGTTTTGATAATAGAGTTATATAATAAGATGATATAGAGACAAAGGTAGATACTTTGAGACTGTTCTATACAATTTTATTGTTCTTTTTGATTATAAATTATTCTAGCATATTTATACATGAAGAGATGTCGGAGTAAGTAGTAGTAGAGTTCATGCAAATGACTGAGTCTCTATTATCATAGACTACTTTAAATTAATTAAATAATATAAATTATGGATTTCGGTTATAAGTCTTGATCTATTAAAAGATCCATTGTCTTATTCAGTACAAGAGGTTCTTTTATGTCTATTTCTGATGTAAATTGATTATGATGTATTTTAGTATGTAAATGAAGACTTATTTAATGTCAGATCATCACAATACATTTTATGAGGTACAATAGAAATGTCTAATTAGAAAATAAGAAAGTCGTAGAAGGTTCAGGAACTATGATTACTAATCCGAGATTAGTAATCATATGACTTGCTATGAGGAACCTTCTAGAGTCTTACATTCTAGAACCTTCTTGGACCTTCGAGATGTCATGTGACCTTCTTGGCTTTGGGTTCGGCTTGAATCTTCTTTTTGTTACGACAAATAATGACAACGCTTTATCCCTCCTGTATGTTTACCTTTGACTAGAAATATATATAGAACCAAATAAGACAAAGGGAGATAGAAGACTGTAAAGACTATCAATTACAACAAGAGGAACAAGAATAGATTTAAGATTTTAGGTACTAGTAAGCTTCAAAGATAGAATTTGAAGGTAGTAAAATAAAGTTGTTATAAAAAATATAACCGAAAGAAAAGATTCGATGTAGTTTATTTGAAGTAAATCACTTCCTTTTTAACCTTTTTTTACAAATGAGATTTAAATAAAACAATTTCAACAACACCAATAGTACCAATGCACCTAGGGATTTCAACAATAATTCGAATGGAATTTCTTGATCTTGTACCATTCTTGACAAGTCCGCTACTGAGTACAGAAACCAAAATAGCTAACATCAGAGACATGAAAATACCAAACGAAATAAATAATAATAATAATAATAATAAAATATAAAGAAAAATATAAGAAAAGTAGAAAGTCAATTGGCTATCAAAACAAACAAAAACAAGTGTCAAACAAAGAATACGAAATGGAACTAACACATACAGTACAATTGTATGGCATAACCCATTGAGTATAAAGAAAATATGAAATGAATAAAGAACACAATAGAGCGGAAAAACAAATTCATCCAGCATTGCTACAGACACCCTGCGCCAAACTCTTCGAAAACTCACCATCACAACAAGCAATCTGATTCGCCCGAAGATCTTGAGCTACCATTGGACCAAACTTGTAACGACTATAACTCGACCAATTCTTAAGGGATATTGACCAAACAAATAGCAAACGACAGCCAGCAAAACCAACCAACAGAACATATACACCATTACTTATCTTAAATAGCAGTCTCTTGAGAAAATCAGAAAAATAGAGTACCCAAAAGCGACACAACCAAAATAAACATACGTCAATATGTCGCGGATAATAGCGTTTCTGAACAAAGACAGCCAATCGAGGTTGAATATAACCTTCCGTATATGTATAAACCAAACAAGAAAAGGTTTAAACCTCAGATAACCAACAATAGAAGAAAGAAGTCAAAGCTGAACTTGATTCGTATAAGGAAATTGCCTTTAGCGAAAGCCAAGCTGTTGTCGTATTCGTCAAGAAGCAAGGATCAATCAACACGAAGTATATAATTACTTCCTTCTTTATTTGATTTAGAATACATATTTTAGTATGAATAGAAAAGATATAAATACTGTGTTGTTGATAGATGTAAGTTCTTCATCTTAAGACTTACTTTATCAAAACACAGGTAATATAAAAATATAAAAATAATAAAAGATCTTAAGACTTACTTTATCAAAACACAGACGTCACTGCCTTCTAGAATATTTTCCCAGTAATATCATTGGCTAGAAAATATTCTATCGTCACCTGACCTGTACTATTGAACACAAACCTTAAGAAAATATCAATTTGACAAATAACATCAGCAGATTTGGCCGAGTTGGTCTAAGGCGCCGCACTCAAGTTGCGGTCTCGCAAGAGGCGTGAGTTCGAATCTCACAGTCTGCAATTATTTTTGACTTTTTGTCGTCGTATCTTTATTTTATCAACTTTTTGAAGTCAATTGTTGTTTCAATTACATTGTTCGTATGTTTTATATTTGAAGTTGGACCTATCGCTACAACTATCGCTTATCGGTCTATCAACGACATCAGAATCAATTGAATTAAATAAAAATGATTGCGAGTGATGAGCACCACATTGAGATAACTAACTCCAAAACGCAAGAATTGCATAGAGATCATGTAATCTGCTTTGAGCACGTTAAACCATATGATGTCCAAATGCCATTCTTATTCCTGATCAACAAGATCAAAGCTTGATAGAAGAAGCAGGTTTTGGTTTGTCTCTCAAGTTCAAATATTCTCTCTTTTTTTTTTTATTCTAATACTCTGTAACTTTTTTAATAGCATCAAAGCATCTAATCATGCTTGGCATGTAGAATTTCTCAAACACTAAAGGAAATGGTGTATCCCAACCACACACTCGTTGGATGGGTGCTTCCAAGTTTAAGAAGCAATGTTCCATAACAGTCGAAGCAATTTCGGCACCTACACCAGCTGTCTTAGGAGCTTCGTGGGCAATTACCAATCGACCTGTCTTCTTTACAGATTCTACCACTGTTTCTACATCCCAAGGCAAGATGGTACGCAAGTCAATCAATTCACAACTTAGGCCGGGCATCTTCTTTTCAGCCAACTGTATCGCATTTTCCAACGTGTAAATCTGAGAACCATATCCGATCACAGTGACATCCGTACCCTTCTTAATTACTTCAGCTTTTCCCAAAGGCAGTTCATAGTCACCAACTGGGACTTCTTCAACGGCAGCTCTATAAAGAATCTTGGGTTCAAAGAAGATAACTGGATTTCTATCACGAATAGAAGCTAGAAGCAAACCTTTTGCTTGAATCGGACTTCTGGGTGTAACAATCTAGGTACAACCATTACCGTGAGAAAACAGGTGTCGTATTGTGAGAAAAAAATTTACCTTTAATCCAGGACAATGTGTGAAGAAGGCTTCAGGGCTTTGAGAATGGTAATGACCACCATGACCAACAGCAGAAGAAGGAGAACGAATCGTGAGTCCGCCAACATTAAATTGATTACCAGAACGATATCTGTATTTGGCAGCTTCATTTACTAACTGTTTTTTTAAAAAAAAAGATGAGTCTCAATGAAGAGAAGATAAAAAGACTTTACCTGATCAAAAGCAGGAAAGATATAATCTGCAAATTGAATCTCTGCAATGGCAGTGTGTCCAACAGATGCCATACCAACAGCAAAACCTGCAATTCCTTGTTCTGTCAAAGGGGTGTTGAATACGCGATCACGTCCAAATTGTTCAGCTAATCCTGACGTAGCTCTGAATACACCACCAAAAGAAACATCTTCACCAAACACAACTAAATCAAAGAGTCAACAAATCAACAATAAGCGGTAAAAGAGATTTACCTGCTTTATCATCTGTAGTGAGTGCAATAGACATGGCATCATTGACAGCTTGAAACAAGTTCATTCTTTTTGTCTCAACTACATAAACTTTTTTTAGTATTTCTATTAATTTTTTTATGCTTACTATCGGATGCACTCATATGAGCAAGTTCAGGTGAGCGAAATGCTTCTTCGGGATCTCTCTTTAATAATTTAGAGTAAGCAACGCCTTGTTGAATCCCATCATTTACTTGTTGAGCTGTTGCTGCATAACCTCGGCGCTATTCGAAATAATGTTTTTAACATCGTAACTTAATTTATGCTGATATTTACAATTAAAGAAGAAGAGGATTGAACCACTTTTTTCAATGAAAGCATATTGAAAGAGATAAAGAAAAGAATAAAGAAAAAAAAAAGGGAATAAAAATAACAAAATATATAGAAGAGAAAAAAAAGCGTGGGAAGTTTAGATAACCGCGACTTAAATGTACAATCAATGATTAAACCTTTAATTCATTAAATTCAAGCTTATCCACAGATTTAACAAGCAAAAGAACTGCACCAAACTGTATGTCCTTCTCCCACAGCTGTCTTTCAATATATTGCTTTCTTTTTGGCGCATTTTTGACAGCTTTCCATTTCTTATCTGTCATTTCAAAGTTAGCAATCCTGGCTGCTTCTTCTGTACTTAATCTTCTAAGTTGTTTGTTGTGTTTTTCATTTGTTGAATTTGATTTATGCACATGATAAAATCGCCACATTTCAGGTGCTGGTAATACTGTATCTTTCTTCTTTTTTCTTTCTTCCTCGTCTGCTTTTCTTCGTCTTTCGATTTGGTTGGTGTATCTCGTTGATTCGTAAAATGACAAAATGGTCATGTTGACATGCGCTTTTTGTTCAGACCCTCCCGGATTTAGATAGAGTGCGTTGAGCTGAATAGATTGAAATCGATGATCTGGCATACGAATGACAAAAAAAGACGATCTTCTTGGTTTTTCTTGCACACACTGATTGATCCATAGCTGATCTAGATTAGGACAACTCTGTGCGATATAGTCCATTAGATGATCACCCAGCACCGCTTCTTTCAGCCTGAGGTTTTTGAGTCTGTATTTTCGTTCATTTGATTTTTCAATTTTCTTGTATGTCGTAACAAATGCGTTGGATATACAAAGTGTGCCCAGTTGCTGACAGTGATCTAAGAGTAAATCCAGTCTTAAACCGTGTTTTAAAGGTACATCGCACTCTAATTCGAGCTCCGTTAGATTTGGGCAGTATTGAAGACTCTTGAATAAGCCTGTATCTGTCTTTTTACCAGACCATGACCACTTTAGGTTTGCTTTAGCTAATAGCCCTGTTTGTGTTGTCACTGCTTTAAATGAGGCTGCTGGATCAATAGTCGACCACCAAGCATAGTCTGTCATTTCCACCTTCACTTTCTCTGCATGAATATCTTCAATCTCTTGAAAAAAAGTGTCATAAGGAAAAGGAAATACAGACGTACTGATCCTTCTAAACCTGATTCTCTTTAAAAAGATACATAGTTGTGCAAATCCCATACAGGCATCCATACTCTGTTCATACAGTTCAATTGTCACATTTTCATTGTAAAACCAGTCAAATGTCATATCAAAATCCAATGATTCTACATGGTAAAATGCAAGACTGAGAAATGTAATCATGCGCCAGTTCTTTAGGTGAACATCATCAAGTCGAAGTGATACTGCTGAAGTAAACAATGGGAATGTTGTGGTGGAACTCATGTCTGTTTCTTCAAGTGGCAATGTGACGCAGCCCAGCGTAAGGTGTTTCAGTCGAGGCAATTGTGCTCCCAAAGCCATAATCATCTTCACGTTTAATGAAGTATAGTTTGTGCCGTGAATAATTAACTCTTCAAGTTTAGGAATACGTGTCCATATGGATATAATGAGGTTATTGTTGATCAAATACTCCAACACTGATCCGTCCAATGAAAGATAGGTGAGTTGTGTTGCCCAACAATGATTGTCGTATGAAGGGGTAATGAGTGGCTGAAATATACTGGTTCGAGTAAAAGTAGGTAAATGTCGAATATGTTTAAATGCGTTAAATCTATCAGAGTATCTCATATAGTGCCAAAGTCGAGGATCGAACTCGAGTGATTCCAGATTCTGAAATAAAGATGGAAGGCTTTCAAATTCGTCGCGGGTCAGACCAACAGGAGGGTTGTCTTTGTATTCGAAAGTAAGTTCTTTAACATGGATTCCTAGTGGATCGTCAATATGAGCAGAGGCTTGAATAGTACGATAAAACAATCTGAACTGGTGTCGAGTGGAAACATGGACTTTGGTATATAATGATTCTAAAAAAAGCCCATACCAATCATAGCAGACACGTATACACGATCCTTTGTCTGCTAAAGTCAAGTAACTACCTACTTCTTTAATAATCTCTGAAGGGAGATACATGATAGAAGGAAGGTAGAATAGAAAAAGAGAGAGAGAATTTTTGAATTTTGACTCAGATCAATGACTGTCAACGATGACGAAGGTCACTTTATTTTATGCAGGAACAGAAAAATCTATTATTTATTATGCAGACAAAAGAGAAAGGGTATACAAGTAATTTTTTTTAAGCAGCAGGTGCAGCATGTCCACAGACAAAACCAGAATACATCAAATCATCCTCATTCCTGGCATTGGAAGAAGTCAAGCAGACACGCACCAACAGTCTTCTCAATCTTTCATATGAATTTCGGCAACCAGCTAAATAAATGTAAGAAAAAAAAAGTCTTAATTGATAATAAGAGCTTACCTATAGCTGCCCTTTCAAACCAAACAGTGGCTTGCCTTAGATCAAGCGAAGTGCCTAAACCTTTTTCATAGCAATTGGCTAAATGGTATTGGGCAGACACATGATCTTGTTCAGCAGCGCGTAGAAACAATTCAAAAGCTAATTCCAAGTCTTGATTGACACCAATACCAGACTGCAAATGAAGACCTAACTTGTCAAGGGCACGAGCATGATTTTGAGCGGCTGCTTTTCGATACCAATAGACTGCCTTCGAACTGTTCTTTGGTAGGCCGGTACCATTTGCATACAAGAATGCCAAATTACATTGTGCCCATGGGTTGCCTTGTTTAGCAGCCTTGGCATACCAATAGACAGCGGCCTTTAGGTCTTTACTGATACCAAGTCCTTCTTCGTAGCAAAAACCGAGTGAATTTTGTGCTAATGGGTTGCCTTGTAAAGCAGATCGACGAAACCATTTGACTGCTTCTGCTTCGTTCTTTTCAACACCCATTCCATTGCGGAAACAGAAACCAAGCGACAGTTGAGCAGGAGCATGGTTAAGTTCAGCACTCTTAAAATACCAATAAACAGACTCGCGCTGATCTTTTTCAACACCTAAACCATTCTGATAGCAATAACCCAGTGAATGAAATGCAAAAATATTCCCTTGTTGAGCAGACTTTGTGTACCACACAACAGCCAATTTCAGGTTTTTTGTAACACCAATGCCGTTCTGATAGCAAAATCCAAGATTATGTTGAGCGCGTGCATGACCTTGCCGAGCAGCTTGGCCGTACCAATAGGCACCTAGAGCCGCGTTTTTTTCAACGCCAATCCCGTTTTGAAAGCAATAACCAAGATTACATTCTGCCCATGGATAGCCTTGTTCAGCAGATCGACGGTACCAAATGGCCGCTGTCACTTTATCTTGTGGTACACCGACACCGTCTTCATAGCAATAGCCCAATGAATTTTGAGCAAATGCATTACCTTGTTCCGCAGCGAGTGTGTACCATTTAACAGCCTCAACATGATCTTTTTCAACACCAATACCATCTTCGTAGCAATAGCCCATGTTATAAATAGCCACTGTTTCACCTTTTTCAGCAGCGCGACGGTACCACTCTAATGCTGTTTTTTCTGACTTGGCCACACCAAAGCCTTCACAGTAACAGAACCCTAAAATGCCTTGACCGCGGCTGTTGCCTTGTTCTGCGCTTGATTTGTACCATTGAAATGCTTCTGTTGGACTCTTGGCTACAGCAATACCATCATGATAACAGACACCTAGACAGTACTGACTCGCTGAGCATTGATAAACTTGTGCAGCGCGTTGTAGCCATGATATTGCATCAGGGCCGCGCTGGTTGATCTTGGTTTCCCAATACTCCGCTTCTACTCGATTGATGCGCACACCGGGACGTCCATATTTCCTTAGAAATGCAAGTCGAATGACACCAACAAGTGTTGCTTCTGAAAAACGATCAAATCGATCTTGGTGTTGCAAAGCTGTCTTGATGGACATGGTATAATAGTGTTCGGCAAGTTGGAAGTTTGATAGAGTACCTATGCCAAATTCATAACAAAATCCAAGGATTGCCTGAGCTCCAGCATGATCGTGACTAATGGCTGCGTCTTTTAAACAAAGAACTGCTACTGTTTCATCTTTAGGTCTATTTCTTCCAAACAAATGATCTTGAGCGAGTTCAAATAGTTCGTCTGCTGTGTATTCCACTAAGTGCGCTGTACATGATAAAGTGCTATTTCTTCTTGAACGACGGTGTAGAGATATGAATGATTTGTTGATGGGCAACGACAAAAATGACGTTTTATTTTTATTATTGAGTCGCTTAAATATACGTCGAGAGGCAAACACAATATGGGATAAAGACATGGTACAAGTAGAGAAAAAGAGAAAGAGAAAATATGACATGTCGATTGGCCTTTTTATTTGTTTTTTTGAAAAAATCATGGGTTTGTGTATCGTGAAATCAATTGAAAAAAAACAAGTTTTTTTTATTTTTTTTATTTTTTACAGAATCGTCATGTGGGAACACATACAATGGTTCCACCGTCAATTGGATAGTTATATTTTAAAGAAGTTCATCTTTTCCCACTTGTTTTGTTCTAAAGCAACATGATTGATATGAATAAAAGTCATTGCAGTACAAGAAAAGCCCAACGACAACACCTATTAAAGGTTCCTATGAAGGTAACTATTTCTTTGCGACATATAGCCCAGTGTCTAAAGCGATGATGGCTGTGTTCATTTGAGCGTATGTTCGCATCGAGTAATCGGTAGCGTTCTGGATTTGCCTCCTATTGTCTTACGTTTGCAGCATTGATTTGTCAACTTGGTAAGAATAAAACAGCTAAAATACTGAGCTTCTGCCAATGGCAATTTGCTTTCACAGAACGTTGAATGGTCCAAGATACTATGAAACGACCTGTCAAAGGTCTTCTACGATATACAATCCGCTTTATAAAATTTTATGACGTTTATCTGTCTCGCCAGGGAAACTTGGCTACTTTTGCGCGTAGTTGTTCTGAATAAAATACATTCTATTATTGATCTTGTTCTGTAAAGAAATCTTTTTTTTTTCAACTAATTTGTTTTCAATAAAGTTTCCTTTTTTGAGTCAAACTAATCTCTAAAATGCGACTCACAAACTACTCTTCTACGGCGTAATGAATTCCGAATACATAGGCGTGTGTTACCTTGACATGCTATTCAAACTAAAGTGGCATAGATTCGTATTGACAATGGCCAAGTAAGACCAAGTATTTTGATTCTTTGGTTGCCATTCTCTACTCCGCCATGTTCTATATGAATATGTATACAACAAAATGATCATGTCTCTCCATGACAATTGGGAACATAGTACAACAATGACCGTGCGCGTCCAATAACCAGCTTATTCTGTATGACTTCGGGTAGTTGTCCTTTCCGTTAAACGTTTCACATTTTTTGAAAAGCCATTCAAACAGAGAATGGTCATGGAAAAAGAAAGCGAGCATGTCGTCATTTAACAAATGCAGACCTTGTCCAATCAAGTTAACTGCATAACTTGATATATTTACTACTTGTCATACCCTGTATATATTGGTAACACTATTTTATATGAAGGAGAGAAAAGGATCGAGTACTGAGATCTGTAACTATTTGTTTTGATTTTTATAAAGAAGACCGGAGATAGCCTTCCGAAATATATATTTTTGTAAAAAAAAAGCCTTCCGAAATAGTAACTTGTACCTAAGGGTTCATATTAAGCTCAGCTGATCCAATATGTATTCGACATTTACCATCCTAGGTGACCTAAACAAGCGTTTACCAGCCCCATGATGTAGAACACAAACAAAAAATCGAAAGATAGATTAAATGATAAAGCAATTTTTTTTGGTTGTTGTCTATGACATAGAACAGAGGCTACTATTAATGGAAATTGTATCTTTTTTTAATAAGCAGTTTAGGTGAATATATATTTCGCTTGCCGCGTTTAAAAAAAGGTACAGTTTCAGGGCTGACTACCATGTTCGATATGATATCATTCATGTGTTTGTATCTATGTCCCCCCCTTTTTTTTCTTACCATGGCTTGTTTTAGTGATGATGAAACAATGGCCAGTATACATTTTTTTGAACAAAATGCGTATCGCATGTACTGATGTAGAAATTTCGGTTTTGAATGACAGCTTGGTAGTACAGTTGGCATGTAAACAACAGCTGCTTAAGAAAATCATTCTAATATGATACATCACATTGCTATTCCCTCCATCTGACAAGCCCCCCTCACAATCAGCTACAGTTTCTTCCTTTGTATATTCTAGAAAATCTCTGGTCATTTTGTTTTGTTTATACAGGCACATTTAAAAGAGCTTTTCTCTGCCTAATATACAGTACAAATGGTAGACAACATAATATTTACTAACACGATGATATGACTTTTTCCTTCCCATGACCATGGTTACAAAAAACTGTACCTCCAATGATAGACGCACAAGAGCATGTAATTTATTGGTTTGCTAGACTGAACAATAAGTCATATTTATGCATGTTAGTAAACGCAGATTCAGGGTGATTTGGTCACTCGGAAAGACTGAAGAATTCTGCCCTGTTGTCTTGACCCAACACTAAGATCCTATCGTATCCAATCACCGTGCCAAATCAATAGGCAATCGGCCAATTAAGGCACTATTCAATTGCTTTCTCTGTCTCAAAATCAGTAATGGCTATTGCTTCATCCATCAAGACAGTTATATATTTCAATAAGGCACGGACCAAATAAATAAGTTGTGTTTGATTTTGTGAAAAAGCAAAGGCCACCTTCAAACACCATCTAGATTCAATATGAGTTATGGTCTTTGGTCTAAAATACTAAAATTATTTGTGCTATTGGTTAAAAGTCCAACATAATCAAGTGCTTTCAAGAAGCTTATTTGATCAGACGAATAAAAGGGGCCTAGATAATAACTTTGGGTTCCAGAAAACAAAATAGAATTTATACAGTGTCAATAAAAAAAAAGGTTTTAAGGAATTATCGTCAAACTATTTCTCAGGTCTGATGTACCTACTTGTTGAACATGAATACCGTCAGTCAGAAGAGAGCTCAATCATTCTAAGCAAAGACAGGGTTAAAACAAAACCATCATTTTCCTGTTCTACCAACCACACTAATCTTTTCTTTTACTTTGACTTTAAGGCAAATACCTTCTGAAGACAGGGTACATCACAAGCTGTTAATCCTTCTACTTTGATATTGCCATCAAAAAGCCATTAGTTACAGATAATTAGGAGTAATAGAAACAAGAATCAACACTTGCATTGATGGGTGGTTTGACATCCATCGCTTCCTACAAAGAAAGGTCTCATTGACCAAGACCGTTTTTCCTTAATTCACTTGTGTTTTAACTTTTGTTGTCATGGACCCAATGCTTCATATGAATATGTTTGCTGAGATAGCGAGAGAATAGGAAAGATCTGATAACATATAACATACACGTACTTCATTTCCAAAAAAAAAAGAAAGAAAAAAGCCAGAGATCTCACCCAGAGAAAGCAATGGCCTATCATTCCAAGATTAGATAATTCCATCGTTGATTAGATCATTGCTGTCAATTAGAAAGATTTGCCAACTGCAATTAAGAGCCAGCCAATGATCCTAAAGAACAGCCAATGATAATGTAGTTTAATTAGTATATATACAAAAGTAAATTATTTAAAAAGAGTCTAAAGTGGCTTGATACGCGCCCCAAATCTTTTTGACAGATCAATGCCATACAGATAAGAAGAAAGCATGACAATAAAAGCACCCACAATAAACACACCAGAAGGTTGGAAATGAAACAAATAGATGCTAATCACACCAGATACAATGATAGAAAGACTCGTTGCAAATCCCTTGAGAATATTGTCTGCATATTTGACTACAATGGCCACTAATAGTCCACCCAGTGCTTGGTTGGCAACAACAACCCAAGTCAACCAATCATATCCTTGCAGTAATCCTCCTTCCATGATAGGATGAATATCATAAACCAACATGCCCAATAGCGAGAAAAATGAGCCTGAAATACCCAACTGAATATTACGTACCCACATGGATGTTTCTGATGTTTTGAGGATCTTTTCAAAATAACAGCCTGCAAATCCTGAAGACACACAGCTGGTGATAACTGCCAAGAATCCAATCAGAGGATTCTGAGGTGCCAAAATGATATCGTCTGTTTTGGTATTTGACATGCTTTGAGATTGGACCAATGTCACACCAATCATTAGCAGTAACAAAGCCAACCATTTGTCCCGACTAAGACTTTTGCCCAACAAGACTACACTAAAGACAGCTGTAGACATGATCTTCATCTGATAGGTGACCTGAAAAGAAGCTGCTTCCAAATTACTAAGGGCAACATACAACAAATTGTTTTGAAGTGCATATAAACCAGAGGGAATCAACATCTTGAGTGCTTCTGCTGGTTTACCGAGAATGTCTCGCTTGACCATATGACTAAATCTATCCCAGGTACCTTGTTGATAACGCATCACTGCTAAACAGGCGACAATCTTTAACACTTCTGCTAAAAATACAGCTGTGGAAGCAATATACATAGGCTGTCCTGGTTTTTGAACAATACGGGAATACCTCATCATCAACACCAGTGTACTGTTTTGAACCACAAGCACAACCAATGAGAGTTGTTTTCGGGTTAAGCCGAAAAGGACAGGCATTGCTGTTCTGATGTTAGTCAAAGGAGTAGCATCAAGCTTGTTTCTTACCTAGATTCTGTTTCTCATGTGTTTGTGATAGAGGTAATATACTCTTATTTCCAAACGTCCGCCGTGATTGATGATACACGGACATGGTTTAAGAGAAAGAAAAATAAAAGGGCTTTGAAAAAAAAGGATTACCTCGATTCAGATTGGATAGAATTGAAAGGCAAATACTGTATTTCCGCCGTCAATTGGTCACTTTTTTGAGCCTCAATTGGTCACTTACAGTGCCTTCAGTGTCAATTGGCGCTTTTTAAGATTAGCTCGCGCTTTTGATCAAACCAAATCGCATTTGCTATAGATTATTTTCTTTTTACTAAAGCCTGAAAATTCAGAAGTCGTACTGTTGCATTACTCAATAAACCTCAAATAACACTATAAATGAAATCAGTTTAAAAGCCTTTATATATAAATGAATGACTTGGCTATGCTTTGTCTCATAGGTTATACATAGTATTGGACTACAGGAGAAAAAATATGAGAGGGGAGCGAGAAACCTTACACCAAAGAGAACGAAGGAATTTTTTGTTTGCGACGTTTGGGATTGATTGCATCAATTGGTGGAGCAACATCTTCTTCCTCAAGTGCTCTTGAGATTTTGTACCGAGTCTCTCTTTGATGCTCATACAAAAAGAATAATCGCTTGAAGTCGTCTACCTTTTGTAGAAGGCACCCAATTCGGCCAATTTCTTTAGGTACATCGATGGACAAGATCTCAGCCAATTGCGTGATTTCTTCTATGAATGCTGAGACTAAGTAGAACACCATTTGATAACCAATGCATTGAACCACAATCACCTTACGGTTATTTTCCCTTAACATCAAACGGCGAGAAAATGTGCCTAAACGAACCAAATCCATGAATGCCAACTCGGGATTGGATTCGAAGTCTGGCGGTTTCACTTCTACATATCCCAAAGTAACAGTATCTGCTTTTTGCTGGATCCCAACAGTGGTCGCATCTGGTCGGAATATCGCTGTATTTTCATCTTTACGATTTAACCACATGAGATGCTTGTTGTTGTCAGGGCAATGAAATATAGGCGAAAGAGCTGGGTTCAAAAAATTCACCATCAACTCCATTTCTCCTGCAGGAGAAAGTCGTTCAAAGTTGGGCAGTTTGATAATCAAATTAGCGAATATCTCGATGATATTTCGATCCTCTTTGGAGGCAACTTCAAATAGTCGGTTGATTTCTATCTTCAACTTTGTTCGGTCGGTTGTGTTGTTGACATCTCGAAATAAGGTGCATAGTGACAAGTACATCATGCTGTCAACTGTGACATCTTTGGTCATTGCTTTCGCTCTGATATTATTCAGGAGGTATTCGGTATCGACATGCTTGGCGAGTTCTGGACACACCTGTTCTTCCTTGAGCAATATTATGTTTTGACTTGCTAACACTTTGTGAACTTGGGTTTGCAAATTGAATCCGTGCTTTCTTGATTTGTCTTTATACGATTTGATATATGAATTCAATTTTTCTTCAATCGATGAAGCACCAGCAGTCGATGATGAAGCGCCAGCAGTAGATGAGGATTAGAAGGAAGACGCACCAAACACAATCTATAACAGATTTTTTCATTTTATCAGTACATCTATCGATATCATTTTTTTGAACAAGCTATTTTTTTAATACTATACTTTTGGTAATCGTTTCAGTCTCAAGATTAATCTCTTTGAGACAGCATTCATAGCCTCGTCCAGGACTTTGCTTCCATTCACCATTGTTTTCGTTTGAGATTTTGATTGTTGAAAAATTCTCTTCATATCTACTTTGACCTTACTTTTGTATGATTTTTCTATGATATTCTTGTACACTTGCTTGAACTTTGCAATAAAAGACTTCAATGCATCGTCATCTTCAACAAATGTCTCAAACCAAACAATCAACACCTCTATGTGGTTTCCATCGTTATTGATGAAGCCTTGTATAGTTGATCTTGCCTTTTTAGTTTTGACGTAATTTTCTAATGCTGCTAAAAACATCTGTAATTAGACTCGTCGCTTCCGCCAACACGCAGTATGCTTACCTTGGGCTAAATCTGACATTGTGGAAGGAAAGATGCAAGCAAGTAAATTGATATATAGTGAAGTCTCTCTGATAAAAAGGGTAGGATTATACGCAAAGTTTAAGCAGAAGAATTTTTTTTTTGAGAGTTTTTCACCTTTCGAAGAGATACAAATGGGCCTTAAAATATCGTAACTGGTCAGCAAACGAGTGGAAGAGTGTCGTTTTTACCGGCGAGACAAAGATCAATCTTTAGGTATCGGATGGTGCAACATACACTTGGTTACTACAAGGTTTTAAAGCGAGGCCCCATAACTACAAGCTATTGCTCAAGCATGGAGGTGGCTCTCTGATGATGTGGGGGTGCATGACATCTTCTGGAGTAGGATATGCCTCTCGAGTGCTTCAAAAGACAATGGATACCGATTGCTATTTGGAGATTCTAGGGTCGTCATACCTAGATACATTGGAGTATTATAGTATGGATCCAAAAAAAAACTATCTTTCAACTAGACAATGACCCAAAACACAAAGCAAAGGCTACCATTTCTTGGCTCAAAACCCACAAAGTTAGCTTTATTGCTGATTGGTTATCTAACAGTTCCGACTTGAACCCAATAGAGCATCTTTGGAAGCAGTTAAAGTGCAGGCTAGCCGGATATGATACAAAACCAAAAAATTTGGACGAACTGTGGTCAAGCGTCGAAAAAGAATGGTACGAATTTCGCAAATTTGACATGGAAGCATACTATAATCGCATGCCTCAACGTATAGAAACAGTCATTAAAGCAAAGGGTGGTTATACTAAATTTTGAGCATTTCAAATAAAGAATAAGTTTTGGTGAAACACAAATTTTCTCTCTTTTGAAAATGAAGCACTGTTTTTGGATGCGTTTAGGAGCAATTAACAGTGTGACTCTTATTGTCAATGCCTAATTGATCTATGTGCCAAGTTTCAGAAGGATCGACCGAGTTTTTGTAGAGAAGGGTAAAAAAAAACAGGTTTTATGGGACACTTAGTGTAACCACTGTAAGTAAATCAATTCTGCATTGACGCGATTTACTAGGGGGAGTAACAGACACTTTCTATCATTCCAGTGCAATAATGAAGGATCCCACTCATATTTGCCTTGCTGCCATGGGTTTGGTACTGTCCAGTTTCTGGATGGGTCCTCAGCAATTATTTGCTTTTCAATACGTTGACTAGCGATTCTCCCGTCTCCAATTGCTTTTAGAGATTGCCAAAAATGATCATGGTAAGTTCACAGGCTGTCTCTTTTCCAACCAAACTATTTATTTTATTTTATTTTATTTTTGTATACGTCTGATGAAAACACCAACATAGTGATGCAATACTGAAGGAATCCTCTCATGCCTGTCATGTTGCTCTGTAAGAGATGCCGTTCAGTTTATCTGGATGGGTCTTTAGTGACGCCTATCTTTTGATTCTTTCAAAGACGACTGTTGCGTTCACTGTTGCTTTGGAGTTTGGTAAAACTGATTATATGAATAAAAAGTGTCAAAAGATCAGCAAGAGAATGTACACCGCCAAGTTGGGAAAGCATATCATGAACAACTCCCTCAAAGTATCTCTTTTGCAAAATCATCATACATAAAGCTGTAAATCTCTTCGATCTGATCGTGTATTATGTTTACTTCTAAGAAGGAAATTGGGTATTTTTTGAAAGAGAAGGCTTTACGTAGTCGAGGTAACGTATACCCTATGCTACTTGAGTTGGTTACTGGCGCTTGTACAGATGTATTTATCTACAAATGAATTCTTCTAATTCGAGTTCATATACAAAGTGTGTGCAATAGTAAGGCGTCATTTTCCGCATCACGCAGCACAAGAGTTCCCGCTCTTTTAGACATGAGTCGCCATTCTGTGAATATGTTTGACAAATGTCTTCGAATGGAACCCATTTAATACATTTTGTTTGCATCTCTTGAATAACAATATCCTGTGCAAAACAAAGTTGAATGTATCTATTAAATACGCCATTTGGGATCGCCAAAAGAGCTAATTGAGCTTTTAAAAAGCGTGATTTGGTTTGATCAAAAGCACAAATTGGGCCAGTGAAATGCGCAAATTGGATTCTATGAAAAGCGCTAATTGGGATGTTCAAAAGCGCGAGATAATCTTAAAAAGCGTCAATTGACACTGGAGGCACTGTAAGTGACCAATTGAGGCTCAAAAAAGTGACCCATTGAAGTTCTGAAAAGTGACCAAGTGATCTTCAGAAAAGTGGCGGAAACAGTAATGTTGTGTCTTACCCAAAAAAGCCCCTTCCATCCTTCGTAGAGGACTAATTCTCTTTTAATGAAAAACGAGGCTTCTCAAGTGTCTGAACTGTTAACGTTTCAAAGTCATCATCTTTCTTTGTAGCACAGTTAGATCATTCTGTACAAAGGAAGCAATGATTCCATGTTCTTTCTGCTGATGTTCTTTTCTTGAAAAACAATCTCAAATGCCTTTGTTACTGTATAGCTATTTGTCATTTCTTGAGCAATGTATTATGCCCTTGAAAAGAGAAATAGTTGGCTCTCCTCTTTCCAATGTTTGAAGATCACATGTTTACTTTGTTCAACGCATCTGACACTAATGATGCTTATTTTTTTTTCAAGAGTTTCCGAGGTAATGCATATCTGAAATCTTGTGTTTCTAGTAATCTCATCATGCTGACAACTTGAATTGTTTTAGTTGAAGGAAAAAGAGGAAGACACACGATTTTTTGGAGCTAGAGTCAACATCAACCTTTGATTGGCTAACCAAATAGCTTGGATTTCATCAACTGCGGATGCGCATTTTTTTTTTTCTCTTTTGTTTGGCATCATGAGTAGTAAGAGAAAAGCCGATGGTAGTTTCTTGCTATATTTAAATAAAAGTCATATTAATGCATGAAACATGTAGAAACCTTTAGTGATGACGATGACGATATTCAATTAGACGATACTTTACAATCAAAGTTATATGGTAAAAAAAAAAAAAAAAATAGTTTTTTTTATCGATGCTTTAACATTCAATAGTACCCAAAAATGCCAACCTTGAGATCCACTCTTTAAAAAACGAAGCAGTTCTTGAATCCAAAAACGACTTTATTTCACATATTTTTGGCAAAGAAGACTATACATATCTTCCATTAAAGCAAGACCACGCTTCAAGACCTTTATGGATCAGTCCTGAAGATGGTCATATTATTCTTGAAGGCTTTTCGCCTATTGCTGAGCAAGCACAAGACTTTCTTGTGGCTATTAGTGAACCTGTTAGCAGGTAAAAAAAAAAAGGATGATCTCCTCCTTCATTCGCTGATATCATGATGCATAGACCTGCCCATATTCATGAATACAAATTGACACCTTATTCATTATATGCTGCTGTATCTGTAGGTTTAGAGACAGAAGATATCATTGAAGTCTTGAATCGTCTCTGTAAAGTCCCTGTGCCTGATTCCATTACTCAGTTTATTCGTCAATGTACTTTATCGTATGGTAAAGTCAAGTTAGTCTTGAAGCACAATCGTTATTTCGTTGAATCTTCGCATCCAGAAACACTCCAAATGTTACTCAAAGACGCCATTATATCTTCAGGTCGTATTGTACGTGATGAAAATGACCAAGTTATTAGTGCACCACCAGGTTCTGCTGTCCTGTTAGTCAATCAAAAGCCGACAGGCAAAGATTTGACTATCCCAGGCGTGACGAATAAACCCAAGATAACAGGTGAAGAAGGAGAGAAACCAAAAGAGTTAACAGCAGAAGAAATTGAGAGAAAAAAAGAAGAAGAAAAGTACTTTGGTGCTGTTGTAGGCATTGATAAAGAAGACGAAGATGACGATGATATTGGAGGTGAACAAGTCCATTCATTTGAAATTGCTGCAGAGCATGTTGAAGTATGTATACTGGATTGTTTTATTCTATATTTATACTGTAATAGAACATCAAAAAAAGATGTAATGATATTGATTATCCTATGCTGGAAGAATATGATTTCCGTAATGATACTGTGAATGCTAATCTTGAGATTGATTTGAAGCCAACAACTACCATTCGTCCCTATCAAGAAAAGAGTCTGTCTAAAATGTTTGGTAATGGGTAAAGTAAATTCTGTCTAGAAGCAATAGACACTCATATTTCTCTAGTCGTGCTCGATCTGGTATTATTGTGTTGCCTTGTGGTGCTGGTAAAACACTGGTTGGTATCACTGCAGCATGTACGATCAAAAAGAGTTGCTTAGTCTTGTGTACTTCTTCGTAAGTTCATGGCAGGGTTATATTGAAGTTAATTCTCTAGGGTATCTGTCATGCAATGGAAACAACAATTCTTACAATGGAGTAGTATCAAAGAAAACCAAGTGGCCGTATTTACTTCAGACTGTAAAGAAAAATTCTCGGGTGCCTCTGGTATTGTGATCTCTACTTATTCTATGGTGGCCAACAAGCGTAAGCGTTCTTATGATGCTCAGAAAATGATGGAGTTTCTTGAATCCCGTGAATGGGGGTTCTTGTTACTGGATGAAGTCCATGTGGTGCCTGCCAACATGTTTCGTACAGTAGTAACGACCATTGCTGCTCATGCTAAACTAGGTTTGACAGCTACATTGGTCCGTGAAGATGAAAAGATTGATGATTTGAACTTTTTGATTGGTCCTAAACTGTATGAAGCCAATTGGATGGATTTAGCCAGTCGTGGTCATATTGCCAATGTACAGTGTGCTGAAGTATGGTGTCCAATGACACCTGAATTCTACAAAGAATATCTCTATGAAAACTCGCGTAAACGTACCTTGTTGTATGTCATGAACCCCAAGAAGTTCCAAGCTTGTCAATACTTGATTGGGTACCATGAACAACGTGGTGACAAAATCATTGTGTTTTCTGATAATGTGTATGCATTGATTGAATACGCAAAAAAATTAGGTAAACCCTATATTTATGGTGGTACAGGCCAACAAGAACGTATGCGTATCTTGCAGAACTTTCAATACAATCCTGCTGTCAATACGATCTTTTTATCCAAAGTGGGTGATACCAGTATTGATTTACCTGAAGCCACTTGTTTGATTCAAATCTCATCCCATTATGGTTCCAGACGTCAAGAAGCACAACGTTTAGGTCGTATTTTGAGAGCCAAAAGACGTAATGATGAAGGCTTCAATGCTTTCTTTTATTCACTTGTTTCTCGTGATACGCAAGAAATGTATTATTCTACTAAACGTCAACAGTTCTTGATTGATCAAGGTTATGCTTTCAAAGTCATTACTAACCTAGAAGGCATGGACAGTGATCCTAATATTGTGTTTAGAACACATCAAGAACAAATGGATTTGTTAAAGGCAGTGTTGTTAACCAACGATGTAAGTGCATGGCATCATTTAATGTGTTTTATTCACTTTTGCAATAGACGGATTTAGGTGATGAAGAATTGATCAATGTGGATGATGTTGGCAAAATCACCGACAGAAAAGCAGCAGCCAAGAACCGTACTTCAGGTCTTGTGAAGAGACAAGTCACTACATCTCGTACATTGGCCGGTGGTGATAATATGGCGTATCTTGAGTACAATCGTAATGCTGGAGGACAATTTGCTGGCCGGGGAAGAGGCAACAGTGCTCCTCAAAAAGAACATCATCAGTTGTTTAAGAAGTTTATGGGTAGAAAATAATAAATATGTTCATTGTAAATATATTTAAAGGAATGAGATAGGGGGGGGGGGGAGGGAAGCTATAAGAAAATACATGATTGAAAAACAAACAGAAGCTCAAAGAGAAGTTCCTAAGTGTATATATATAAATGTGAAATGATACGGTAGTTCTCTTCTGTGGAAGGTATCATTTACTTTATGAAAGGAGTTGTACTTCTTTATCACCCATACAAACCCTCCTCCCTCTTCTCTTGCTACAATGCTGCACATGCCATTGTATGTCTTAAACACCAAGTTTTAGGATGTGGATGTAGCTTGCAGTCATCATATTGATTGAGTATTTTAAGTGGTCTTTTTGCACTTAGTGTGAGATATACATACTTTTATGCGTTGGTAAAAAAAACCTTTGAATTTTGGTTTCTCAGTCAATACTGATCCAAATCAAGCTATTGATAAAAAAAAGGAAAATAGTTTTCAGATAAAGTATTGTTGGTGCTGTTATGCCTTCATCTGAAATCAAAAGTACTGCTTAAGAGCAGATAAATTATTTCCACAGCCAAACTGTGCTATTTTCAGTGTCGAATGGAACTAATCGAGCAAGTTTTGTACATTTCATGTCTTTTCAGTGTTTAATCATGTATATAGGGTACATTGGCTGTCTAAAAGTAGGACAAATTTTCACTGCTTCATCCTCTTTTATAGGCATTCTTAGCTAATAGTTGATATTTTGTGATTCAAAACTTTCCATCATACTCTTTTAGCACGAATCAATCCAAGTCTCTGTCGACTGAGGTATTTGATCATGATGAGCTATAAAAATGCAAGTAACTTGAAGTATAGATAAAAGGATATCACTATAGATTGAAGAATACTATGGCTTCTATCCTCCCTTCTTCCCTTTTTATTATTAGTATTCCATCCATTAGACAGTATTCTCTTCAAAAGGAAACAAACCACCAAATCTAAAATGCTGCACAACAGGTACTTTTCTCAATACTTCAGCAACAAACATCTTTGACATGCCTGAATTCACTTTGGACCAGCTAAATACGGATGAAATATCATTCAACATGGGTGAATGTTCAAAAAAGGGACCTCTTTTGACCTATGTTATGATCAATAACCAGACCATCACACATTTACTTACTTGTAAAATGAATTGAATGCATCTAAAATACATGTATTCAGATGCACATGCCTCTACTGTATCTTTGTTTCGAATGGATCTAGGCTGTAAACGAGGATGGTCTATTGTCTAGGTCAATATTGCTTCTATGGTCATCGAGATGTCTTACTGATAAGTTGTGCACTTCCCCATACATAAGGCAAAAATTGATGGTCATCTAATCCCCATACACCATGACTTCCTGCAGGCTCTAATGTGTATGTCGTTTGAATACGGCGTACTAGTTCCAAGTATCTATACTTTGTTCTCAGTCACGGATCTCATCTTTTGATTTTACCTAACAAAGATTCTTAATACCATCGCCTGATAGTCGTCTGGTTCAAATCCACCCAACATGGCAATACCAGCAAGCCAAGCAGCAAAACTCAATTCATGTCCCGAGCCATAATCAATACGCGTTTCGTTACCAAATCCTTTTGTTAAATATTCTGATAATTCAGGGATGGCTTTATGCATATGTTCAGGCAATACTTGTTGCTGTAATGGATATGCATTCTAAACTTTGATTAGCTACTTCTCATATGTGTCTTGTCTTACTTGATGCAGTCTTTGAACAAACTGACGAAATGCCTTATTTCCAAACCGTTGTGGGTTATCCAAAAGAGGAATCTCGTCAATCCAACCATCGAATGTGTTTAGTAAATCAAGAATACGTTGTGTTTGCTAATACAACTATTGAATAAGTACACTATCGGATCTTATCATGTAATTGACTTACAGGTGAAATAAGACAAGGATCAGATATCTTTTTCTGCATCACACTCGAGTTTAATAACATAACAAAGGTCATGATACGATCAAATGCTTTTGTTTTAGCAAACATTTCAATGTCTTTTTGTTCATGAATACATGACACAGGCTCTTTTGGGACATAACTTGCACTGATGTTAGGAAGTAAAGGGATACTTTCTGTTTCCATTTTGATAACAATAATAATAAAAAAGGACAGACAGAGAGACGCGTGCCTGAGTTGAAGTATGATTTTAATGCAATTTCTATCTTTTTTTTTTTTCTTTTTTTTGTTATTTATGAATTCTTCTCATATTACATTTAGCAATGTCACACATGAGACACTACCCAGCTTGGTTGATCTTCATAGACGCGTATTTCCTGTCAGTTATGGACATCGGTTTTATGATGAAGTATTGAATGCAGGCGAGTTAGCAAAGATGAGTAAGTAACACACCCATCTCTCTCTCTCACACACACACACATCAGGGACTAACACTAGATATCAGTCTATTACGATAATCACTATGCAGGTGCAATTTGTTGTAGACTAGAACTCTCAAAATATATAAAATATACAGCCAGGATATACATGATGACATTAGGCGTATTAAAGCATTATCGAAATTTAGGCCTTGGTAAGTGTCCTCTAAACCACAGTGTTCATGATTTACATAGCAGACACACATGGCAGGCAGTCTGTTAATTGAGCATGTCATGGAAAAAGCAAGAAGCTCCACGAATCCCATCATTACCTCACTTTATTTACATGTACAGACAGTGAATGAAGCAGCCATTCGGTTCTATCTCCGCAATGGATTTCGAATACAAACCATTGTTCATGATTACTATAAACTGATTGACAATAGAGATGCTTATATCTTATCAAGGCCAGTCTATTCATACCATGTATAAAGAAATAAAAACAAGAAAGAAAAAAAAAAGAATTATATGTTTATTATCTATTCATTCTGTTGTTGTTCTGCTTCTTGCATAGCAGCAATCTTTTCTTCGGCCTTCTTCTTGTTTAATTCAGTCGCCTTGGGTTGTTCAGCAATATAATAAGCCTTGCGCTCCTTTAACTTTTGAAGTGTAGCAGGTACTTCAGAAATCTTGGTGGGCACAGTCACCTTGATATCAAAAAAGGCTTCCATGGTAGCAAGGGGCAATTTAAGGGTATCCGACTTCTTTTCCTTGGGATCCTTGCTCTTATTGTTGTTGTTCTTCTTCTTGTTCTTGGCACCAGCAAAGAACTCTTCATCATCGTCACGCTTCTTGATCACCATACCTTCAAAGGCATTAGCCACTTTAGACACATTGACTTCTTCAGAAGCAGCTGTCTTGCCACCATTTGAAATGAATCCTTCCAAAAAGATAGCCAAGTTATCACATAGTGCAATCTCACTTTCAAAAGCAGGCAAAGAAGCCAATTCCAATTCTTGTTGAGCAGCCTCTTGTCTCTTTTCTTGTTCTTCTTGTACCTTACGGAGCTGTTCTTGTTCACGCTTGTATTCTCTTAATTGACGAATAAAGGTATAGTATTCATCATTGTTCTTGCGGTGTTCATCACGTAATGTACGCAACTTGGTGTATTCTTCGTCCAATTGGGCCTTGAGACGGTTACGTTCATCATAGAGCTGGTTACGGGATTCACGTTGCTTGGTTTGTTCAGCATTCAGTTCTTTGAATTCAGCATCTAATTGTTCATAGCGATCACTGAGACGCTTGGTCTCAGAGTCATCAATGTTCTTTTTGAGTTCATCCTGAATGCTTCTTTCTCTGTTGATTTCATTTTGTTGTTCATCAATATCTTCCACTGAAAGACGATTACGTTTCAACAAAGAAATCTCTTGAAGCATCTGAACCGTGTGTCAGTCTTGATCAAGAACAATCAGACTTACCTTCTTTTCTTCAACAATACGAACACCGCCTTCAATCTTTCGTTCAAGTTCACTAACATGTTATCAGTATGCATAAAAAAAAAAAAAGACGCGTCTTGATGGTTCACTTACGCAATACGAGCATCTACTTCAGCTGTTGTCTTGAAGGGAATTTTGGTTTGAAATCCCTTGATAGAACCCACCTAATACGTGTATGTATGTGTCAGTTCTAATTTGCTTGACGCGACAACCCCTCTCGTATTTGTACTTACCTTCTTTCGAATAGAATCATTGATAGCATCCAATTGCTCATACACAGCCTTACGAGTCTTTTTGAGTTCAGCTTGTTTTTCACGAATCTCGGCAAGCTCAGCCTTGAGTTCTTCACGACGCGTATTATCGTTCTTTTGAGGCAACTTGGCAATCTTGTCTCTTACAGCATCCTAACAACCAGGTTAAACATGCCATCGCATTTTTTTTTAATTATCATCATCTTACAAATTGCTTTTGAATTTTTTCAATGTTTGCATTGATGACTTCCAACTTTTTCTTGTGTTCTTCTTCGTTGGGTTTCTTGACGTGGTCAGGAAGAACAGGAGGGGCAGAAAGAGTGGTCATGGTTGGATAGTAAGAGAAAGAGAAAAAAAAGGGGGGGATGGAATCATAGGCTGGTTTTGAATTCCATGTATTTTATTGTATCCAATCATAAAAGATCAAGTAAGCTTCATAAGCCACTGTCATTTTTTTTCCCCTTCCTTTTCTTCTCTCTTTCCATACTTTGAACGATGGGTAAAAAACCATTTATTGACAAGAAATCAGCCAAGCACTTTCATGTGGTGCATCGATCTCAAAAGGATCCTCTTATTAATGATACAGAAGCTTCTGATCGTGTCCTTCAAGAAGTTTTGCCTATCAATCAACTCAAGGTAAGTTATTTTTCAAAGAAAATAGTATAAGCATGATCTAATATATATATATATATATGACAGCATAAACCACAAGCTGAAATTGACCGAGTCAAAGCGAAGCCCAAGAAACTTACACAAGATGAAATTGACCAGTAAGTCAAACACTAAATAGATATGATGTCTTATAGAGAATCCACCCCTTCCCCTTTAGACGTATTGGACAGGCAGCTCAACATGGTATCTTTTTTGATGATGGTGAATACGACTATATGCAGCATTTAAGGACGATTGGTGATGCTACAGATGCTGTGTTTTTAGCAGCACCCAGTACAAAGAAAGAGAAACCCAAGACAATGGATGATGGATTCTTGAAAGATGAATACCGCGAAAAAAAGAACCCACGCTTGATTGAATTGCCTAGCAGTGTCTTGCCTTCTCAAGTTGAGATGAGTGTAGGTGTAATGAACCAATCTACTGGTTTGGATCAAGGTCTTCAGCCTGACATGGATCCTAGATTACGTGAAGTGTTTGAAGCTCTTTCAGATGAAGAATACATTGAAGATCTAGATGACGATTTCTTTGATGCTTTAAATGCTGATGGAGAACCTTATGATCCTGAAGAAGATGAAGACTATGTGGATTCAGACTATGAAGACTATGAACAGGAAGAAGAACAAGAAGTAGTGACTGAAGAGAATTATGACTGGGAAGCAGCATTTAAGAAATTCAAAATGAACCAAAGCAAGCGAGATTCAGATGATGATGATGAATTAGATGACTTTGATCGTCAAACAAGACAAACTGGATTCTCAATGTCTTCTTCTGCTATGCATCGTAATCCACAATTGCGTCTATTGGACGATCGGTTTGAAAAGATAGAAGAGGAATATGCTGAAGAGAGTGAAGAAGATGATGAGGAAGAAGAAGAAACAGAAGAGCGTGCTGATTTTGAAGCCATTTTAGATGATTTCTTGGAGAAATATGAAATTGTGGGCAGAAAGATGCAGCCCAAAATGGAAGGTGAAACATCTGCTGCTAAATTAGATATGATTCGCCAAGGATTGCTCAAGACACATATTCATGAACAAGTAGAAGTGCCTCGTTCTAAGCCAGTTGTATTGGAGCCTAAATTAGAAAGACCAGTCCAAAAGCAACGAGAGACATGGGATGTGCAGAGTGTGATTTCTACTTATTCCAACCTTGAAAACCATCCTTCTCTGATTAGTGATCAAGGACCATCAAAACGTATTCGTATTGATCCCAAGACAGGCATGCCTATTTTAGTAGAAGTGGCGCGTAAACAGAAAAAGAAGGAACAAGAAGAAGTTGAAAATGAGAGTGAAAGTGAAGAAGAAGAAGAAGAAGAAATGGCTGAAAATAAAGGTGTTCCACGATCTAAACAAGAAACAAAAGAAGAGAAAAAAGCACGAAAACAAGCAGTCAAAGATGCCAAAAAGGTAATCAAAATCATACATCATCACATTGACTTATTATTCCTTTAGAATCGACGAGAAGAGAAAAAGACAACAAAATCAGCATTCAAAAATGAAGAAAATCGCCAAAAGCGTATTCTTCAACAACAACGTCAAGCAAAAGGGGCTACTCATATTCCTTAATTTATAATAAAATAAAAAAAAATTTTTTTCTTTTTCATTTCTCTTGATGATACCTAGCTTATATGCCATTTGTCTTGATTACTTGAAGCATCATAGTGAGCTTATTAGTTCATTTGAAAATGTCCCTTTTCAACCCATTGTCTATACTGTTCTAGAACATGTCTTTACGAGTACTTTACCCCTGAATACAAATTTACTTGGTGCTGTCTCTCGATTTGGTCATGAATTAAGACAACTCGATACACCTTGGACTCGCCTTGTGCTATCAAGAGCAGCAACAGGACGATCAGCCCTTCCAAGTCTCATTGCCACAAGTCAGTTATGTCCTCAATTCATTACATGCTTAAAATTAGGATCATGTGGATTACGTGACCAAGACCTCTATCGATTAAAAGAGTTTGCTCATCTTCAAGTACTTGATGTAGGCCATAACCCTCTTATTACAGATCGTGGTGTATCCTATATCGTGACTATGGCTACTTTGGGTATCCATGGTCTCCAAGACCTGTATCTATCTCATCTACCTGGTGTGACAGACAAGAGCTTAAAATACGTAGGCCAACTTGAAAGTCTGGTCTACCTTGATCTGTCCAAGACAGATGTGACAGAACAAGTGGCTACGACCTACTTAACGATGCAAGGGTTTCGTAAATTAGCCAATCTACCTTCTGCTCGTACTATGACCTTGTTCCCTGCACAGTTAAATCCTAAGCTTCATGGATTGATAAGACAAGCCAGTGTTGCTTATGCTGTAGGTAATCTTCCTTCAAGACCTGCTTTATCTTATGAAGAAAGTATCGGTGCTATCGATACAATCTCTATCTTGCACTATAGAAGATGTCATGGAGCAAACAAGAGACCTAGACCTTCTAAACCCAACATGCCTACCAAAAGACAACGACCGACTACTACAGACTATTTAGCCTTGATTGAAAAAGAGCTTTTATTTCAAAAATGAGGTACTCCAAGTGCATGTAATACCATATTCACTATCGCACATGTTCCTTCACCAAGCACAAACCCACTGGCGACAATCAGCATGATGTTGCCTACCCTTCTATACGACCCAAACCATGCAGCATCAGGCTGATCACAATACCGATCCCAGCCATACACCAGCCATCCGCCGATCACTCTGGCCAATGTAAAACTAGGCGGGTTATACATCCCAATAGCAAATGCAATACCCTGAGGCACATAGCCATAACCAGTTTCTTTTATCCATGTCAACACACTAAACAGGATACCAAACAACCAAACAAACTCAGACACATGCGGGGGGAGTGGGTGTCCATTCACTAAACGAGCCATATCCAACCATACGTGTGCTGTGGGTGCTGGAAATTCAGTCCCTGGTACAGTATAGATTGTTGTATAAAGAAGATAAGCACCTGTGGCTACCACAGCACTCACACAAGATCCAATCAATTGGCCTATGAATTGTGCTTTAGGCGATGCTTGTAAAAGATAGCCTGTCTTAAGATCTTGCATTAAATCGCCTGCTTGTTGTGCACCTGCTTCAGCAATGCCGCCCGCAATCAAATTGGCCACAATAGCACGGGGCATCAAGGCAGCAAACACCACTTGGCTCATCTTACCAATACCACTCACAGGATTCAAATCTGTTTCACCCAAGGCTCGAACACCCAAGATACTCAGGAAGAAAGCACACACAATAGAGACACACGTCATATGGATAGGCATCACATCACTCCCAAACACAATCTGGACAGTCAGGATACACAAAGCAATGGAAGCTGCAAGCCCACCAAGAGTGATCGAAAGAGGGACTTGTTGGTCTAGAGGAACATCCTCTTTTGATTGCTCTACATGGTCTGTCAGTAGATGGTAACTGTTGACTGTAGCATGAATTTGTTTGACCAGCATGATCAGGAGGGACACGATGGACTCTGAAATCATCACACCTAATGAAATCCATAAGATCCAACCCTTAGCACCTGTTTGCCAGTCATTGATAGGACCAGGTGCCCATCCAGCATAATAAGCCATAGGCGATAACATGCCCCACCCAACCACACACCCTAATAACATGGAAAGTGTGGTAGGCAATCCCTAATGTTCAGATTCAATAATAATAATAATAATAATAATAATAATAATAAAAAGAAGCGATATCTATCTTGACTTACCATAATCATACCTTGACCTACATAACTTAGACTCGGTGTAAAATACCATTCCCAAGCCTTGAAATCAACCAAACCAAACGAGATCCAGTTAAATAAAGGTAACGCATACAAAATTGGAAAGAAATAGGAAGCAAGTGTATAGACAGAAGAGATGCTAAAGGATACATACAGTGCTTTTCGTTTTAAAGGCCATGTCGTGTCTTCTGTGGACAGATCAAACGAAGAGGATGAACTCTCTGTTAATGTATCTAAGGCCACACGACTCTCTTCTGTCGTATGATGCAGCACTTGAATCATTTGGGCTGTTGCTGCACCTGAAGGAAATGGAAGTTGTTCTCTAATGATCGTTTGTTTGCGCAAAGGAATAGCAAAGAACACACCAATCAACGATAGACCCAAAGACCACAGCATGAGTTTCCAAGCAGGTAAAAGGATAGGTCCAGTAGGATGGTCATTGCTATCCAATTGAGCTAGGGCAGGTATAATACCCACAAATCCAGCAGCCAAAGGCATGGTAGCTGTAGCCACAGCCACTGTTTGTAGATACACATTTTCTTTGGGTCCAAAAGAACTGTGTTGCCATGGCTTGAGGATAGCAAACCCAAGTAAAGAAGCCTGTAGAGACATCATGGATATCCAACCTGTTTGAAGACCAAAATACATGTTGGAAAAGCACATGAGGCTTCCAACCAAGAGACCTACTAGAGTCGAACGCACCTTTTTAAAAATTCATTCAGTAAGAACAAGAAGAACCTTGTATAGATGCTTACTGAACTATGCTTTGGGGTTTGTTCCTCATCATCATTCATAACGAAAAAGAAAAAAAAAAAGCGTGTATTTTATGCCGCTCAAGTCTATTCAGGAAGTGAATGAGCCCGCACTAAATCGGACCGGAATTGGATTTTCTTCTCTCATACACACCGTGTCTTCCTCTCCCTCTCTCTATCCTTCTATGTGGGCGGGTTAGCTGGCTCTGATAAGCAAAAGGCATGGCCTGCCTTCATTTTGCTCCTTCTCTCAACCTAAAGGTAAAAAAAAAAAATCCATCCATCTACATGCCAGCATCGCCATCCACCTAAAGCACCAAAAAACTAATCATCATCCATCTATATAGTACCGAAAATGGAAGCTGTACAGACATTCGGCCGTAAGGTAGGAGAAGAAAACAACAATCATTAGCATACTCAACCTCATGGATAGAAAACCGCCACTGCTGTTGCTCACTGCAAGCGTGGACGTGGTCTTATCCGTATTAACGGTTCCCCCATTGATCTCCTCGAACCTGAGATCTTGAAGTTCAAGGTTTACGAAGTCATCCTTCTTTTGGGTGAAGAACGTTTCGCTAACGTTGACATCAGAATCAGAGTCAATGGTGGTGGTCACACTTCTCAAGTTTACGCTATCCGTCAAGCTCTTGCTAAGGCCATTGTTGCTTTCTACCAAAAGTTTGTTGATGAAGCTGCCAAGAAGGAAATCAAGGAAATCCTTGTTCAATACGACCGTACTCTTCTTGTTGCTGATCCTCGTCGTTGTGAACCTAAGAAGGTAAGTAAAGTGCGATATATAAAATCCATACTGATCTTTTGATGTTTAGTTTGCTGGTCCTGGTGCTCGTGCCCGTTACCAAAAGTCTTACCGTTAAAGAACGTTATGTCTACAGACATTTGCTTTCTTTCTACACTTTTTTTTTTCTCTTGGTATTTCTCAAATAAAACTCATTCTTTCTTTTTAATGCAAGTACAAGCCGGACTTTATAGCTTTCGGAGCTGTCTCCTATTTGTAAATCTTCCTTGCCTTTAGATTCAAATGTCAAGTTACCAAATTAAAGAGTTTGACACTTTCTTGTTTAAAGACCCGGCTATAAAGGCATTGGAACATCTTTGCGCGGTATCATTTGATTTACCGTCCTTTTTGATTCAAGTACCGATAGGCACACCTATTATTATTTTTTTTTTGATCTTCTATGGGTTTCCATTTAGACCTTGTTTGTATTCATTCTATAGACAACATCATATATTCTTTTATATATATATATATATAGTCAAAAGATACTTTTTAAGAAATCATACAAACGAGAAAAAAAGAAGATAAATAAACAAAAAAAAAAGAGGGAAATCAGTATTTGTATTACTTGACGCGTTCTCCGTCTCATGTGTGTTTGTATGACGTCTTATATCGAAAAGATTTTTCAAGAATAAATAAACCTCAATAATAATTTTTTTTTTGGAATCTCTTCATCTCTTTCCTTTTTACATATATATTTCTGTTTTCTTTTATAAACAATGACTACTGTAAGTATTTCATGAGACACGACAAGATGAGTTGAAATGTCCTCATTTCTTTTTTTTTTGTCATGGTATTTACCTCATTCTTTCTATAGGAACGCGAAAATAATGTCTACATGGCCAAGCTTGCCGAGCAAGCCGAGCGTTATGATGGTGAGTGCATGTTTGTTTGTTCATCTTGTTCTGACAAGCACTCTTTTCTTGATAGAAATGGTTCAATTCACCAAGGAAGTTGCCAAGGTAAGAATAAGACATGAAACACACATCCTAACATACTCTATAGATGGGTATTGAATTAACTGTTGAAGAACGTAATCTTTTGTCTGTTGCTTATAAGAACGTGATTGGTGCTCGCCGTGCTTCTTGGAGAATTGTTTCTTCTATTGAACAAAAGGAAGAAAGCAAAGGTAACGCTTCTCAAGTTGAAAAGATCAAGGCTTACCGCCAAAAGATCGAAACTGAGCTCCAAGAAGTCTGTCAAGACATCTTGGCTGTTTTGACCGATGACTTGATTCCCAATGCTCAAGGTGGTGAATCCAAGGTCTTCTATTTCAAGATGAAGGGTGATTACCACCGTTACCTTGCTGAATTCTTGACTGGTGATGCCCGTAAGAATGCTGCTACTGAAGCTCATGATGCTTACAAGAACGCTACTGATGTTGCTCAAACTGAATTGGCCCCTACTCACCCTATTCGTCTCGGTCTTGCCTTAAACTTCTCTGTCTTTTACTACGAAATTCTCAACTCCCCTGACCGTGCCTGTCACTTGGCCAAGCAAGCCTTTGATGATGCTATTGCTGAACTCGATACCCTCTCTGAAGAATCTTACAAGGACTCTACTCTTATCATGCAATTGTTGAGAGATAACTTGACTTTGTGGACTTCTGATTTGCAGGATGGTAAGTTAGATGATACTATGGCGTCATAACTCATATTGAATAGAAAACGACAAGGCTGAAAACAAGCCTGAAGATGCTGAAGAATCAAAGTAGAAGTCTCTTTTGTTTGACGTAGATTATTTTTTTATACATAAACACACGAATAAAGTTTCCCCCTCCCCACCCCCCTTTTTTTTTTACTTTATTCCACCATGAACCAAGATGCTCAAATATTCAATGATAACCAACAATATCTTCATGACCAATACCTGAGTTCACATATACCCGAAATACCTACCAAGAAGGAAGATATACCTATCAATACACCTGAAAAGAAAGAATCACTCAACTGGGCTCATCCTAGATTTTGTATGAGTCAATTTCAGCTCTATGAAACCAAGACTGTAAGTAACAGAATCAAGACATCCTATTAAAACACCGTAATAAGCGATACTATCTAGTTGGAACTAATGAAGCCAAACAACGGTATCGTGTACTTCAAATCCATAGAACGAATCCTACCGAACTTGTTGTAATTGAAGACGATGTGCTCTATACAGAACAAGAAAAAACGCGATTACTCAAAATGATTGAGGACGGTAATCTCAGTGTAGGTGGACTTCAACTGTCTTCTATGCGTATCTATGGCATTGTAGGTTTTGTTCGATTCACACAAGGTTGGTACATGATCTTCATTACAAAGAGACGCCAAGTAGCCATGTTGGGTGGTCATTATATCTATCATATTGATGAAACACGCCTTGTGCCTATTGGTCTTGGTGCTAAAATTGACAAGAATTCAGATGAAGCACGCTATGTAGCTACTTTTCAGAACATTGATCTAGCCAAAAACTTTTATTTTTCATACACCTATGATATTACCAACTCACTTCAAAACAACTTGACACAACCACCCTTAGCGAACAAACAAGACACAGACAAAGATGATCCAGGACTGCTGCATAATGACATGTTTGTCTGGAACCATTATTTGCTTAGTTCTGGGTTTAAGAATTTAGACAGCCGATCAGGATGGGTCTTGCCCTTGATTTATGGGTTTGTAGATCAAGCCAAGATATCTGTATTTGGCAGGAGTATCATGGTAACCTTGATTGCCAGAAGATCAAGGTATTTTGCAGGAGCTCGGTTCCTTAAGCGAGGTGTGAACGATAAGGGATTCGTGGCCAATGATGTCGAAACAGAACAAATTGTGGCAGACATGTCCACGACTTCATTTCATTCCACAGATTATTTGCATGGCAATCCTCGCTATACGTCTTATGTTCAACACAGAGGGTCTATTCCACTCATTTGGTCTCAAGATACAACCAACATGTCACCTAAACCACCTATTGAATTAAACGTAGTTGATCCTTTCTTTTCAGCGGCTGCTCTTCATTTTGAAAACCTCTTTCAACGCTACGGCACACCCTGTATTGTACTCAACCTGATCAAACAAAAAGAAAAAACCAAGCGGGAATCAATCCTAGGCAAAGAATTCGCTGAATGTATCTCGTATCTCAACCAATTCTTACCGAACGACAAACAGATCAAGTACGTTGCTTGGGACATGTCAAGAGCATCCAAGAGCCATGACCAAGACGTAATTGGCTTTTTAGAGAAAATAGCAGACGATACCATGGAAACCACAGGTTTTTTTCAGAGTGGGATTGGCATGGATACACAACGACAGCATGGTGTCTTGAGAACCAATTGTATTGACTGTCTTGATCGCACCAATGCGGCTCAGTTTCTTATGGGAAAGTGTGCACTGGGCCATCAGTTGTATGTCTTGGGCGTGATTGCTTCACCCAAGATTGACTTTGACTCGGATGCTGTCAATATCTTTACTGAAATGTATCATGATCATGGTGATACCATTGCACTGCAATATGGTGGGTCACATTTAGTGAATACGATGGAAACGTATCGTAAAATCAACCAATGGACAAGTCATCCTCGAGACATGATTGAATCTATCCGTCGTTTTTATGCTAATGCGTTCTCAGGTACAGGCATAAAAATAAGGTGATGTTGCTTATGGTTTGAATAGATGCTGATAAACAAGATGCGATTAATCTCTTTCTTGGCAATTTTGTTACCAAGGATGGACAGCCCATGTTATGGGAATTAAGCTCTGATTACCATTTGCATAACCAACATCCTTTAGAAAAAACAGTCAGAAGAGAGTAAGTAGATATGCATAAGGTATTGTTAGGTCTGACAAGCCTTAGTTATCGTTATTGGTATAAAAAAAAAGTGCTTGAGGATAAGCAAGATGACCTCGATCCAGAACGATTTGCTATTCCTAAACAATTTCGTGTGCCTGCTGTCAATCCAGATGCCAGTGATTTATATCAAGGCCATTGGGTAGAATACTATAACCATCAGCAATTAACAAGTTTGGATAGTCATTTCACGTTTAATATGAATGGCACATTGAAATACAGGCCATTAAAGATCTCTGCTCATTCAAAAGAAATCAAAGAGTAAGTCTTGTATTTTATGTTCTTGTTTCTTATGGAGTTTCTAGATTGACAAAAGCAGAAGCGTTGGACATGAGTCCATTTACGGTTCGAGCTTCCAAAAGTAGTTCAAACAACAATTCAACACAATCAAAAGAAAAGGTTGAACCTGAAAATGCAGAAAAGACAAACAATATAGAAAAAATACCTGCTTGGACGATTGAAGGCATTACACAGCATAATCTTGAGCCCAGTGTCACTTTGGCTGAACATAAAGAATACAAAAGGTAATGCGTGCATATATCATGTTTAACTTAGACTCTTAGATACACACAACAATTTAAAAACATTGAAAAGTTAATGGTCACCCATGGCGATCGCTCTACTTACAACAGTGTTGAAAATTTCCCTGAATTTCAACAATATCAAAACTATATTCATAAAAATGTTTTGGATGAACATCCTCAAGCAATCAAAACAACAAGTCTAGATGAACAAGTCTATCATACGTATGTTGATATTCCTCGTCGTGCTGCTTCTGTTCAAGTAAGCCGAGAATGGAATGGAATGGCAAGAAAAAGATACGAAGGATATGCTAATTACCTTAAACATGGCAAATATCCACTTCCTCAGCCATTATCACTTCAAAAACAAGCATCTACAATGACTGATTAGGAAACAACATTTGGGCTGAGATTTAATAATAAAAAGATAGTGCAACTTTTTTTTTTTGGTATTCTTTTTCTTTATCTTTTTCTATATGTTATTTGAGCAACTTGAACTGTAAACTACAGGTCATAAAGTCATTTGTTCCTAATTGTTTCTTACATAGACGAATTACCAATGAAGTATATCATTTTACACCACTGATAGAGCCTGCTAAACAAAACATAACAACACACCTGGAAACCTTGACAGTCTACCGAGACTCTGGCGAGTTAAAATTAAACGGTATGCAGCACAAATAAACATAGGCTATAGCTTATTGCATGATAGCTCCCTTTGCGCACGATGCGCGAGTTGAAAATGAATTATTAGTCCATGGTATACTAGGATTTATTCGATTACAAGCAGGTAAATGGATAAAACTCAATGACAAATGACCAAGTTATTTCTTTAGGCGAATACATGATTGTCATTACAGGATGTCAGCGAGTAGGCACATTAACATACGGAGAGGTGTTTCGTATCACCAATTTTCAAATTTTGCCTATTGCACGCACGATGCCTCTTTCAGGTCAATCATTAAACGACGAGCAAAAATATATTCAATTGATTGGAGACCACTTGAGTCAGAATGGCTTTTATTTCTCATACAAGTATCCCATTACATTATGTACACAAAAACAGACACAGACAATTGGAAATCATTGGCGAGATGTAAGGGAAAACACACACAATATGTATATTGATAGAACCATGGATAGGCAGACACAAGGTTCTTTTGGAACAGATATCTAAGTGAAAAACTCATTCATGCTACTATGGAGTCACATCAAGATGTAAGTCCTCTCTCTTTTTTTTCTGTTTATTTTATTTACTCCTTATTGTAGTTTAGTCGTTTTATTTTACCTGTCATACAAGGCTGTAAGTTACACAGAAAATTGCCAAGCATGATAGTTAATCTATGTTTGATTAGTTGTGGCCATCACACCAACAGTCATTCAAAACCGTGCAGTAACATTTGCGCTTATCAGTCGACGCAGTCAAGAACGTGCTGGCACACGCTTCTTTTCTCGCGGGTTGAACGAACAAGGCTTTGCTTCTAACTTTGTCGAAACAGAGCAACTAGTACTCTGCGACCCTTCTAAATCTCTCTCTCAAGACAACTTGATCCGCGCTTCTTATCTCCAGACCCGAGGAAGTTTACCTGCATTCTGGGGTCAAATTCCCAATCTCAAATACATACCACGACTATGGTATAATGCGAATATATCAGACGAACATGTTTTGAATGCTTCTCGGCTACATTTCGATCAACAAATGAAACACTATGGACCTCAAATCCTTGTCAATTTAGTCAACACCAAAGGCTATGAACAACCCATGGGTCAGTTATATGCATCAATTGTAAAGCAGCTTGCTGACCTTGATTTGAAATACATCCATTTTGATTTCCATCATGAGTGTCGCAAGATGCGTTGGCATAGAGTACAATTACTGATTGATCAGCTGGAGTCAGACCTTAGACATCAAGGTTATTGCTTACACGATGCAACTCAAGAACCTAGTCTGTGTCAAAAGCAGCAATCTGTCATTCGTGCTAACTGCATGGACTGTCTGGACAGAACCAATGTCGTACAAAGCACCATTGGTAGGTGGGTTTTGAATCGGCAATTAAGGGACTTGGGCATACTTCAGTCAACTGAAGTGATTGAAAATGATGAACAATTCATGCAGATCTTCAAGGATGGTAATTTATTGTTTACTATGATTTATTCATCTAATTTCTACTTAGTCTGGGCAGACAATGCTGATGCCCTAAGTATTCCTTATTCAGGCACAGGTGCACTCAAGACGGATTTCACAAGAACAGGCAGGCGTACACATAGAGGCATGATCAATGACTTTAATAATTCAGCCATTCGTTATATCAAAAACAACTATTTAGATGGTTCAAGACAAGATGCCATTGATTTGTTTTTGGGTAACTATAGAGTATCTGGCACAAGTCCCTTTAAGACGTCTTCGATTCAAATCAAATGGGTGCCTCTGTGTATGCTTATTGCCTCTGTCTTGTTCTTGATGACTTTGTTTCATTCCAGCTTGTTTTACATTGAGTCTTCGTTACTATATGTGCTATCTCTTTCCTTTTGGTTTGCAATTATAGTGACGTGTTGGCTCTATATCCAACAAAACGCATCTTCCTTTGTAGACTGGCCAAAATTAATACCGATTCAACAACCCCTTTCGCATCATGAACCGAACATTCTTCATAAAGCAACAAGTGATATTCGTAAATGGGCTATGAGACGCAATAGTTCTGCTGTACTCAACCAGATAGAGCAAGGTTATGAAATGTTACCTCCACTTAAGAAAAATACATAATTTTTTTTTCAATTAAAGTTCACCCTTTTTTTTCACACACATACATACTTTTATGCAGCTTCTCAAGCCAGAGATAACTCCTCATCAGTCAGAACCTGTATGGTTCTTGACAACCCAAAACACAACGTACGTTGTCGGTGTAGATAAAGAGACTGGCGTTGTATTGAACGCGTATTGGGGACCAAGACTTATGTTCTTTACCGATATTGAATATCCTATCAAGCTGCCTGAAACAGGCAGAAGTTCGCAAGACCCTGCTATTACCTCGGCCAACGAAGAATACCCTGCATTTGGTGGACTTCGGTATGGTCCTGATGTCTTGCGTGTCAAGTTCGAAAACAATACCCGAGAATTGGATTTGATTTATGTCTCTGGCGAAGTTCGCAATCATTTAGAATTAGTGATCACATTGGTCGATAGAACGCATAAAGATTTCCGTGTTGAGCTGAATTATACCATAGATATTGACAATGATTTAATCTTGCGTCGTGCTACACTTGTGGCCTATGGCCACAGCGAGAAATTTCAAGTAACAAAGGCCCACACGGCCGCATGGTATATTCCTCCTATTACTTCTTCTTGTCATCGAGAATTAGTAACACTTGCAGGTGCTTGGTCATGTGAGACTCAGGTACAGAAACATACATTGAAACCAGGTACTTCTCATGTACTTGGCTCAACAAGGGGTATTCCTTCTCATCAAGCCTATCCATGGTTTGCTGTCAAAGATCAAGACGATGGAGAACATGCGAACACTCAAGTTTATTTTGGCACCTTGGGGTGGAGCGGCAATTGGCAGATTGAATTGCACACAGATATTGAGGGCAGGCTTGTAGTAACGGGTGGTCTCCATGATCACGACTTTAGTTGCTCCCTAAAGGACACCACCCTAGAACTACCTACTTTTGTTGCCGGCTATACAGCAGAGGGGCTATCTGGTGCACGTCGTTCATTAGCTAATCATATCAGAACGAACAAATCAAGAGAATTCATCAAGGACCCTAAAGCATTGGCTCCTGTGCTTTACAATGGTTGGGAGGCTTATGGCTTTGATACTAATCTAAAGAATCAAATAGAAATGGCTACTAAAGCAGCTGCTATGGGTGCTGAATTGTTTGTTCTAGACGATGGGTGGTTTCATAAACGCAATTCAGATCGCGCGGGTTTGGGAGACTGGTTTGCTGACCATGATAAGTTTCCTGAGGGCCTTAAGCCACTTGCAGACCATGTTCACAAACTAGGCATGAAGTTTGGCGTCTGGTTTGAACCCGAAATGGTAAATCCAGATTCTAATCTGTATCGCGATCATCCTGATTGGGTCTATCATTACCCTGATCGTATTAGGCACCTTGAAAGGAACCAGCTTGTTCTCAATATCACAAAGGAAGAAGTAAGAACACATCTTATCGAGCGCATCGTGTCTTTAGTTCAGGAAGTAGGCATTGATTACATAAAATGGGACATGAATCGTCCCATTTCTGAAGCAGGTTCCTCATTGGGAGAGGCTGTCTGGATAGCTCATGTCAATTGCTTTCACTTGATGATCATGAAAATCAAGTTATCTACCAACCTTGTAGCTATTGAGACTTGTTCTAGTGGTGGTGGAAGAGCAGACCTTTCTATCCTTAAAAAGGTAGAGTCATGCTGGCCAAGTGACAATACTCGCCCTGATGCACGCCTCCATATTCAATATGGATCTTCTTTTGTGATTCCATCAGACTCTATGAGCTGTTGGGTTACTGACATGCCTCTTGACGACCCATACGCATTGTTCCCCATCTCATATCGATTCCATGTTTCTTTCATGGGTGCTTTAGGTATTGGTTCTTTCTTGAATAGACTCGATCAACAACAATTCGAAGAATACAAACACTGGATTGCCTTGTACAAGGTTCTTCGCCATGTTCTCCAAAAAGGGAATCTGGACTGGCTCGTGCCACCTTCTAACTCGCCTTCAAGTTATACAGCTGTCACCCAAACCAATACAGCAACAGGAAACGAATCTGTCGTCTTGGCCTTTCGACAACAAAGTCCATTTTGGATACCTTTACATCCTGTTCGGCTTAAACGATTGATTGCATTTGCCATGTACGATGTAACGATATGGCACGAGAGCCCCTTATGTTCTGTTTATAATGGAGCCTTATCTGGTGCTGCACTTATGCACAAAGGGCTCGATCTACCATATTTGACGTCCAAAGCCTACAGTAGTGTTGTTATCCATATTAAGCAGAAGCTATAAATACTTAAGGAAAAGAGAGGATCGTGTTAGAAAAAAGATTTATTATTTATAGTAAACGGAGTAAAATTATCTCGTTGTAAGCGCATCATATATACATAATAAAATGTCCTTTTTTTTGTGTTAATTTGAAAGGGGGAGAAAAAGAAATAGAACATATTCATAGAAGAAATAAAGAAAAGGTTATTTAAATTGTTGATCAGGATACATCACATGTGCTGAAGAAAATGGAATATTGTTATTCTGTGCTTGCTGTGTTTGATAAGAAGTTCTATAGGGGGTATAAAAGTTGGCTTTGTTCTTGTCATGGTATTGTGAGTTAGTGTAATCGTTTTCAGTAGGCGATGTGGTACCGTTCATTTGTTTCAAGTAGGAGGGTGAGTTGTATCCAAAATACGATGTGTTTGTGTTGGGTGTAGTGGTAGTATTTTCTGAGATAAAAGGTTTAGAGACTTCGTTTTGATGTTGAGAATTGGACCATATTAAACTAGAAGGAGAGGGAAGCGAAGGTGAGTAGCGATTATAATAAGTATTGCTGTTCTCTTTTTGAGGGGGGATCTCAATAAATGAGGGTATCATACGGTCAGTTTGTGGGCGATAAGTCTGAGTGGGCGAGGAGGAATTTGAAGGTGTAGAAGTAGTAGTCATGTAACAGCGAGAATTAGAGTCCATTACGTTTTCTTTTTGATAAAAGTTGTTACCGCCAGAAGTACGCTTGGGTTGATATATGTCTCTGTCTTCGTTGTTGAGAACAGGTACAAATGCAGAAGCAGAAGAAGCAACGGTTGTAGTCACCATGTTTTGATAAGCATTATTTTCTATCATGGAAGAGTTTGATTGTCTAACAAGAACGAGTTAGTTTAAATGACATAAATTGATATGATTCGCTTACCCGCTGAAACTATGGTGACGAACAGACATATGAGCAGCATCTCTAGCATCATTTCTTTCACTGTATTGTGTATGCATGTTATCAGCTGTAGTGGGAGAGTCAAAGATAGGATGGGTCAAGAATGAAGAGCGACGACGAAGAGATTCTTCTGAAGCGTCTCTCATGGCTCTCATTTGTCTTTTGTTCATGTTGGATTCAAGGCTCAATCTTCGAGAATGATCCACAGCTATAAACAGATTGTATGTCAATACACAATTGGATTTTATGAATGAAACGTACGTAAAGAGTGGTAATCTTCGTATTGAAGATCCTTGTGATGGTGATAACGTCTTCTGTAGCCGTCATGGAGAGAATAAGGTGTACCAGGCTTCATGTTACCATAAGACTTGCGGTAATAGGATTGAGTGGAAGATGAAGCAGAGGAGATGGTAGAAGAAGGAGAAAGGCTAGGTCGCTTGAGGATAAGTTCAGCAAATTCAACAGAAGGTGGAACACGAAAGCTTTGCTTCAAGAGAAGATCAGGAGCAATTTGTAACGAAGAAATCTCAGAAACAGAAGATGGGGTGGCTAACTTGGCATCAAGAACATCTGTCTTGGTATAGTAACTAATCAAGTGTTGAATGGATCCATTCAAGTGGATACTGATTGTCTTTTTAATAAGTCCCCCTTTCTTGAACTTGTAAGTATCGGTGAGAGAGCCTACCAAGTTACGCTCTCGGTCACGTTCTTCACTAGAGAGTTGTTCCTCCAAGCTATCTTCTGAGGCTGGGTCATAGATAGAAGTGGAAGTGTAGTAATTGGCCATGTACGATGTAGAAGCTTCCATATGTTGTTTCTGGTGAAGAGACTCACGACCATCGAGTTCTCTGTAAATTAAGAAGTTACCAAGGATACGAGAAGGGCTCCAGACAAGTCCATCAGTCCAACGTCTGATACCTACAAAAGAATAAGTATACATACATTTTAAGTAAAGTGACATACCTGATTCTTTTTCATCAAAGACATAGATAGTACCAGATCGAATAGCACCTCTTTCTCTGTCCTGTAGTCTACGGCTAATTTTTGGCAAAATGCCTCTGCGACAAGCTTCAAATATCAAGAGAGCATCTGTGGTGGTTTCGATAAAACCATTGAATGTTTCGTTGATGGGCATGTTTAAAATAGAAAGAATTGTTTGAAAGAAAGAAAGAAAAGAAAATACTTAATTTTGTAACATAAATAGAGGTGCTTATATATATTTCGAATTAAAGTTGCTTATTTGTGATCAATAGATTGAACCATTTCCTATACAAACGCGCACAATGCAGGGGCGGAGAAACAAAAATAGGGATGATAAAAAAGTTAGAAAAACCTTTTCTAAAGGGTTTCTGCTATTGACCGTCGTTGTATGACATTAAGCCGAACACGAAATCAGAAACAAGTGATTTATATATGAATGAAATAAAGTTCGTCTTGTTATGCAATGTCTTTATCAATGACAAAAAGTATAGCTTGTGTCTTTAAAATAACAACAACGCCATTACATAAAGCAAAAATAATGCGTTAATTTTGAACATAAAAAGAAAAAAATTTTCCTCTTGGGAATTGACATCTGTGCGTTAGAAATGCTTTCTTAAAGTGATCATCATTCTTAGATTATACAACAAACAAACCTAAAATAATAGGAGAGGGACAATTAGTCAAGTCCCAATTACACTCTAATTCTTTACTTTTTTTGGGTCAAGTTGGCCTCCTCTTGCCATTCTCTGCCTCTCTTCCCCTTCTAGATGCATATATGCTCCTTTGAATTGTTTCTAATATCGCCTCCTATTTAAGAAACAGGGATACTAAAAGTCTAACAGAACAGTTGCAAATAAAGTTTTCTAATGACATTCTTCTCCTATTTTTGTCAATTTGAAGAAAGACCAAGAAAAAAATCTGAAATGATACATGTTTGCTCTCGGATATCTTTATGATATTGTGGTTCCCTATCAATAAAGTTTGATTGAATGCCTTGCTCCTTTTTATCATAAGAAGAAATAATAAGGTTAGTTGAATTCCTTTTAGCTGACCTTGCTACCCATAGCCTTGGTTTATATCCGCACCAACTGCATATATGTATATGGACGTAATTACAATCAACTGATGCCCTTCGATCATTGTCAATAAGACTGTCATGATTCAAGTTGTTATATAGCATTTAGTTATGCTCTTTATGTGTAGCTTTAGTGTTGGCGGGATGATTGTTATATAGTTACAAGTGTGATATACTCAAGATGCACAATAGCATATTTTAGCACAAATATTAACCCTGATTCAAGTACACAATTTGAGAACTTTAAGATTTTTTTTGTTCAAAGAGAAATAAGGCATTTTACCATATTTATGCAGATTAGTTTTTTCTTGTGTATATACATGCATGTAAAAATATGTTTTTTTTTCTGGTGATAAACAGACGATCGAAAATTATACGAAACATGTTTTGTGCATCAGATTTTCGATGAGAACAAATTGGTATATGTTTATTCAAATAAGTTATTTTGTAGCAGTCCTTAAACATACTTGCGGCCATAGTCATGGAGATATGCAGACGATGTTTGTATATTGCAAATATTTAAATTTTTCTTTTTTTTTTTGTAGCTTACATTTAATTGACCATCATAATAAATATAAATGCGTCGCATGCATAATTGACTGTAAAGTGTAGAATAATAACTTACAAACTAATGACAAAATAAAAATAGCTCTTGTCCAAACTTGGTTAAATTAAGCTTTGCTTTTTTTCTTTTGTTTGAAAAGAAAAGTGTATGTGCGAATAAAACAACTATGAAAGTTACTCAAAAGACTAAAAAAAAACTTGAAATGGTGTAGTCGTGTATACGTTACACTCGCGTTAAGATACCGTCTATAATGACAGAATATTACAAAGAAAATAAGGGAGGCTTATAATTGAGAGCTCCAAAATGTTATCAAAAAAAGTTCTTTTTTAATTGAATCTTAATAGAACTATCTGTTCGATTTTGTTCTTTTTGCTGCAAGAAACTTTGAGTACAACATAAATTCTCTTTTCCCCTCTTCTCCTTTTTTGAGGCAAGAGAAAAGTGTATCTCAATGGGATGAAAGCCCACTGATGACCGTAGCTGTCTATCCTTGTCTGATCTTACGATCTACAAAGGAAACATGAAGTTGGCAAACAATTTTTTTTAGTCTCTTTTTTATTTTTTGTACCCTTTTTTTAGTGTCTTTTTTTTCTTGGGTCTTTAATTTTTCTGCTTCTGAAGAGGTGCATATTTATAAAAGCGTTAGTTTCATTTCCATGCCTTATCCCTTCCTCCAGGACAGTTACTTATGATGCAATTGATCTTTAAATTGAAACAAAGGTACTATTGAGCTGATACTTACTTTCAAAAAAAAATAAGGGGATGGGCAAAAGATGAGTTTTCTATCAAGATTTAACGAATATAGAAGTACGGTTCCGATTTATTTTTATTTAAAGGAGAATATACTTATTTTTTTTTTCTCGGGCTTGTTTTATTTAACCAAGTCCAAATGCTTAATAAAGTAGGATCTTGACAAAAAAGGACAGTTACACATGGTATCAATTGTGAATACTTTTTGTTTATGCAGAATAGAATTTACTTTTGTTTGTAGATCAAGCTAATCTTTGACTTGATTGTATATAAACTTACTCTTGTCATTAAATCAGAATTAGTCTATAGGGTTAAGATTTAATAGATACGGAGGATAAATAAACATGTTTGTAGCTTTTGCTTTTGAACTCTTCAATAAGCACAGCCACTTTGTGAACGAGCCTTATAGATACTCTTTTTTCAGACACTTGATGCCCTATAAAACTATAAAAAACCTATTGTCTTTAAATCGCATAGTCTGTAAAACTAAAATTTACGACATAGCTTCTTTTAAAGTCTATCCCAATGATTGCTACATGACTGTATAAAAAAGACTGTACAGAAGTCTTCTCCTGAGCATGCTATTTTTTGTTTTCGTTTATTTGCAAACGGCTTTCTACAGTCAGACCCCAATTTTGTCATATTCTCGGTTGGGCTCATTCGCATGACAAAGTTGAGGTTATGATGAAATCGAACCAGTGGCTGCGTTGATAAAAACAGTCCCTATATATAAATTGGTACCTGAATTAATAAAAATGTTAGCATCCATTTACTGTTTATTATACTCAAAAATGGCAGTTCAAAGAAATACTTTAGAAAACAGAACACTCTCTGGAAACTAAAATACTCCTACTACAATCTCATCTATCATTGGAAATCAAATGGCTAAACACTTAGCTCGAGTTATTTTTACTCAGAGACAACGTTTACAAATCTGCATTGAGTACTTTAATAAACCCAAAAAAAGCCAAGAGTACGTATGCCTTTGGTCAAAGAGAGAGTTCAGTCTCCTTCAATTGCCTTCACAATCAACAATTAGAAAGATTGTGAGCAAATATGAAAAGTTGGCTCAAATGTCTGATAAAGACCTTGACTCAAGCAGTAGTAAAGAGGCCAAATATCCAAGCCTCGAAGAAAAAGTCATGGAGCTTGTTGACACTATGGAAGCAGAAAACATTGCTATCAACAAGCATACAATCCGTGCCTTTGTTATTCATGCCATGTCTACCAACACTAGCTTAGTTGACAATGAACAAGCATTATGCCTATCAAACGGTTGGTTGAACAGGTGCATGAAGAGACATGATATTCGTTCGAGACAAACGAACGGCGAGGAAGGATCAGTGCAAATCAATACCGCTGCAGTATAAGGTCAAATGGATGGGCTGAAAGAGTTGATGAAACAGTACCAGTTAAAGGATATTTTTAACTTTGATCGTGTTGCTCCTACCAAGGTAATCTCTAGCCAAGGAGTCTCAGGTATTAAGTATGACAAGACTCGAATTACTATTGGTCTTCTTTGCAATGCAGATGGAAGTAAAAAGTTTGACCCTGTAATTATTGGAAAAACTGAAAGGCCTAGGTGCTTCAAGGGTAAAACTGGCATGTCATTATTTCTTCAACTTAAGTATTTTTCTAATTAAACAAACTATAGCTTCTGATCTCACTTATCCAAATTATTACTTCAATGTAAAAAGCTGGATGGCAATGAAAATATTTAGACGCTACTTCCGCTCCCTGGACAGTGGAATGAAAAGAGAGAAAAGAAACATTCTTATTCTTTTTGACAATGCTCCTGTTCGTGACCGTGATATGCAGCTGACCAACATTAAGTTCGGTTTTTTATCTGCAAATACTACATCCCATTTGCAACCTTTGAATGTTGGTATTATTGCAAACTTTAAGCAACAATACAAGGCTATGTAGTTAAGCATGCTGCGTACAAATTTATTGCAATCCAATCAACAAAGCAAAAAGATGCTCTTGTGGACTTAGATCAAGCAAATGACGTTGCTAAAGAAAAAATGAAAAAAAAAAATGTACGCTGTAGATCAGCTCCAGGCGATGCGTTGGACCAAAACTGCTTGAGATAAAGCCAATGCAGATGCGATCAAGGTTTGTTGGAGACACGCAGGCATCCTGCTTACAGTCTCAGATGAAGATGGTGACACTTCTGCTCCAGTTGCAGCAGACTTAAGCACTGAAGATGTGATGATCTGTTCAAGCAAACAGTCTTTTGACGAAGTTGAACTGGAGAATGAGGGAATCTGTAGAGACTCAAAAGAAGTCCCCAGTGTTGAGGAATAAGAACAAGAAGAAGAAATGACAGAGACAGCCAAACGAAAGTATTTGATAACATGCATGGAAGGCATCCTAAAGCATTACTGTGCTGAGAACGACAACCAGTTTATCATGATGTCTACTATGTCTCATGTTTTCAAAAATCTAAAGCAAGAAGAGGTTGATCCACACGTAAAGCAAAGTGAAATAACCGATTTCTTCAAAAAATAGATCACCTTAATCTCTGACTTCTAATAAAATCTATATATTATCCAATAATATTCTCTCAAAAAAATTCGATTTTGTCATATGGGATTTGGCAAACCGTATTCTAATGACAGGGCTCGCCATAAGGAATATTACCAGTATGCCGTAAGTCAGTAAAGACAGCCTTCATGACAAAATCGAGTTTATGACAAACTCGGGGTCTGACTGTACTTTTATGACGCAGCCACAGCTTTTTTGTTGTGTTCTATTCAACAGTCAATATAGTTCATGTTTGAATAAAGCAGCAAAAGTGCATTTAAGTAGTTATTATCAAAGTTGTCAAGAAATCAAATCAAGAAACAGGCTGACATATATCATAACAAAACTCAAGTTAATTTTTTTTCTGTTGACGTTTTTAATTTGTATGAAGCAAAAGTTAGAATAGAATTGCTTTTTTGATATTGATTAGAGTTAGTTTTCAGAAAATTGAGTTAATCAGCTTTTTGTCGGGTTCATTCTGAATCTAGCAGTGATTAGATTCTAGAAACCTTTTTATTGTAGTTATTAACCAGCATGCTCTAGCAGCAATTGTAAGGGAATAATGCAGAAGCAAAATATTTCTACTTCTACATCTTTGTTTCTTTTCATCTCTTCCCTCCTTTATTCATATTACATCTAACTGTCTTTCTTTTTTTTTATCTGTGTATAAGCTATAAGATACACTTCTTGTCCTCTGATCACAGCCGATTACAGCTTCGATCTTACCATCATAGCAAGTAACTCATACTCTTCTTATTTACTCACATGCGGTAAATATACATAGAAGACTTCTCTGCTTCATGGCCGCTGCCGCCATAAGTGCTTCAATGACATAAATTTGTTAGAAATGAAACCTTTCCTGTGGATGTGACCCAAATATGTCATTTCTACCATAGTGTTCAACTGACAAATGGGAAATAAAAAACCCGTCATTTACTTTTTTAAACCCGCCAATTGGCCACCGTGAGCAAAAACCAAAATTGGTTACGGTTTTGTGCCTAAAAAAATTTAAGAGATTCTTTCCACTTTTTTTCTATTCTTTTTCATTTCATAATTATTATGGCATCAGCTAAAAAGACCTACCCATTCTATTTCGGTGGCGCCGCTTCATGTGTGGCAGCTGTTGTTGTTCACCCTTTTGACCTTACTAAGGTGCGTCTTCAAAATACTAAAGGTAGTGCCAAACTTGGTATGTTTTCGACGATGATCAAGATCGCTCGAACTGAAGGTTTCTTCAACCTCTATGCCGGTCTTTCTGCTTCAATTCTTCGACAAGCCACTTATTCTACTGTTCGTTTTGGTGTTTATGAAAAATTAAAGGATCTTGTTCAAGCAAAGACTCAAAAAAGTAAGAAGGAAGATGGAAAAAATTAACAAAAGATGACTCATCCAATGAAAATTAGAGGCCAGTGTGCTTGAACTCTTGATGTGTTCTAGTATTGCAGGTGCTTTAGGTGGTGCCTGCGGTAACCCTGGTGATGTAGTTAATGTCCGTATGCAAAATGACGGACAGTTGCCTATTCAACAACGTCGCAATTACAAGCATGCCATCGATGGTGTTATTCGTATCTCAAAAGAGGAAGGCACAAGCGCATTGTTCCGTGGTCTTGGACCTAATGTAAACCGAGCCATTTTGATGACTTCAGCACAGTGTGTTTCCTATGATATGTTCAAGTACCTCATCTTGAACCATACACCTATGCAGGATGGTATTCCCGTCCATTTGACTTCTAGTGTACTTGCTGTAAGTAAAAATGCGTGATATGGGGAATTTGTATTGATCATTTGTACAATAGGGACTTGTGGCAACTACTGTATGTTCACCTGTTGATGTCATTAAGACCCGTATTATGTCCGCAAGCACTGGTGACCATAAAATGTCAGCTACTCAGATCATGAAACAAATGTTCAAGGCTGAAGGTGTGAGTTCATTCTTTAAGGGTTGGACACCCGCTTTTATCCGTTTGGGTCCTCAAACGATCATTACATTTGTTGTGCTTGAACAATTCAAGTCTTGGTATGATTTACTCCAATCCAAAAAGTCTACCGCAAAGACTGTTGCAGCTCATCAAATCTAAAGCTATCATTATTTACATACTATCATTTATTTATTTTTTTCTTTTTCTTATACACTCAAGATATCATTTCTTTTAGATTATTTTTAGAGATAGACTTTTATAAAAAAAATTTTTTTTTCTGTTTTTGCCCATCATTTCCCAGCTTTGTCCATCTCTGAATTAAAGTTTGGTAAAAGTCAGCTAAAATTAAGGAGTTTGCATGTGTCCAGATGGACTCATTTCGATTTTGTTCTTGTTTTTAACTTTAATCTTGTGAAATGGTTTTGCTTCAGTAACTTTGTTGTACAAACGCAAGCTTTGTTAGTTTAATTTCATTGTCTATCACACTCACACACAGACACAGAAATTATTTATTTGTTACCTTAAAGGTAAATTCTGTCTTATTTTGGATAACAAACACTATGTTCATTGTTTATCGAATAAATCATTCAAAACTCGTTTAGCCAAGTTATGAATATCGTTTTCGGTGTCTATTATCTCTTCTTCTTGTTGCTGGTTTGCAATACGTAAGATTGACTCGATAATTGTTTTAGACTTGATAATTCTTGATTTCATTTCAAGACCTAAGCAAAATGAGTATATAAACCTTTTAGGTTAATCTTACTTCCTCCTTCAATGAACTGCTCTATGGTCCAAACACCAATGTGTTGGAAAGCAGTCGTATTTGATTCTTTCAAAAAAGATATCAAAAAATCTTTGACACCACCTCTAGGCAACTCCCATGCCTTTAGGAAAGGCCCATAGTCTTCAACTAAGATTTCTGTAAGTAAACTAAATCAATTTGAGCAACTTACTCTTTGAACTCAAGTTCCCAATAGCAGCAGCAGCATTGCCTTGCACTTCATTGTTTCTGCATAATACCATTGGCAATAATACTTCCAATACACCCATATACAACAGACGAGATTTTAGCTCATCGCTCAAAGCCAATACTGCAATAGCCGCTGTCATTTCTACCTGAACACTCACAGGCACCTGCCGAATCAAATGTTTGATGCGCTTCACTGCACCTGCTTCCATAATGGCAAGCTTGTTGCGTTCTGAAGTAGCAGCCAAGTTTCTTAGTGTAGAAATGGCATGGCATTGGATCTCTTCATTATCTTCATAAGACAAAAGCTCAATTAAAGGATTGACAAAACCTTGATCAATGATAGGCGATTCATTGGATGGATGGATTGATATATTGCGAATACACGCAACAGAAGATAGAATGAGTGGTAGAAATGATGATTTGATTAGCTTTAATAGTGGTGGTAATCCTCCATGCTGAACGATCTCCAATTGGTATTTTTCTATAAAGTTGAGTTGGTCTATATTTTACTTTCGTTTTATTATTTTACCGTCAGAGGCCAGGTTTCTTAATGCAAGTGCAGCTTGGCATTGGACTTTGAGACTTTTAGTATCCATGAGTTGGATCAAGTACTGTATAAGCCTTGAATCTGATTGAGCCAGCTTAATACGGTTGGTACCTGTATTTACTCATGATAAGACAATGGCTCTTTTTCTATTTGCTTACCGTCCACAGCAATATTTGACAGAGCTGTTGTACAATAATATTGAACATCCGCATCATCTGAACCAAGTAAGCTTATTAAGACTGGAATGGCACCTGCATTCACCAATTGTTGACGATTTTCCTCTATACTAAAGTAAGTAAATACTTTTTTAATTTGAATTGCTTACGGTTATGTGTCATATTGAGCAATGCACCTGTTGCATTCCTTTGAACTCTTTGGTCTTTTGATCTTGCTAAATTAATTAGTAATCGCAAAGCTTCTGAATTGGCAATGCGAGATTTGTTTTCATCTATTAGAAGATATAAGAAACAATGCATTTGCATATATAAACTACCATGCGTGGCCAAATTGGTAATACAGCCTACTGCATTACATTGCACTTCGACATTGGATGAACCCATTTGTCGAATAAGTTGACTCAAACCACCCAACTTTACCACCATTAATTTATTTTCAGCTGTTGATAAGGAATGAGAAAGGGGGACAAGACGGAGGTGGTTAAAGGGGAGGATGTACGAGGTATGTAATAAAAAATGGTTATTGACTTACTGTTGACAGCTAAATTCCCCAATGCTGCACTTGAAGCACGCTGAACTTCTACATCATTTGATTGTAACAAAAACAAGATAGGGTCCAGCGTCTCACTTCCAACCTGTCTTACATCTAAACAAACAATGAGAAAGAGATCCATAAAATATTTATATCCTGCCTTTTTCTGTAATTTCAGCAAAAGCGAGAGCGGCCGATCTCTGTAGATCCACATTATCTGAATAAGCCAAAGTGGATAGAGCACACAATGGTTGACCATCAAAAAAGTTGGTATGGTCACGATCTAAAAGCACTATCAATCATACATATTCGCCATGTTTTTTTGTTTACTCTCAAGATATTGCAACAATTCTGTTATGGCTTCTCTCTCATTTTGCTGTAACAATGGCTCATATAAGCCCGAATTATCATGTTCTAAGCAAGATCTTTTAGAATGCATAAACAAGCATCCTTTTTAGTTTTGTTTGACTTCTTACTTGCACAACAACAAATGTTGCCCATATTTAATAAATGAAAAGAAAGAGAAAAAAAGGAGATTCATTGTCATATTTGTTTACATACTTTTTTTTTTGTATGTCTGACAATAAAGGGGAACACTTCTCCTTGAGAATTGTTTAAATATCATTAAAAAATTTATTGATTCAAAATCAGTAGGAGCATGTAATTCTTCCTTGCGCTTTTGAAAAGGATACTAGACAGGACCAGTTTAAGCAACCATAGCAGAAGCAGTGGCAGATTCACTATTAGAAAAAAAAATGGGTTAAGGAAGACAGTTACCGAGCTATTTTGCTTAAAAGCAAAGTCGACTCTCGACGTAATGTCCAATATAGGCAATAAAATGATTTCACACACACACACACGCTATAAATGTTAGTATTTAAGTAAAAAAGGATACTATTTCCAGGTGGGAGGGAGTTGACCAGCAGTCTTGTAGTAACGAGCAAGACGGTGGATACGAGATTCAATGAGAATCAAACGGTACTTGGAGTCCTTGTCCTTTCTGTTACGTTCCAAGTGCTTACGGATGGAGACAGCCTTCTTGATGAGGTGGTACAAGTCTTCAGGAACTTCAGGAGCAAGACCGTTGGACTTCAAGATACGGAGGATCTTGTTGCCAGTGATGGACTTGACTTGAGGGATACCGTGAGAGTCACGGAGAAGGACACCAATTTGAGCGGGAGAGAGACCCTTCTTGGCGTTCTTGCAGATCATATCAACAACTTCTTCAGAAGAAGTCTTGACCCAAGAGGGAGGAGTGCGACGGTAGGGGAGGGCACTGCTAGAGATACCCTTACCAGAAGTATACATACGACCCATTTTGAATGATTTTTTTGAGAAAAGATTGGGAGAGAAGGAAGAAAAAAAAAATTTAAATTTTGATAAAAAAAGAGTTAGAAGACAACCAGTCACTTTGGTGTGCACTTTGGTTGAACCACATTTCGTGCAAATGCAAGTTTGACATGTAAGTCTATTTTGAACTACAGCATACTCAAAATCAGAACAAACCAACCTCAATTAAAAAGCATTAGAGCTAATCATCGTCTAAAATTTGCTATAAATTATTAAACAGCCATTTGTGTGCCATTTATACTGAAAAATAAAGCGTAATCGGATTGAAAAATGGCTGATTTGCTTCGTAGTATTAAATGCTCCCAAAGCTAGAGATCTAATTGACAGAGACTTGGATTGACTCGTGCTAAAAGAGTATGATGGAAAGTTTTGAATCACAAAATATTAATTATTAGATAAGAATGCCTATAAAAGAGGATGAAGCAGTGAAAATTTGTCCTACTTTTAGACAGCCAATGTACCCTATATACATGATTAAACACTGAAAAGACATGAAATGTACAAAACTTGCTCGATTAGTTCCATTCGACACTGAAAATAGCGCAGTTTGGCTGTGGAAATAATTTATCTGCTCTTAAGCAGTACTTTTGATTTCAGATGAAGGCATAACAGCACCAACAATACTTTGTCTGAAAACTATTTTCCTTTTTTTTATCAATAGCTTGATTTGGATCAGTATTGACTGAGAAACCAAAATTCAAAGGTTTTTTTTACCAACGCATAAAAGTATGTATATCTCACACTAAGTGCAAAAAGACCACTTAAAATACTCAATCAATATGATGACTGCAAGCTACATCCACATCCTAAAACTTGGTGTTTAAGACATACAATGGTATGGGCAGCATTGTAGCAAGAGAAGAGGGAGGGAACGAGGAGGAGAAGGAGGAGAAAAAAAAGGGGGAGGGTTTATATGGTATACATAGGATGCATTGGCTCTTTTTTTTCAGGAGAAAGGCGTCATTGATCTTACTAGTTTATGCAAAGGACGTTTTACTTCTTGAAATGGATGTACCTTCTCTAGTAAAAAAAAAAAAAGTGTAGAAATCCTCTTGATGCATTGATCTAGTCAAAAAGAGGGTGTATCTTTCAAAAGAGCAGACGAATACGCATGGTTGTACCACTGCGCAAAGATAGCATAACGTCCGCTTAGACCCGCATAAATGCTTCGAATACGCATAAAAAATGTTTGATATCATCTACGGTACCTTTAGAGTTGATTTGGACAAAAAGAAAAGGCGACTTGTAAAAAACGGTCAAAATGACCTTTCGACCAAAGGGTACTACTCATGGAAAAAGCTCATTTTGACAACTTCTCATCTTCTTTTTAACGTTACAAGACAAAACATAAAGCTACTAATAAGTTCAAGTACTTGAAATGTGCGCAAGATGCTACAGTTTTTGATCGAAGTGTTTGCTTGTCAGCTGTACTATGAAAATAGTAAGATATGAGCAAAAAACCTTTTAAACTTTTTTTTTCACGTCGGCGCAGTTTCTCACCAGCAACAATGCTATTTTCTTTACACCAATAGGCTTAGAAGACAAAGATTACTATTTTTCTTATTACACCAAAGCCAAATAGCTGCGTCTTTATGCAGCTCCAAGCAGAAGCTCAATTTTTGATGCGGCTAGAAGAAGAACCGGAGTTGTCTTCCGTTTTCAATCTTCGTTCGCAGCCATCTAGTATGTCTTATGTTCATTTACCTTACATTTGCATTATAGAATGCCTATATTTCTACTTTCTTATATTTCCTTGACACTCAATGAAGATAAACCTCTTTAAAATAGTCCATTGACAACAATTTTTATATGTCATTAGAGCAAAAACACTCAGATCTGAGCTTCAATGAGTCATTTTCTGATGCGTTATTGCTCAACAACGAGACTATAGAAAATACTATAAAACTATTATAATACATTTATTAAAACTTTGATATCATTTATGCCGACATTCAAGTATGCCATTTGTATACTCAAAAAAATATTCTTTGAAAAATAATACAAAAACATTATTTAAAATTAAGACCATTACCTTGAAATAAATCAAAAATATTCTCTACAATGACAAAAAATAAAAAAAAAGTAGAAAATTTTTCTTGTTTTCAATTTTTCTGCTTAAAATTAATAAACGACCCTACCGAATAATAGCCTTACTGTTTTAGTCTGAAAGAAGAGGTTGCTGGTCGGTAGGGTCGTTTATTAATTTTAAGCAGAAAAATTGAAAACAAGAAAAATTTTCTACTTTTTTTTTTATTTTTTGTCATTGTAGAGAATATTTTTGATTTATTTCAAGGTAATGGTCTTAATTTTAAATAATGTTTTTGTATTATTTTTCAAAGAATATTTTTTTGAGTATACAAATGGCATACTTGAATGTCGGCATAAATGATATCAAAGTTTTAATAAATGTATTATAATAGTTTTATAGTATTTTCTATAGTCTCGTTGTTGAGCAATAACGCATCAGAAAATGACTCATTGAAGCTCAGATCTGAGTGTTTTTGCTCTAATGACATATAAAAATTGTTGTCAATGGACTATTTTAAAGAGGTTTATCTTCATTGAGTGTCAAGGAAATATAAGAAAGTAGAAATATAGGCATTCTATAATGCAAATGTAAGGTAAATGAACATAAGACATACTAGATGGCTGCGAACGAAGATTGAAAACGGAAGACAACTCCGGTTCTTCTTCTAGCCGCATCAAAAATTGAGCTTCTGCTTGGAGCTGCATAAAGACGCAGCTATTTGGCTTTGGTGTAATAAGAAAAATAGTAATCTTTGTCTTCTAAGCCTATTGGTGTAAAGAAAATAGCATTGTTGCTGGTGAGAAACTGCGCCGACGTGAAAAAAAAAGTTTAAAAGGTTTTTTGCTCATATCTTACTATTTTCATAGTACAGCTGACAAGCAAACACTTCGATCAAAAACTGTAGCATCTTGCGCACATTTCAAGTACTTGAACTTATTAGTAGCTTTATGTTTTGTCTTGTAACGTTAAAAAGAAGATGAGAAGTTGTCAAAATGAGCTTTTTCCATGAGTAGTACCCTTTGGTCGAAAGGTCATTTTGACCGTTTTTTACAAGTCGCCTTTTCTTTTTGTCCAAATCAACTCTAAAGGTACCGTAGATGATATCAAACATTTTTTATGCGTATTCGAAGCATTTATGCGGGTCTAAGCGGACGTTATGCTGCTTTCATTTGTAGAAGAAACAGAAGATCTGCAAGAATAGTCGCCTTTTTTATTGCCAAAACATTTATCTGTCTGCAGCCTTTGCTACATGAACAAGGTATATGTCATCAAGTAGCTTATTTGAATAGAGTATCTTGACAAAAAACATTTGATTCGTTTAAATCAAAGAAAGATAATGTTTGCTCAAAAGTATCAAAATATTGAAAAGTTTTATGATGCACTAAATCTGGCTCAAATGACTTTACATTGCCATTTATTCACAGCTTTAGCTTAACACCCCGTTTTATCTATAGTGTAAACGCACCCAACCCAAAAGCTGCAATCTTATCTGCATGATTTAATACAATTAATTCAATGGGCAAATGTCTGACAATAGATGATTTATGCCTAATTACGCAGTCAGCTTCTTATTGATAAAATGTTTTAAGGTAGGTACGCAGTCTTAGATATCAACCGGTCAGCCACACTGAGCATATTGGAGATTTACCGGTTCATTTAATCGAGATTCTTGTCTGGCTACAAACCTAAGCCTACAATTATTATCAGATTATCACTTTTTTTTGGTTAACTTTTTATGCTTGTTTTCTCAAGGAGTTTGTTTAGCTTAATGCATGAAATATAGTCCAACTTGGTCTTTCTTTCTCTATATAATAACCAACATGTATATGCATGTAGTACTATTGATTCAGTTTAGGGTCTATCGTTTTTTTTTCTTTTTTGCCTAATTAACATTGGGTTTATTTTGTTTATTTTAGAAAGAGTTGGACTTCATGTTTAGTCTTAGTAGAAGGAAAAATACTCAAGCTAGCCTGTGATGTATATAATCAATAATAAACGATACGTGTGAACATCATTATCAAAAGGTTGCTTGTGATAGGTTATTTACATTCACACAAAGATCATATGCTTTCGTCGAGCCCCCTTTGTAAAAAGTGTAATATGAAAAAGGACTTTAGGGATAAAAAAAGTGCCGAAGCTTGCCTCTGGGAACAGTCTCAAGATTAGAAAAACCTGAATTGCTTTATTAGGGTATAGCTTTGATAATTTTCGTATTTTTTGATTCATGAATAGTATTTTACCGATAATCTAAAACGATAAAGACATTTTAGTTATACTTTTTAGAAAAAACTCTGTCATTCACAGGTTGAGCAGGATGCCACTCTGCTCATTTGCAGATAGTTCTTTTACCTTTCGACCATTAACGTATTACGAGATTTTTGTTTTACTGTAGTTTGACATTAAACTCCCATAATATTGCCTAGTATCACCTTACAAATGATCCTTGGTTATATCTTTAAATTGCATTAAAGCATGCACAAGATTTTTTAAAGTTTAGAAAGATCTATACAAGTGTACTTGCGTTTTTCAATCAAATAATTGATCATCAACTATCTTTATAGCTCTCGCAAATGAAGAAATACACTCCATTATTCGAAACTCAAGTTTGATTTAGACAACACTTCTACCTACTTTTGAAAAAATCATATTGCGCATTGCATACATTTGAAAGATGCAAAAAAATGCTTCTTTTTTCTTATTCAAGTTGTTATTTTTACTAAATTAACAAGCCGAGACCAAAGCTGAATTGCCAAAGTATATTGCTTGTGATACAAAATACTATGCTCTTATAAAATACTATAAAGAGGTACTTTGTTTGAATCTGTAAAAAAAAAGAGATCGTCAAATCAAAGTTCGAGAAATAAGACTCAGATTAATATGAAGAATGATATGAAGTCTTGGCTGCAGTAATTGTAACCACTCATTTATTTACTTAAATTGCTGTCTCCCCGGTTGAGCTTTCTGTATCTTTCTCTATAATTAAGAATAGAGCAAATAACTGTAAGTGACCGAGACGATGTTCAATCATGACTTTTTGTAGTTTAAAATTCAGTGCAGCATGCTTTGAGCTCTTTGTAAATGAATTATACCTTGTATGACAATAAAACGTTACAAATTAAATTACAACATTGACGGAGACACAAAGTGTCCGTGTTACTCTTTAGAAAGTGTAACTGTGCTCTGATGTTTGCTCAAGCCGATCAGGCTTTTTTGGGATTGACACAGTGTAGCATTTGATGACAAGTATAAATACCTTCATGAGTTGTCTTTTTTTTCAAGTTCAATTCAAACAACCAACTAGTTCTCAAGTCTTGAAAATGGTTTACATTCCTTCCATCTCTTCTTCTCTTGCTCTCATTACTGTCCTTGCCTCTGCTGCCCAAGCTGCTACTATTTGTACAGTTGCTACTGGTAGTAGTGACGCTGCTACCGCAATTACTACTGCTTTTACCAACTGTGCCAATGGTGGTACTGTTGTCTTTACTGAAGGTGCTACTTACAATCTCAACTCTTTGGTCTCTGTCACTGGTTTGAAGGGTACTAAGGTTCAATTCTACGGTACTCTCAACTTGCCTGCTTACAATACCAAGTACGACAATGAAAACGCTTACTTTACTATCAAGGGTGATAGCATTGCTTGGGATGGTGCTGGTGTTGGTACTATTGTTGGTGGTGGTCAGAAATGGTGGGACGCTGGTGATAAAAAGGCTCCTACTGTCTTGAGAATTACTGCCACTAGTTCTTCTTTCAGTAACTTCATTATCAAGCAGGCTCCCCGTGCTCACATTGGTATTACTAGCTCCACCGGCGTCACCCTTAATAAGATCACCATGAACACTGTTTCTTCCAGTAGCAATGATGCTCACAACACTGATGCTGTTGATATCTCTAACTCCAAGAACATTGTCTGGACCAACTCTGATGTAACTAACGGCGATGATTGTTTGGCTATTAACGGCAACACCTCAAACGTTACTCTCAGTGGCATTTCTTGCACTGGTTCTCATGGTTTCTCTGTTGGTTCTCTTGGTAAAGGTGGTGAAACTGACGTTGTCTCTGATATTACTGTCAAGGGCAGTAAGTGTACTAATTGTCAAAACGGTGTTCGTATCAAGACCTGGCCTGGTGGAAAAGGTTCTGTCAGTGGTATTACTTTCAGTGATGTTACCCTTACCAATGTTGACAACCCAATTCTTATTACTACTCACTATTGTGATAACAACCAGAAATCCTACTGTACCGGTAACGATGCTTCTTCATTGACCATTAGCGATGTTGTTCTCAAGGATATCTCTGGGTAAACTGATAGATAATAGGGTGTGACATGATAACTAACCTATTTTTTCCCTTTAGCTCTGTCTCAACTGCTGGTAACCCTATCCTCAATGTTAACTGTTCCACCAAGACTCCTTGCTCTGATTTTACTTTGACTGATATTAGCATCACCAAGCAATCCAAGACTAAGTCTAACATCTGTACCAATCTCTCTGGTTCCAGCAAAATCTCTTACTGTAGCCAATAAGGCCAGTCGAATAAGAAAAGCAAAATACCAATGATAATGGAATCAAGAGTATAACAATATAGCAAGAGCGTTCTACTTGATTTCAATAAAAAAATACCTTAAATAGTTTCTGTATGTGGAATTGATTCAGAAATTTAATGAGCATTTGCTCAAGATGATCATAGTCTTAGAATGTAGAGTTATTGAGAGAGGCGATAAACAAAGGCAAAGTCACTTTTATTTTGAATTAGTTACATTTTCCGTTAATGCAATCTTCTTTGCAGTCCCATTGGGTGGGGCAACATGCATTCTTAGGGCCATTACCTTTTTTCTTGTCTTTGTAATCACTTATGCAAGTAGCAGTAGGTTTTCTAGAAGTTGCAGTCTTTTTTATTGTTGTTGCTGTTGTTGTTGTTGCTTTAGTGGGCCCATTGCATTTACCGTTAATACATTCCTCCCAACAATCAGCTTGAGACTTACAGCAGTCGCCTTTATAGCCATTGTCCTTTTTCTTTCCAAATATTTTTTCTTTATTTGAGCAGTTAGGAATAGCGGTGGTTATGGCCACAGTAGTCGTGGTCGTAACATCTACACCAGCACAAGTGTAATACTCATGCCCGTCTTCATTCCTTTCTTGATAAACACATGGTATAGACATGCCAGTATCTGTAACAACAATGTGTGCAGGCATACCATCCATATAGTTATTGGTATAGACAATAACAGGAGAAGCAGTATTAGCACATACACCCCAAGGATTTATTACGTGCTGATCCCGCTCTGCTGTGGTAGAAAGAGACATGCAATTATATGAACAAGTACCTTCCTAAGGACAACCAAAGTAATTCTGACGCTCAGGAAGGGGTGGAGGGACGATATAAACAGAGAAATCATGAGCAGCACATACTGTTTGGATAGCAGCCAGACCAAGATAAGCAAGAATGGCTGTCTTCATGTGAATTGGATTAAAATAAAAGCGAGTGAAAAAAAAAGAAGTAAAAACTCGGATAACCATTAGAAAGAGAATTTATTGAGTGATCTTCAAAGTTTCAAGCTTAGACTGGTCGTGCTCAACTGCTTATTCAGATTTCTTCCGTAAGTTTGTGCGACTTCAAATAAAAGAATCTCTGGTAATCGGCTTGATCTTGGTACTGCGTCTGACAAATGTATGGAGGTGAAGAGAGCAAATGAAATAATCACCTTATTTAAAATATGGCTACAAGCAGCAAACAATGATCAATTTAAATTTTTGAGTAAATGCGATCGTCTGTTGTACTACTTGATATGTATCTCGGTTAACGAACTTTTTTTGGATGTCATAACTTTGGCAAAATCAAGACATCGGATGTCCATTTTTTTTTAAAGAAAACTCTCTTGTATGTATATTATGGTGCTGATCGAATGAAAATCGAGGGAGGGAAACTGCATTACTCTTTATAATTAACATTTATTCCGTTATGAGATGGCTTGCTGATCTTCCTTTTTCTTTTTTTACATATTTATACTCTGTTAGCTCAATTCGTTTTCATAAATTGTTCTTTGATTTCTTCTCTGTTTATCACTGGCAATTGTATCTGTTTCATTCTAAAAAGTAAAATAGAAACTTTTGAATAAAATGAGTAAATGGAATATGATTATTCAATAGTTGACCCATTCTTGTATCACTCATCATGATGCTATGACCACCAATAAGAATGCCTTCCTTATTTGGGGTGTCAATCGTTCGTGCTACATATGCAGCCATTTTGTCATCAAAAGAAACAAGACATTGAATTCATATGTAAGCACGTAGTATCTGGCAGAGTTTTTCATTCGTTTCCTAGAAAACATACGTGCATAACAAATCATAAGTAACTAGGTATAGGAAGTAGTTATATAGGCTTAAACAAGCGGAATCTCTTTTCTGAGATTACTTATTTACGCGCATCTTTAAAAAACCAAGTCTCATCGTTAGGTTTTTTTTCTTGGTGATTCAAACTCAAGCATCTTTACTGACAATAGACGTCTTCTTTTCCCTTCCTCCTCTCTCTCTACCCTTTCCTTTTCTACTGCAACAAAAGAAAGTCTGTTCACACACACACTCTCTCTCTATGCCTCAACAACAAGCACCTGGTTCACCACTATCACCACTATCTCCTCCTTCCCCTTTCCAGCCTTTATCTTCTACACCCATAACAGATCAAAAAACCATATACGATGTTATTTATTCAACCAAAAACCCTTCAGACTTCTATGGACCTCATCAACTCATCAACTCTGGTGCTTGTCCTCATCTCGCTAAGCTAAAACAAAAGCTAAGAGAAGAAGGCAGTGCTTGCCCACAAGATAATATCCTGGAAAATTATCGGGCTTTAGTCCGGTATTCTATTTTATGGCATAAAAGCAGAAAATCAGCACATTCAGACAACAAGAGAAAAAGACAGGTTAAAGAGGTGAGTTTACCAAGTGCATGGACATGTTTTCTTAACAATGCATGAATAGCTCCCATTGCCTCAATGTACTACTTGTTCTGATCCATTATCAAGACTACATGCATGTCTTCATTGTGTCTATTTAGGTTGTTGGCGGAAGGGACACATGAAGGAACATCAAGCAGAAAAGAAACATATCTTTGGTAAGGAAGCTAAATTCGTAAACTATCTTGACATTTTCTCTAGCTATGGATTTTGATCGACATACTATTTTTTGTAGTGAATGTGATGATTATGTTTATGATATAGAAATTGATGAAAAGATTGCTCGACATGAATTGATTACAAGTAGGTAAAAAGGAACTTCCGAGTCCGGATTTAACTCTTTTTCAGAATCAAGAAACAAAAAGCAACGCATTCAATACACATCTTGGGAACCAACAAACCAAGAAATACCTACTCTTGTCCGTAATTCAGCCATTATTTCTTGTCAAGGTATTCGTGGGCTTTGCAATATGGGCAACACATGCTTTATGAATGTCATTCTTCAAAGCTTTGTTCATAATCCCCTATTAAAAGCTTATTTTCTAAGCGATCGACATAACCCTAAACACTGCCAAAAAAGATACTGCATGTGCTGTGAAATGGATGATTTGTTTGCTCAGGTAAAAGCAAATATAAATATGCGTGTCTATGTATACTGAATGTACCTTTTAGTTTTATTCGGATGACAAGAAACCTTATGGTCCTTGTCGATTCTTACAGTCCATGTGGATGAGTCTGAAGGAATTAGCGGGCTATGCTCAACAAGATGCTCATGAGTTCTTTATCAGTGCTTTAAACAATATTCATGCAGGATGCGAAGAACAAAAACTAGCTAACTGTGAATGTATTATCCACAAGACATTTGCTGGTTTGCTGCAGTCAAATGTAACATGTCTTCGTTGTCGCAATGTTACTACGACGTGCGATCCTATGTTGGATATCAGTTTAGGTTTGAGGCCTGTAGAAAAAAAGAAACAGAAAGCTCTGAATGTTCAAAATGAAGTGGCTAATGGTCATAGTAGTAAGCTTCTAGGAGGCCATTCGAATCCAATAGACAAAAATGGTAGAAGATTTAGTAATGATGATCCAGTCAGAACAAGCAAATATGGAAATACGCTACTGGATTGTTTAGACAGGTAAAGAAAGATAGGTCAAAGTATATAATAATTGATGGAGAACAAGATATACACAGCCTGAAAAATTAGGACCCAATGAGTATAGTTGTAGCAAATGCGGTAATACGTTTCAGGTAAACCAAAGTAAACTATAGCTAGAAAATACTAATATGAGAAAAACCAAAAAAAAAAAAAAAAAAAAAAAAGGAAGCAACAAAACAGTTATCCATTAAACGCATACCGCCTGTACTAAGTATCCAGTTCAAGGTATGTGCATAGATATAGATGTTTTAGGACTCAAGAAAAGAACAATGATAGCGTTTTGAGCATGGTACATCTACGAGTAAAATTGAAACCAAGATCAGATTCCCTGTCGAACTTGATTTGACACCTTATACAAGTAGTAAAAACAAAGACAGGTAATAGGCAAAGAACAATGCATATGAATAACTTGTTTTTTCAGTGACAATGTGTATACTTTGTTCTCTGTTGTCAACCATCAAGGCAAGGTAGATACAGGCCACTATACCATGTTTGCAAAACATAGAAATGAGGTACATTGTTCTATTTTTCATAATTACGTATTTTGACGTATAAAATAGTGGTTTAGATTCGATGATCACAATGTTACTGTGGCATATCAAAAAGAAGTCCTTGATAGCAAAGCGTAAGTGTTCTCTAAACAATCTTTTTTCTTAAAGAAAACTAGGTACATGTGCTTTTATGTTAAGAAATCTTTGGAATATGAATCAGATCCTTTCCAATTCATCTAATAAAAGAAGCATTGAATAGTGAATATGTATAAAATGTGCAATTTTTTTATTATATTTATATGTGAATAATTACAGATTAAAACTATTGAGGCATATGCTTTTTTTTTGGGGGGAAAGATGCAAAGATTGTTAACAAAAGGAAAGAATAAGTATTGATGGAGGATGCCAATAAGGATAAAAGAAACATAAAAAGAATTACTTTTTGTTCATCGGATATACAACTTTTTAGTTCTTCTTGTTGCGAGCAGCAATATGAGGATGAACCATAAAGTCATTTAAGGGTTTACCAGCAGGAACCATAGGGAAGAGAACTTCCTTCTTGCAAACAACAGCGTCCATGATGACAGGACCATCATGAGCCAAGAACTCCTTCATCTTTTCTTCAACTTCAGAAGCCTTGGTCACACGAATACCCTTGACACCCATTGCTTCAGCGAGCTTGACAAAGTCAGGGTTCTTCATGACAGTGCCAGAGTAACGTTCCTTATAGAAGAGATCTTGCCATTGCTTAACCATACCTTGGAAAGAGTTGTTCAACAACAAGACCTTGACACCAATGTTGAATTCAGCAGCAGTAGCCAATTCCATGGCAGTCATAGAGAAAGAGGCATCACCATCAATATCAACGACAATGTGGTCAGGCTTAGCAACCTTGGCACCAATGGCAGCAGGGAGACCATAACCCATAGTACCAAGACCACCTGAAGTAATGAAAGAACGAGGAGAAGTCCATCTGTAGTATTGAGCAGTCCACATTTGATGTTGACCAACACCAGTGGTGATAGTAACTTTATCCTTGATATCTCTTGTTTGACGGTCGAGTTCTTCGATCAGTTGTTGAGGCTTCAAGACTTCGTTATCATCGGTTGTCTTTTCATAATAGAAAGGATAATCCTTCTTCCAAGTAGCAATTTGGTCAAGCCATTCTTTACGAGGGGCGTGCTTAATATGAGGCACAAGTTTCTTCAAGTTTTCAGTAACATCACCTTCAATGGCTTCAGTGGCTTCAACGACCTTGTTGATGTTCTTGGGCATGATTTCAAAGTGAAGAATACCACCACGACCTTCTTTGCCGGCCTTAATGGCTTCAGGAGCAAAAGCAGCAACGCTACCAGTAACACGATCATCGAAACGAGCACCAAGAGCAATGATAAGATCAGCTTGTTGCATAGCCAAATTGGCATAACAAGAACCGTGCATACCCAACATATGAAGAGACTTGGGGTCAAATTCATTGTATGTACCAAGACCATGGAGTGTTGTGGTGATAGGAATGTTACCGTTATCAGCAAGAGCGCTCAAGAATTTAGGACCTTCAGGGTGGCCTAAAACACCATGACCAGCATAGATGACAGGTCGCTTAGCATTGTTGATCAAATCGGCTGCGCGTGTCAAGACAGGGTGAGGCTTAGAGCGAGCTTCTTCTGTAAATGCACCGATAGCTGTGTTAGGAATGGTTGTGGGGCGTTGAGGAATGACAGCAGTAGTAGGAATAGGGCGTCTAAGTGTGCTGGCAGTAACGTCCTTAGGAAGATCGACAAGGACAGGGCCAGGGCGTCCACTGGTGGCAATTGTGAAAGCTTCATTAATACGACGAGGAAGTTCAGAAATATCCTTGACCATCACATTCCATTTAGTACATCCACGAGAAATACCAACAACATCGGCTATATATACCATAAGTACTCAATAAACTATAGTCATGATTACGCTATACCTTCTTGGAAAGCATCTGTACCAATGGCAGTAGTGGGTACTTGACCAGTAAAGACAACAAGAGGAATACCATCAGCGAGAGCATCGGCCATGGCGGTAACAACATTGGTAGCGCCAGGACCAGAAGTCACGAGGACAACACCAGGTTTACCACTATCAAGACAAAGTTAGATAAAGATAAAGAGGGTGACACAAAATACTTTACGTTGCTTTGGCATAACCTTCTGCCATATGTCCAGCGCCTTGTTCGTGTCTAGGAAGAATGAAATCAAAGTATTTGGATTCATAGATAGCGTCAAAAACAGGAAGAATGGCACCACCAGGGTAACCAAAGACATGCTTCACATCATGTCTTAACATCATTTCATGAAAAATTTCACCACCAGACATGCCAACGAATGAATTATCCATTTCAACAGTTGCAGGCTTTTTAGAGAGGGGTTGAACACTGTTGAGCTTTTTTTCAGTAGAAACAGCAGAACGATCTGAGTGAGAGACAGTACTATGGCATAATTTCAATCAACTGTGCATGTATGTTTGTTGTGTACTTACGGTGAAGCTACAGCGCTCTTTGATTTATGTGTAGTGTGGATGGCAGCACAGGCCATAGAGGCTCTGTAACGGTAGATTCCAGAAAGAGAAGCTCTAGTGTTGAAGAGTTTTGTTGAATTTCTCGCTGAGGATGCAAGCATTTTCTTTTGTATATATTAAAGTGGAGAAATGTACAATGATAAATAATAATAAAAAAAAGGGGAAGAAATTCTTTCTGTTATAAAGAAACCTTTTTTTTAATGAATTGAATTTTTTTTTTGAAAGAGAAAAAAAAAAGCTTTTCTTGAAAAGATTGGGATGTTAAATAAGAAAAAAAAATCTTGAACAAAACAATTCGTTTGTTTTATGGGACGAATCATGTTTTCAACGGCGATTGAATCCTAATGAGTCAATCAATGAATGGAAAGCATCTTATAGCGTTGTTTTGCGCCATCGGTCTATTTCTTTCCCCCTCTTTTTAAACTCTGCTATAACCAGATAAGCATACATTCGTCTGATATTCTCAGTTCAAACGAAATAAAGATCTGATAGTCTAGTTGTATTCAATAATGTAAAATTAAAAAATAGCATGTGATATAAGATGAACAGACATTTGCCTGTGTTGAATGAGATATAAAGTGAGTCAAACCAATCAAATCGTTTTGCTTGCTTTATTGCATAGTGTACAAGATAGTGCACAGCTTCGATTCTAATTGGATGATATTCAATATGATTCCTATTTGCTCACCAAACCAAATGTGGGGAAAGCAAGTCGGCACTTTATTTTTTTTTTTTTTTATAATCGATTTGACAATCAAGTTCATGTTAGACAACCATGCTGTATATAAAATATAATAATGGATATATCAGTATGCTCAAAGTCAAAAAGTTTAGAAATTCAACTTGAAATTTTTCTACGTTTGTATGTGGCTTCACAGACAAGAGTTCTTGTTGGTTTTGTATTAAAGCAACGCTTATCATATTTCTTAGCCAAATCTTATTTTTTTTTTAAATACCAGACTAATGCCAGCTTGTCCAATAAAACATTGAGATGAAGAATGTATCACTTTCTACACACCTCAAAGATTATTGGTAGATTCTGAATCAAGCGCTTTTACAGAACACGAATTGAGAACACGAATAAAGATCAGCGATTTAAAGTTAAAATAATATAAAACTAAGGCTATTTTTTTTTATCTTTGTTTCTGTTCTTTACTCTTTTCTTTTTTTTATTATGTCTTCTCGTGTTTTTGCCACTGCTCTCCGCAGAGCTGCCACAATGGCTCGCCCTACTATGGTTTCTGTTGCTAGACCTGCTCTCAGACAAACTGTCATTAAAGCCAACACTGTAAGTGAACGATTTTTTCTAATTATTTAAATACTCATTTATACACGTTAGGTTGTTCAAGCTCGTGGCATGAAGACTCTTGACTTTGGTGGTACCAAGGAAACTGTTTATGAACGTGCTGATGTTCCTAAGGAAAAGTTGCTTGAGACTTTCAAGGATGATACTATTGCTGTCTTGGGTTACGGTCCTCAAGGTCGTGGTCAAGCTTTGAACTTGCGTGACAATGGTGTCAATGTCATCATTGGTCAACGTGAAGGTAAGACTTACCAACAAGCTATTGAAGAAGGTTGGGTTCCCGGCAAGAACTTGTTCCCTGTCTTGGATGCTGTCGATAAGGGTACTGTTGTCATGAACCTCTTGTCTGATGCCTATCAAAAGGAAATCTGGCCTCAAATGAAGCCTTTGATTACTCCCGGTAAGACCCTTTACTTCTCTCACGGTTTCTCTATTGTCTACAAGGACCAAACCAAGATTGAGGCTCCTGAAGGTGTCGATGTTGTCCTTGTTGCTCCCAAGGGTTCTGGTTTCACTGTCCGTCGTTTGTTCCAAGAAGGCCGTGGTATCAACTCTTCATTTGCTGTTTACCAAGATGCCAGTGGTAAGGCTAAGGAACGTACTGTTGCTTTGGGTATCGGAATTGGTTCTGGTTACATGTACGAAACCACTTTTGAAAAGGAAGTGTACTCTGACTTGTTTGGTGAACGCGGTGTCTTGATGGGTGCCATCCAAGGTTTGTTCCAAGCTCAATATGAAGTCTTGAGAGCCAATGGTCACTCTCCCTCTGAAGCCTTTAACGAGACTGTTGAAGAAGCCACTCAATCTCTTTACCCCTTGATTGGTGAACGTGGTATGGATTGGATGTACTCTAACTGTTCTACTACTGCCATGCGCGGTGCTCTTGATTGGTGGAAGCCTTTCCATGATGCCTCTAAGCCTGTCTTTGAAGACCTTTACCGTTCTGTCAAGGATGGTTCTGAAACTGCTCGTTCTCTTGACCGTAACTCTCAACCTGATTACCGTGAAAAGCTTGAAGAAGAACTCAGAGAAATCCGTGAGTCTGAAATCTGGAGAACTGGTAAGACTGTTCGTCAACTTAGACCTGAAAATGCTGGCAAGAACTAGGTCTTGTAAACAAAAACACACACACACACACACACACAAAAGTTCAATGCATATAAAGTATATACCGTCCATCGGACACTTTTTTTTTCTTAGAAAATAATCTGTATGTTTAAAAATAAAAATTCGCTTTTTCTTATCCATACTTATTGCGACTCAAGTATTTTGTTGATCCTTCGTTATGCTATCGTTCTAAAGTATGTTTGATTTTATTTTGTGATATTTACAATGCATTTATTTGCTGTTGTTTACTTTCCAAGCGTCTAACCATTGCTTGACACGATCAACATTACTTTCCATATCATCAATTGTATTGCTAGGAAGCTCAACCACAATTTCAGGTGCATAAGATTCGTGTGCTGTTTCTAAAACGACTTGCATAATTTCGCATTCCATATTTTCATCTATCTTGCGCTTATTATATCCTCTGATGACTGTTAGACATCAGGACCATGTCTATGTTTAAGTTACCTCTTTTCCATACGGTCGTATAAATTAGCAGTGTCCGTACGAAGCACAAGGACAAGATCAAACCATCTTTCAGGGAAAATTTCGCAAGTATGGAAATCCACAACTTTACCGCCTTCTTTTAACACTTCTTCCAGCTCATCTAAAAGCTAAAATTGTCAAATTTCTATTCTAGGGTTTTGTTTGTCTTACCTTGTCTTCGTCTAATACATGTGTGTCAAATTCTTCAAGATAACCTTCATGAAGTTGCTTTGTTCTAACAAGCTCACCCACATTAACGTGGTCTAAGCCTGTTGCTTCAGCAATCATTTCACTAGTGGTCGTTTTACCAGTACCAGGTGTACCAGTGACTAATATGTTGGGCAAAGAACGTTCCATGATGATATTAAAAAAAGAAAAAGAGACCGAAAAAAATTTTCGCATCTTTCTTTTTTCTGTTTGTCTTGATTCAAAGTCCGGAATAAGCTACTTTTTTTTTGAAAGATCATGCATAAAACAATACGTTGCTTTGGGTACTTTACAGGACATCACGAATTGTTTCTTTCTCGGTATAGAATGAAGCATAGACCGAGAAATCCTATATTGTTACTCTTATACAATCTTTACCTGTATTCTATTATTTGTATGGGTTGATGATCAGTACCTATGCAGCCAATAGAAAATTAACTCCTCTTGAATATATACACCTTAATTTGAGATATGCCTTCTCTATTTCCTCCCTTTACTTTAGGCTTCTTCTTTCTTTTTTTCTCGGTTCATTTCATGCTTCGTATGGTTTTGCCCACATTAGATCGCTTCTGTACATTTATACAAAGTATATATCACACGTATCTGAAAAGAGACTACAAGTGACATCATTTTTTTTTGTGTTTGGTGGTCCTTAGCGGGTATCTAAATAAATAGTAATTCCTTTTTTTTTCCCTGCCTTTTTTTTTTTTCATCTACAATACATTTAGAAAACATGTCAATGGCTGTAATATTCAATCTAGAGTTCAAACGCGTTCCTAAATAAGTTTTTCATATTAGAGTCTCTTTGGTTTATCTACACAAGTAGATATCGATATTAGTTTTACTAACGAAGAACAACGAAAGCACGTTGAAGTTAAGGTAGATAAAGACAGAAAACAAAACTTTCCCGTCTACCTTGATGGTGAGACTGTCACTGGCAAGGTAAATAAAACACACAAAAAAAAGAGAGAGAAAGAGAGGCCAACCACGTTTTATTTAGGTTAATATCGGCTTAAGAGATGGTAGAAAACTCGAACATAATGGTATTAAAGTGGAATTTGTGGGCAGCATAGGTAAAAGAACATTGTGTGTCTATACAGACGAAAATAACCATGTTAGAACTCTTTCATGACAAGGGCAAATCACATGAATTCTTAACACTGTCTCAAGAATTGGCTGCACCTGGTGAATTGCGTCAAAATGCTGCTTTTGAATTTGAATTCAAGAATGTGGAAAAGCAATATGAATGCTTTGTTGGTATTAATGTGAAACTGAGGTAAACTTGAGAACAAGGCCACTATGTGTACTTATCTGTTCATATAGATATTTTGTTCGTGTCACGATTGCTCGTCGTTTAGCAGAAGTGATTCGTGAAAGAGATATTTGGGTCAATTCATACAAAATGCCAATTGAAGTTAATAACTCTATCAAAATGGAAGTTGGTATTGAGGATTGTCTTCATATTGAATTTGAATACAACAAATCAAAGTAAGTAAGAGAGATAAGTTTGATGCCCAAGATTGATCGTCTTTATAAGGTATCATTTGAAAGATGTGATTGTAGGCAAGATTTACTTTTTACTGGTTCGTATCAAGATCAAGACAATGGAACTCTCTATTATCAGACGTGAAACAACAGGTGCCTGTAAGTAAAATCATGAATTGGTTCATTGTTCATCATTACTGTTTAGTACCTAATGTATACAATGAAAGCGAGACAATCACTAAATTTGAAATTATGGATGGTGCACCTGTTCGAGGTAAGAAATAACAGTTCTCAAATGAAATTAACATCATTTTAAGGCGAAACAATTCCTATTCGTTTATTCCTTGGTGGTTTTGAATTGACACCTACATTTAGAGGTAAATTAGATAGTGAGATTGTATTGACTTAGACTACATTAGATATCAATAAGAAATTCTCTACTCGATACTATTTGAATTTGGTATTGATTGATGAAGAAAACCGACGTTACTTTAAACAACAAGAAATTACATTGTTTAGAAGAAAAAGTAAACAAGAGGCTTATGTCTATCTATGTTGACTCATTCTTTTGCTTTTTTTTTTTTGTAGTTGATGATGGATATCCTCCTGATGAAGATGAACAATATGAACAAGCAAAAGATGTATAATTTTACAGTGTATCAATAATAATTCCACCGCTATTTTAACAAATCATGTGTTCTGTGTTTATTATTTTGTAAAAGACAAGATGGGAGGTGCGCCTGCTTTTAGTATTTTAGTTGGATATACTCTGACTGAATCAGATTCAAGGCTTTCTTTTTCTTGATATGTACGTATGGTTTGTTCAATAGCCTCTTTTGATTCTTTTCTTTTTAAAATGGCTGTAGTCGCAAGAGGGTCTTGAGGGATATGAATATCGTATATATCTGCAAAGGGATCTACAGCTGTATCTTCTTCTTCTTCTTCTTCTTGTTCCTCATCATTGTCATCAGAAAATTGACTTAATTCAATTGTAGCTGATCCAAGTGGTGTAGGCGGTCTTTTAGGTACTGGATGGTCTTCTTCATTGGGTTTGAATGACAATACAGAATCAGAAAATTTGGGTTTGATAGGGACACGATATGGATTATTTGTTGAATAAGGAACGGCTGGATGTGTTATAGAGGTTGTGTTTAAAGGAAGGGGCGGCTGTGTTATAGAGGGTGTGTCTAAAGGAGGTGGGGATTGTAGTGGAAGCATGATGGGTTCAGGATGATGAAGGATAGGTGTTTCTTGTTTAAAAGTAGGCACAGGCATGGTAATAGGAGGCGGACTCGTTGGATAGGTCTGTGAATTCAAAGCAATGAGAGGTGTATGAAATACAGGACTAGGTGAACTGATCTGTAATTCTGGTCTATAAGGCTGTCTTGGTGGCAAAGCAGGCTGTGTAGAGGAATGATAAGGTGCCATGCCTATTTATATTGTCAGTGTTACTATTAAACCAAAGTGAATGTACCTTGAGGAGGAGAAGCATAAGCTCTTGGTTTTGTCGGTAAAGGAGGAGGTACATTGTGTATGGGAGACTGTTGTTCTTGTTCTAATTGTGCTTGTAGTGCTTTTGCAATAGCTTCATCGTTGAGTTCTTGCTCTCTTCTTTTGGCAGTTTCTTGTTCCCATTCTCTATCGGCTTCTTCTTGAAGTTTCTTTGCAAGTTTAAGCGTCTTGTGTTCTTTACGGTGATCAAATAAATGTCTCATAATAAAAAAAAAGAGGGATGAAAGCCAAGAAAAAAAAAAGGAATCTTATTTATAGATGAAGAGAATCTCTTTTTTTTTTTTTTTTTTGTCTAAAAATAAAGCCAAGAAGACAGGTGATTTGCATTACACTATCATAAATCTTGGCTCTGCACCAATTCAAATAGAATATGTCTCTCTTAACAAATAAAGAAAAAGACCTACTAGCTACATTTAGAGAACAACTCTGGCTCAAAAGACAGATTGAACAACTAGAACAAGATCAAACAACAGATAAAGAACTAGAAGAACTGACTATTCCTCCAGAAGCAACAGATCAACATGTAGAAGAAAGTATTGCAGAATATAAACGCCATATTGATAGTTTGCGTACGAATCTGGACATGCTCTATCAATTCAACAAGAGTAAAGAACTCGTTCAAGAAAAGATCTATACACAGCATTACACAACAAACGTATTGTATCCTGAACCTTCTGATCATCAACAGACAGAACTCAACAGACAAACACAAGACAAGTTAAAAGAACGTGATGATCTAGTGATTGAATTGGTCATGTTGATTCGTGAATTAAATCAGATAAACAAGAAACTAGACGAGATCCATCGACGCATTATGGCTCAACACATCAAGAATAAAGAACTACAAATGAAACTAAAAGAGCAGCGTATGGAACATGTCTCGGCTAAAGAACAGCTAGCAGGTGCATTGAAATCCCAACAAGTGTAAGTTAGATGTGTATTTTATGTGCTTTTTCTTTTTTTATTCATGCTTGTTATTAGCAATGATGCTCTAAAACTAGAAGCGTCTATTGTGCGTAGTATGCTTGGGGTAAGAGCCCATAGTAATTTATCTGTATTTAACCCTATCTATTAGCATTTGATTGATGAAAGCGAAGTACAATGGATGTATGATGAACGTTGGCTTCAAGTCATGTTACGCATAGGAGAAAAGATTGATTTATAAATAAAATATATATATATATATATGAAGGGGGAGGGGTATTTTATCGTTTGACGAAACCAGCGTCTTTGATAGATGGAGTAGAATGATTAGGTTCAGGAGTATGAGGATAATTATCAGAATCAGAATCAGATAAACATGCTTCTTCTTCAATGGCTGTAGGTTGTGTCTGCATGCCTAAATCATCCATGACGACAGGCAATGCGCCCATACTAAAAACGAATGAGTACATGTATATAGATTGGTCATATAACTCACCGAGAATAAAACATTTGGAGTCGAAGTCGAATGTTTTCAGTATACAAGTCTTCAATGGATCTGTCTTGATAGAGATTCATTTGAACATTACGAATAAACACAAAGAATTCACAAACAGCTACCAGCCTATCACGACAGTATTGGTCAATAGGTAACCATGTATCATTCTCATCTAGTCGAAATCGATAGTTTAAGACGACAGATTCAGCAGATCGACCACAGGCTGAACAGGCATTGGACACCAGAATTGATTTATTCAGTCCCCATAAGGGCTTAATGGACTGAACAGCAGTAGCCGTATGATGTTCAATAAAACAAGGTTGTCTTGATAAGAAGTCAATCATTTTCTTGATCGACAATTTGGATTGAGGACCGAATCGCAAACAAGGTTCGATATCTTCGTTTAAGCAATGCTTCATAAACGTAGTCTGGTTTAGTTTTTTAGCTGGCAATTGTTTCTGTGATGCCAATGTATATTCACGGAACGATTCAAGTTGAAATTCATCAATGGTAGAGGGTTTTGTATGAGAAGTAGAAGGTGTAGGTGGCATAGATATGGTACGCTGAGATTGTTGTTGTTTAGTGTATTTCATGATATGATTCGCACTGGCTCGTTTAAGTCCTTCCATTTCTTTTAACCGACTCTTCATGATCATGCTTGTGTTTGAGTCTAATAAGGTAGTGGTATCATTAGCCGAAGTCAGTCGAAGTCTCAATTCGTGCAGTTGAGCCTGTTCAGCCAACAATTGTTCTTTTGTCTGTTGAAGTTCGTTCTCGATTTGCCAACGGGCCTTTTTTTCGACAGCCACCATAGAATTGGCTTCTTCAAATAGTTTTCGAGATAATTCTTCTAGTTCGTGTTCGACCATGTCTTTTTCATGTTGAATGTTGCCTACACGTTCAATTTCTGCTACATATTTTTGGTTGAGTGTTTCCAAGTCTAGTTTGAGTCGTTCAAGCTGCGCATTCTTGGCTGACAGTTCTTGTCTTAGGGAAAGGATAGTCTCATCTGATTGGCAATGGCAGTTCATCTTAAGGAGTGGAATGAAGTAAAGAGAGAAAGAGAGAGAGAAAGAGAAAAATAACAGATTAATTGAATTTACTGTCCTTCATTTAAGGAGCCGAAAAAAAAATGATAATAATAGATGCGGTTATTTAAAAAAAAGTTTTTTTTTATATTATGATACTGTCAAGCTTCATTCAAGGACATGAAGATGTCAATGAACTCAATCAGATCTTGCAAGAAACCATTCAAAAAACACTAAGAGACAATGAATTTCGGTAATGATTTTTCTTTATTCACATTATACTCATGTTCATAGTCTTCGACTAGGTGCAGAAACGACGTTCTGGCAAGATGCCAATACGTCATTGACTCGATTAATGGATCACGTCCCATGTTTGATCAATTTAATCAAACTATGTCGAAATGTAGTAGCAGGAAATCAACACAATCAGCAACTTGCCATGTAAACACTAAATAGTTGTAGTTAGTATCATTAATATCATATAGTCAACATGGTTGTCTGGACACAATAGAACACATTATGATTCAGAAAATGACCAGCCCAAGTAAGATGCATAAAGTGTACATAAGTTATTCATTTCATATAGCTGATCCTACATTGATTCTTCAGGTGGGCACACAAGCTATTTGTAATATGTTGACAAACAATTCAACTGCCATTGCCACTGTATGGCATGCATGGTTAACAGAACCAGAAAGAGGCATGCTTTGGAGGTAAAAAAAAAAAAGAAAAAAAAAAAGAAATAATAATAATAATATATGCTCATACTATTCTTAGTTATGTTCTATCCAAGAGTGATGATGGATTAATCATGAGTGCACTTGTGCTGATCATTAACTGTATACGTGGCCATCAACAACGATGGTAAGTCTAGTTTATATGATGAGACTGAACAAACACTCTTTTAGTGATTTGTTTGTATCTTCCAAGTCTGGACAAGATATGCTGTCTGCTATTTTAGGAGATATGGAAAGACTCCATGATAATCAAGACAGTAAGAATTTCGAATTAGGGCAAGTACGAGTTAACTTTATTCACATGGTGTAACTCACATTCTATAGCTATACTGTCCTGAGTGAATTATTCTCTTTTGGTCATTTCAAGACATTGTTTATACAGGTGGATGACTATAGCCATAAAATCCCACTGAGTGATCATCAGATCATTTTACTCAAGTGCTTAGACGCCAAGATTCACAGCACAGATGAATTCCCACCATGTATCAGCACGCATGAATTAACTTTGCTTTCTCAGACATTGGCTCATATTGGCACACTTCAGATTACAAATAAGAATGAAGACCTTGTTCAGCCTATTTATACAGGTATTATCCTGATACTTGAAATACTGAATGCCTTGTTTGTATTGGATCAACCCCGAGTAAAAGCTTATTTAGTTCAAGTGAATGCAGTCACCCTGATGATAGGTAAAGGAAGCGAGTAAAATGTCTCCTTATTGACTTTTTATAATAGACCTGTTGAGGTTTATGGAGACAATTGAACTAACTACGACAGATCAACCTAAAGTTGGTTTTGATTTCCTTAAAAGAGAATGCGTGCGATTATTAGGTACATTATGTTATAAAGACAAAGAGATACAAGACAAGGTACAATGAAATATAATAGACTAAATATTAACAGTCTATCTAGATTCGAACACTAGGTGGCATCCCATTGATTTTATCTCAACTCAAGATAGATGATAGCAATCCATGTAATGTCATGAACGTACATGTATCAATACTAACGATAACAATTAGACATAAAAGAATATGCTGTTCTTGCTATTCGTCATTTACTCGAGAATAACACAGAAAATCAACAATTTATTCAAGAATTAGAACCACAACAAGTGATTCAAACAAAAGAACTCGCAGAAATGGGTATTCAACCCGAGTTAAAAGAAGGCAAAATTAGTATTAGAAGATCATAATACCCTTATTTAGATTTAGGATTGGGGTTGTTTGTGTTGCCTTGAATAAAGTATAAAAAAAAAAGTTTTTTTTTTTATTCTTTTCTTTTCTTTTTTCTCTATTTATACTATCATGCCTCCTGCTTTTCAACCTCCTTATGCTGTACCAGTGCCTGGTGCAGTCAAAAAAGAAGGTGAATCTGTACCTTACCGTCACTTTAAGTTTGCCGACAAGTTGATTGATCATCCTGAAAATGTGTTTACCTGCTGGGATATGTATCTTCATGGTAACAAGCTGGGTGGAAGTAAGTAGAAGAGCAACCAAATTCGAGTTTTGAGTTAACAAAGCATGACAGACAGACCTTTTATGGGCACTCGTCGTATGGAAAATGGAGTTGCTAAAGAATACGTTTGGCAAACACATACTGAAGTCCGTGAACGTATTGAAAACTACGGTAAAGGTTTGATTCAACTTGGTTTGGGTAGACAAAAAGCCGTGGGTGTCTATTCTGTAAACCGACCTGAATGGGTAAGTGCATTTTTAAGACATTCGTGACTTATTCCAAAATAGACAATGACAGAATTAGCTTGTTATCGACAAGCATTCACTATTGTCGCGCTCTATGATACCTTGGGTGCCGAAGCCATGGAATACATTGTAAACCAAACAGACATGGAATACATTGTTTTGAGCGCCGACAAGTTGGATAACATCATCAAGCTTAAATCCCAGCTTGCTTCTATTAAAACAGCCATTGTCATGAACGATACAATCGATACTGACAAGAAACAAGCTGCTGAAGCTGCTGGTATTCAAGTCTACACATTTAAGGAAGTAGAAGCATTAGGTGCTCCTATCAAAGAAGAAACAGAATTACCTACACCTCAAGATATTGCCACTATCTGTTATACTAGGTAAAGACATAAGTAGAATGTACCACCTATATACTAAGATTTGATTTAGTGGTACTACAGGTGTACCTAAAGGTGTTGTGTTGACACAAGCTGCTAGTGTGGCTGCTATCTCTGCTATTTCTGCTGTAGGTGATAAAGGCACATTTGCTTTGATTACACCTGATGATATCTATATTTCCTACCTTCCTCTTGCTCACGTATTCGAACGTGCTGCTCAAGGTATTCACATCCTTAAGGGTGCTGCTCTCGGTTATTATCAGGTAAGCTCTTCAGTAACCATTAATTGCGCTTACATACATGTCTATATAGGGTGACACATTGAAATTATTGGACGACATTGCTGAATTAAAACCTACTGTTTTCTGCTCCGTTCCTCGTCTTTTCAACCGTATTTATGATAAAGTTCTTGCAGGTGTCAAGGCTAAAGGCGGTATTTCTGCCTATCTTTTCCAAACAGCTTTCAATGCTAAAAAGGCCCAATTGAACAAGACGGTTCATCACTGGCTTTGGGATCGTGTGGTGTTTGCGACAGTAAGTAACTCGGTTAAATAGTTTTGGCCTCACACTTTGTAGATCCGACAAAAACTCGGTGGTCGTCTTCGATTTATTCTGAGTGGTTCTGCTCCTGTGTCTCCTGATGTCATTGATTTTATGCGTATCTGTTTCTCTGCTAAAGTCTATGAAGGATATGGACAAACAGAAAACTTCTGTGCTGGTTGTTTGGTAAGTACTTTGTATATGGATGTGTATTCTGATGGGTGTGTGGTAGACCATTACCGATGATAATACATCAGGTGTAGTAGGTGCACCTTTCCCTTGTTCTGAAATCAAGTTGGTCGATGTGCCTGATATGGATTATCTATCCACAGACAAACCTCATCCTCGCGGTGAGATCTGTATTCGTGGTCATGCTGTGATGCGTGAATACTACAAGTCGCCTGAAAAGACAGCAGAAACTATTGATCAAGACGGTTGGTTACATACAGGTGATATTGGTATGTTTGATGCTGCCAATCGTCTAGTCATTATTGATCGTTTAAAGAACATTTTCAAGTTATCTCAGGTAAAAAAAGAGAGAGAGAGAGAAAACAACATATAGCACAAACGAAAAATAGACTCACACATAAGATGTAGGGTGAATACATTGCTCCTGAAAAGATTGAAGGTGTTTATCAAAAGCATGAGTTGGTGGCTCAAGCTTACGTTTATGGTGATTCCATGCAAGCCTCTTTGGTAGGTGTGATTGTACCTGACAAGGAATCCTTCAAGGCTTGGACACAAGAACAATTCAGTAGTGTCAGCAATCCTTACGAAGACGACCAAGTCAAGAAAGAATATCTCAAGACATTGACAGCCTTTGGTAAACAAAACGATCTTAAGGGCTTTGAACAGATCAGAGCTGTTTATTTGACACCCAAGGAATTCAACATTGACAATGATCTATTGACACCTACTTTCAAATTGAAGCGTGAAACGGCTAAAAAGACATTCCAGTCTCAGATCGATGCCATGTACGCTACTTTATCTAACGGAAGAGCATTTAATTAAAACTATTTATAATAATAAACTATTTTTGAATCCATGTCTTGTAGATAGCATCAGGTATTTTATGCTTTTTTCTTAAGGTCAGAATCAACTGATCTTTTGCTTTCATATGAGGACCTTGCCAATCAAATAATTCAGGCAAGAAGGTAGTGTGAAACCATGATTTATGAAACACGGTTGCTTGAATCAATTTGGCAGGTATCGCACCGTCTTTTTCAATGAATTTTGTTAATACATCGCCTACTTCAATTGTATCTACAGCATGGTGATTATCAGCTGGCACGGGTAATTTAAGTGATGTGGGCCAGGCTTTCAATGTATGATCTACCTATATAAATCATGAGTAAGCTTCTTTTTTGTTGTGTACGTTACACCAAGTTCTAATAGTCTTTTTCGAACAGCAGACACAAACAAAGATGCATTGGGTAAAGTAGTACAGTTCAACAATGCTTTTCCATGGATCTGAAGGACACTCGGTATTTCGAAAGACATCATTTGATGCAGCATGTTGATGAATAAAGTGCCCATACGCTTATTAAGGGTTCGTATACGTTGATGCACAAAGAGTGTCTATACAATCATGAGTCTTTAATGTTATTCAAATTACTTACATCAAACCAGCTAGCATAGGTATAGCCAATAAAGGGGTGCATGTGTTCTAGAGCTACTTGAGCCAACTGAAGAAACATAGCTAATTCATCTGTATCGTCTTTTTCTAATGATCTCCATGCTGCTTCATTCAATGTCTCTATAATATAAGACACTCTCACTTCCACTTGTCTATCTGCCACTAGCTGCTTGCATGCTGCATGATACATGTAGAGTATGAGTGAGATGTCGAACTGGTTTTCCTAAAGCCATGACATGAATCATCTTATGTTTGCCCATAACATGCTTACCATGGCATGTAAAGAAAAGAGATGCGAAACAAAATCTGACATATGTGTCGTGGATTGAGGATTAAATTCAAAAAACCAGGTCGACATCAAATGAAATACAGGTAATTTAGCAAGTAAAGCATCGTATTGTTTACTCGAGAGTTTGGATTGTGGCATAAATAACGTTTCCTTGACTTTTCGTAATTGTTGATAAAGACTGTCTTGGGTTGGGTTCAATTGCATGAGTTGTATCAAGATAGATTTCAATTGATTTGAGTCCATGATAACATGATAATATTCAAGTATATACCATAGTCTTTGGGTATGTTCTGATTTCATAACACCACTATAGCATAGATTAACTATATTGATGTGTTTCGTATTGACACTTGCCTCCAGTCAACAAGCTGCTTTCCATCATGATAAAAATAATCGTCCAATGTCTTGGTATCAAGTGCACGAATATAAGCTATTTCATAAGATATACAACACACACACACATATATATATATTACCTTGAATAACATGTCTTTCTTCAAACGAGATCAATTCACACAAGACTTGGTCAAGTCGAGGTATTTGAGAAATTAGAGGTTCGAGTCTTAATGCAAGTACATCTAATTGTGTAGACAGGCTATAATAAACAGAAAGTAATTTAGGCAAATGGCCTGCATGATGTTTGATAATATAATCGATAAATTGTCTTGAAGAAAACGATATATTATTGTACAATTGTTTAATGCATTGAACAAGACGGTCCGTATCTTCCTGTGGCATCATGTTACGACGGGTGCTAGCTTTTTTTTTCTGTAGCTTGCCTGAAGTGTCGTATTGACAAGTCTTAAAAAATCTTGGGCTAAAGTAATGGTGGTAGGTGAAGGATCAGGTGTGATCGCAAAGACACGTTTTTGTTCATGGAAATGAAAGCTTGATTGTACTCTGTCTTGGTTTATGTTTGCCAAAGTTCTTTTACGTGTGGGTTGAATACAAGGCATTAAAAGAAAAGAAGTAGAAAAAAAAAAGAAAAAAAAATAGTTGTACTACACTATGCTTTTGATAGATCTGCATGGATTTAAACTTGTGTTTGGCATTATTGTAAGAGACATTTGGAGAGAGTCATATAGCTACTTTGGTAGCAAAATGTTGAGGGAAGGCCTATAATAGGTTTTATGAGTTTTCTTGCCATATCATTCGTTTTTTGCTGAAGTTTTTGCTAAAAGCACATGTATAATATATATGTAAAAGCGGTTATTTTGAGTGCTTAAACATGCTGATATCTTCATTATTCAAGTCGTAAAGTCGAATAAAAGCGAGATATTAGGGTTTTAAATGAAGGACAAAGGTAAAAACTCCTTCGAAATTTTTTGATTTTTGGTCATTTTGGCCAAATTCAATAAACATGTTAGAAACGCAGTTCGCGTATCAAGCACTGTCAGAAGTTCTATTTCTTTTATGATTTCCCCCTAGAAATGACCACTTTTTCTTCTAGAATATTGTCGATAATGATCTTTAAAGATACATTAGAAGGTATTCTTGTCTAATAAATACTTTAGTTGCTAAATTATCTATCAGCTTTTATATGTCTCAGAACTACACCATACAAAGCATAAGATTGTGACTCCTTTTTCCCACCTAGAACGACATATTTGTTTCTTATCATTATATATATATATATATATATTTGTTTTCCTTCGTTTCTTTATCTCTTTCTTTCTTTCTTTTTTGTTTGTATTTTCTATATACTATGTCGTCCTTAGCAGCAGAGACCATTGATATTACTGAAATCCAGCCTGGGTAAGAGCTAACTCGAATGGATCATGATATTAAAACTCATTTATAAAGCATGTCTCAAGCCGTTAAGGATTGCATTAGCGGTACAGTAGGTGGCATTGCTCAAGTACTTGTTGGTCAGGTAATGATGTGCTGAAAATACATCTATGAATCTTACATCTATTTTTTTTTTCATAGCCATTTGACACGGTGAAAGTCGTGAGTAAAAAAAAAATTTGAATGCCAGATTTTAAATCAGGGGAAACTAAATCAAACAATAGCGTCTACAAACACAATCTACCACCAATCCTTTATATGCAAGTATGATGGATTGCGTACAAAAGACGCGTGCTAAAGAAGGTGTTGCTGGGTTTTACAAGGTACAGTATATTATTATTATTTTTTGGAATGAGCGAAATAACACATGTGGATTTAAGGGCACAATGACCCCTTTGGTAGGTATTGGTGCTTGTGTATCTATTCAGTTTGTTGTTCTTGAAGCAATGAAACGTCATTTCAACAGCGTCAATAAGCCAGGCGAATTTCTTAGTAACAGTCAACTTTACTTGGCAGGTGCAGCAAGTGGTGTGGCCAATTCGTTTGTGTCTGGTCCTGTAGAGCATATTCGTACTCGACTTCAGGTCCAAACTGGTACTGGTTTCAATGGACCTATTGATTGCATTCGTCAAATCTATCGTTCATATGGTATTGCTGGTATCTACAAAGGTCAAGGCATTACTATGGCTCGTGAATTCCAAGGCTATGGTGCTTATTTTTTAGCTTATGAATACCTTGTGCAAGAAGCTATGAAAAAGAACAACTTGGAAAAACGTTCTGAATTGCCTACATGGAAAGTATGTGCGTTTGGTGCTGCTGCTGGTTATGCCATGTGGCTCACAATCTATCCTATGGATGCGATCAAGTCTAAATTACAAACAGATGGCTTCACTCCTGAAACAAAGCAATATTCTTCTGCACTAGACTGTGCTCGTAAGACTTTTGCTAGAGAAGGTGCTGGTGGTTTCTTTAGAGGTATTGGGCCTTGTTTGCTTCGTGCTGCACCTGTTAATGCGGTTACTTTTATGGGGTAAGAACTTGATGTGAAGATTGCTCTTTATTCACTTTGTTTTCTGTAGCTTTGAAATGGCCATGCGTGTTTTGTCCTGATTGTGTAAAATTGTGTATCTAAATAGAATAGTTCTTATCGTGGGAAACTCTACTTAAGGTTTGATACGAACATTGATCAGATTTATATTGCTATTCAGGAACACGCTTAAATTTTTTTTCTTTCGTTTGAACAGCATTAAGTGATGCTCTTTTTTTCTTCGCCTTACAAACAAGAAAGCACTTTATTCTTTTTGATTGAGCCCCCGCTTTATTTTTCTCCAACAATCAAAGTCGAGTTGCGTATACTTCGAAATCAAATAATAAAGCTGCTCTACAACATTGAATATAAATGCCGAAAAAGCTTAATTTGTTTTGAATGATAGCACTACGTTTCTAGAATAATTCTTGTCTTTGGCTAAAGTCAAAAAAAGACAATCACATTCTTGTTGCAAGTTACACAGAGTTTGACTCTGAAGGGAAAATTTTTTAAAAAGAAAAAAAAATTTTTTTGTTGTTTTTTCTCTTTCAAACAAATAAATTTTATTCAAGATGGAACGTACTTATATCATGGTTAAGCCCGATGGCGTTGAACGCGGTATCGTTGGTGAAATTATCAAGCGTTTCGAAAATAAGGGTTACCAACTCACTGCTCTTGAATTGATCCACCCTACTGCTGAACTTCTTGAACAACACGTAAGAAAGAACATTATGTAATTCAAAAGCTAATTTTAATTGGGATATTAGTATTGTGATTTGAAGGGCAAGCCTTTCTTCCCCTCTTTGATCGAATACATGACCTCTGGTCCTGTTGTCGGTATGGTCTGGACTGGTAAGGATGCCGTCAAGACTGGTCGTCGTATGCTCGGTGAAACTAACCCCTTGGCTTCTGCGCCTGGTACCATCCGTGGTGACTTCTGTATTGAAGTTGGTCGTAACATCTGTCACGGTTCTGACTCTGTTGAAAACGCTGAAAAGGAAATCGCTTTGTGGTTCCCCGTGGTGTCAAGACTGTTGCTCGTTCTCACTCCATCCACTCTTTGTTCTATGAAAACTAGGTTATGAACCATTGGTTTGAATTGAATAAAAAAGATTGTATAAATACATATCCTATTCTTTTTGGGAAAAAAACGACATTTTATCTCAACTGGATATTGTACATTTTGCTTCTGTTAAACCTGCTAAACGCTTTATGATGAACAAGACAGCTTTGTATATTTTTGAACTATTATTTATTTAAATTAAGTTTTGGTATAAATTAACTTGAAAGGGAAAAAAAAGTAAGAGAAAGAAAATAATAGTTTTGATTTAAAAGAAGGGTGAAGTCGTTTAGAGACCACCGAGAAGGCCACCGAGGAGACCACCAGCAGCACTAGTGGCAGAAGCAACAGCAGAGGTAACTGGAGTGGGGTTGACACCACCGAGGAGACCACCGAGGAGACCAGTGACAGCACCAAGAACACCACCAACACCACCAGTGACAGCAGTGAGAACATTGCTGATATCGTTGCCAAGAGTGGGAGGAATTTGGATGACTTCACTAACAACACCTTCAAGAAGGCCACTGATACCACTGACGAGAGCGGAGGGAACATCGGCAATTTCGCTAACAACACCAAGAGAAGGAATATTGACAAGGTCACCGATAGCACTTCCAACATTACCGATAAGACTAGGGAGATCACTGGGGACATTGATGATTTGAGTAAGAAGACTACCAACATCGCCAACAACGCTGACAACATCAGAAACGACGGCAGTGGGAACATTGACAACACCACTAAGGAGACTTTCAACACCACCAACAAGAGAAGGAATGGCAGAAGGGACATCAAGAATTTGGCTAACAAGACTGTTGGCATCACCGAGGATACTAGAGATAGGAAGAGGAACACTGGTCAAACCACCAATGATGCTGCTGATACCACCGACAAGAGTAGGGATGACTGGGGGAATGCTGACCAAGCTGCTGACAAGGCTACCAACACCGCCAATAAGGGAGGGAAGAGCAGTGGGGATAGCACTGATTTCATCAGCGGCGCTTTGAAGGTTGTTGACAAGGCTGGCGACATCGGTAGGGAGATCAGGGAATTGGCTGTTAAGAGCTTCAATGTTGCTAATAAGACTGGGGAGAACAGAGGGGAAGTTAACAACGCCGAGAACAACACTACCAACGTTGCTGACAAAGAGAGGAATTTGGTCTTCAAGGATAGCGACACCAGAAGCAAGGCTGGCAACTTGAGAAATAAGAGAGGGGTCAACGGAAGGAAGAAGGGCAACTTGGCTGACGAATGAGGCAACTTCACTACCAAGAGAAGGAACAGCAGCTTGGAAGTTGGAAACACCACTGATAAGACCATCAGCACCACTAATGAGGCTAGGGATAACAGAAGGAATAGCGCCAATTTTTTGGGCAATGCTAGCAACGCTGCTAAGAAGAAGAGAAACTTCGGTAGGAACAGCAGTGACAGTGATTTCGACATTTGCACCAATACCAACATCAAGGAAGAGACCACCAAACAAGTTGCCGATGTTAGCAATAGAGCTAATGAGACCTCCAGCATCACTGACAACGTTTGAAACAAGGGATGTGGCAGAGAAAATATTGTTGGCAACGGTACCAACGTTACTGGCAACTGAAATAGCAGATGAACCAAGGGAAGCAACATTGCTGGCAGCATCGGAAGCGCCGCCGATAACACTAGTAAGAGAAGCGGCAGTATCAACAGCAGCGCCACCGAGGATATCAGAAACAATGCCACCGATAATAGGGATATTACCTGCAACATCAGTGACACCACCAACGATACTGCTAACATCACCAATGATACCAGGGATGGAAGAGGCGATATTGGTAATACCACCAATGGCACTGTCGATACCACCGATAGCACTAGAAACGCCACTAGGAATAGTGACAGCAGGAGTAGTAATGACGGTTGCAGTGACAGGAGGAATAGCTGCAGCAGTAGTGGTGGTGGTGGTGGTAGTAGTAGTAGTAGTAGGAGAGACTGCAGTGGTGGTGGTGGTGGGAGAGACTGCAGTGGTAGTGGTAGTGGTGGGAGAGACTTCAGTAGTGGTGGTAGTGGTGGGGGAAACTGAGACACTAACAGAAGTGGTGGTAGTGGTAGTGGTGGTGGTATCAGTTTCAGTGGTGGAAACGGTAGTAGAAATAGCATTGCCATTGACGGTGACAGTTTCAGTAGCAGTAGGGATACCGGTAACAGTTACAGTTGAGGTAACAATTTGTGTGGCAGCAGTGTTTCCGTCAGGACTAGTTACAACACCAGGATTAGTTGTGGCATCAGGGGTATTTTTTGGTGGAGGGAGACTAGTGGGGAAGTCAGGACCGTTGCTTCTTTCGGGCTTTCTTCTACAGAGAGCATATCTTCTGGAACGACAGTCAACATTAATGCCACCGCCATTGCCTTCAGTACCAACATAAAGAGTGAGACAGCTACGAACTTGAGGATCAGTAGCAGTGTAATCCCAAGTACTATCAATAAAGTTAGAAGGATGTCAAGTTTGTACTGTCTGACTTACCCAATCCAGGCAGCAGAATCTTCACCAATACAGTTTCTAACCAGCTCGGTAGCAATGTAGAAGTTACGGTTCGTAATGCTAGCGAGAATACCATCACTACCACAAGAGCCATTAGCCATATCCCAGAAGGTCAAATCCTTGGCAAAGTAGTAACCATCGGTACCAGGGTAGTCACAAGTGTATCCTCCTTGTTCGGCGTCTTGAGCAAAAGTCATTGTAGCCATGCTTGCAAGCAAAGCTGCGGTAATCATATACTTGGCCATCTTTCTTTCTTTGAATGAGATATCCTTTAATGCGTGATAAATAATGTGGTTGTTTTAGATTATAAACCTCGTAAAAGGGTTGAAGAAAAAAAGTGAATTAGGTATGAGATAGAACAATCGAGTCGAATAAAAGACCTGATTTATATACTGTTTTTTTTTCTTGACTTTGTAGAATAAACAGTAGCATTCCACCCATGTTTCAGGGAACTTGTGTTTTACACCAAGAATAAAAAAGTGTATCTTTGCTAGCTATTCTGCTACACAGCTAAAAAATAAGATTTGACTTAAGGTTCTGTTATGCATTTAAAATATAGGAAATTCAAATTTTAAATGTGTGATGAATCAACGTTTCAGTCTTTATACAAGTTCAATATTAGCATCTCTTAAAGAGAAAGAAAAAGGAAATTATACAAGTACCACTTGAGAAACAACAGTATTATTTCTTGACGGATTATTGACAATAATGCATAAATCCTGCCATTGTCAAATTGAAATTCCACACCTTAAATTCTTGGGCGATCGTTTATTTTTTGTTGTGCCATCTATATAAAGTTTGCATTCTTTAAATCTTATAGATTCTGTACTTCTTGAAGCTGCTATCCGAAAGAGCACCTTTTGTTTTTATTTATAGGCAATATACCAACTTTATGAATTACGAAATAATAAACACATTCTTTACACTTTACATTTATGTTACAATTGAAGACTTCCTGTTAGTAATTACGGCGTATTAAATCAGTTTTCACTTTGATGCCAGATATATTTTTATTGTTGGATAAATCCGATAATTGTATGTTCAAAAAAAGAGGTAAATTGTTGATTGAAACAGATGAGTATAACTGTTAAATTCAAAGCTATGCCTTCGGTATATTAATGTTTTTCTTTTGTTTCTAAGCATGCTTGTATTGAATCGCGTAAATCTTAGTTAGAAATTTACCATTTGCTTTTGTATTTAGGAAGTTAATTCTCATTATAGGATTAGAAAGCGTACTATTTCTGGATGGCCCTGATGCGATTATAAATAAATAAATAAACCAAAAGAAAATCTTAAGCACGTGTCTCAACTCTGAAGCATAGAACTACGTGGCACTTCAACATATGCATACTAATATATTGTCATTTAATTCACATATGATAGAATACGATTGTACATTGGCATATAGCTGCAGTTGCTGGCTCCGTTATTGTTGTTGGAGATTTGTATACGTGAAAGAGATACTATTAATGGTATTTGATTGGGGAAAATTTTTTTAAGTTATCAAGACAATCAAGTGTCACAGAATTTCAAATTAATTGTAGACAACCTTACCCAAGCGATGATTTTTTTTTTTTTTTAGAAAGTGAATTGAGAAAAATCCATGGCAAATAGCTTGAAATATGTTTTTGAAAATAGCCTATATAAGTACTATTGTTATATTGCTCTGATCAACATATAACACATAATGCGTTGATCTTCAAATTGCAACTGCAGCTGTTTGATCTGCAACGAAAATTAAGAAAATAAGCCAAACAATCTTATCTCCGCATATGAAGATGCTATAGATGAAAATAGCTTCGGCTTCCATTTAAAGGTTATTGACTCCGCTTTCTATTTTTTTTTTTATCAAAAAGGAGGCGTTGTTCTTTTGCAAATTTACATATAAGCACACATAAAAAGGAGTTTATAAGGAGCTCTCAATAAACAGTATTTGAGAGAATAGCAACGAAATGTGATCAATAAAAACAAATGGTTTAAGGTAATACAACGTCAAGGTTGTTCAGGTAATAAAGATGAAATGATGAAATAATGTACAAGCGAAACTAGTACGAAAAGGCCAATTTGGCCTCGACTCCGCAACATTGTTTTCAAGGGCAATTGTAAATAGTCGAATGTTGTCTGTCTTTTGTTGATATCTCTTTCTCTTTTCCTTCACTTTCTTTACAAACTTCATAAACTAGTGTATGCTTAGACAATAGCTGTATACTCTAGTTCCAACACATAAAACTATTCCTTTACTTTCCTTTAAGATCATACCATGACTGATATTACCAACTTTGTTGCCGCATTTACTAAAGCCGAGCAAATTTACTTGGATAAATTAGACATTTTAAATTCGGTAAAGAGATAGTTTTGTGCGTGTAATTTTCTGAACAGTGAATATAGAAATTGTCTCCGCTTTGGGTAGAAGAAAAATCGGGTGCAACCGACTTTACTGACTTACTGAAACAAATACAAGCTATTGTATCTGTTGATAAACCATTTTATGAAGTAAGCTAAAAAAAACAAGCTTTTTTTTTTTATCTAACGATCATCTCTTACAGAAATTAATTTTAATAAATGATTCTCAAATCGAACTTGAGGATCTTCTTATGCAATGGGTAAGTAGTCGAATTATAAGACTGTTCCTAGTACTCATAAAAAAAGATCAAAGACATTAAATTGCCTTATGAAAGTTACGTCAAGTGCTTTATTAGCAATTTGAATCAACGTCAAGATATTATCTGTACATTGTCAGTTCAACAATTTTTAACTGTAAGCCATACATGCATGCGCGTTTTCCAGGCTAATTCATTGTCTCTTAGGATACAAACAAAACTAGCAAAAGTGTCACGCTTGAAAGTTTGTGCTATGCTCCTTTACAACAGATAAAAACATACAAATCCCTTCTCAACGTGAGTTACACTCCTCTTTCTTTACTCTCCTTTTTGCCTAATTTCTTTAATTTATTTTCTATAATAGAAAACCAACGCTATCAATCAATCAACTTTATTACATCTTCATCAATCATTAGATACTCTCATGAACAAAATCTCATTGTTACCAAAACTTGATCTGGCTGCATTACATACTCACATTGATTGTACACAAGTAATTGACTTTATCAGCGGAAGCCCTATCCAAAACTATCAGTTACCTGCCCTCTCCAAGGCCTTACTTTGTGATACATTCAGCTGTACAGAAATTGAAAAACGTGTACAACTTGTTTTGAGCGATAACAAGCTCATTTTTTGTACCATCGATGGCCATAAAAAATACAGCTTGTTGTACACTCCCATTGCTATAGAACACATCTTAATTCGAACCATACAAAATGATCGTGAACTCATAGGGGAGTATGAATTTCAGCTGTGGATAAATAAGCAAAGAATATTTACTATCAAAGCAAACTCAAAAGAGACTCGCAACATGTGGCTTGGTTTGGATATAAATAGCAGCTTGACTAAAGACAATTCAGCTTTATCAAATTGGATGTCTCTTACCGATACTGTTGCAAAATATGACATCAACCCAGCCAGTAAACAACCCAAGACGAGTACCTCTCCAAAGCCAATAATTCAGACAGCCAATATCTTTACTTTCTATACTGATCAATCTGGAGAAGTATCACCTTTGGTTTCTTCAGACGAAGAATCAGAAGATGAAGATAATGCCAAAGAAATTACAGGTAAAATCCATTATTAATAGTGCACCAAATTAATTTTCTGAATGAATTTGTAGATGACATTAAATCTCATAAGAATCTACCAATCTTGCCTTCTTCCCCTCTTTCTTCTTCAACCGATATGGATATTGAACAAAAATCTTTACCACCTACTCCAGAAATTACAACGATACCTGCTACATCAACAAGACCACCCATTGTTTCTGGTACACAATCTCTTCCAACTCGCAAGCACTCATTAAGCAATCCTCCTGTTCCTTCATCTGGAACTACTTCTCCTAATAGCCCGTTGCCAACAATTCGCACTGTATCATCTCATCAATCCATGTCCACTGCTCGACAGGAGGTGCCAATGCCATTATCTAAAGAACGCCCATCCTCACCTTCAAAGAAACCATCATTTATGCGCTCTGTTATCGGAGCGCTCTCCAATCGTGCTTCATTGCGCCCACAGAAGAGCAATAGTAAACTCTTTGTAAACGATGCATCTGATCCTCCTATAAAAAGCATTACTAAAAACTTGAGTGCAGTTTCACTTAGTCAACAAACAAATCAATCTGCAAATCATACCCGTCGTCATTCAGCTTCTTCTATGGCTGAGCCTCCTGCCTTGCCTCACCATCATACCTTACCTTTACCACACAGCCCATTTGCCCAACGAGGAAATAGTCATTCTGCATCATCTTTCACTAGTGTAAATACATCAAGTCAATCCAGCTTAGCCTCAACTCCTTCTCTAAGCAGAGCATCCAGTCCTGGTGGATCAATGACTCCTGTGCGACACCAACCATCTTCTTCCTCTTCTTCTGAAGATTTAGGTTCACCACCTAAAAACGTATGTCACATAATCGAGGTTTCTAAATGTTTTCTGTTTTCTAATTATATATATTTTTTTTTATTAGCCCGATATGCTTACACAAACAAATGCTATTAAAAGCGTCTTGTACAGCAATGATCAGTGTCAAGTTTTTCATTGGAAAGATGAATCATGGTACGCTGTTGACGAAGAATGTTTGTTGGAAGTCTGTCAAACTTTCAGCAATCGATCATGTATCACCATCCATATGAAAAACTCAAGACAATTGTACCTAAACGCCTGGGTTCTCCCGGATACTTTTATCATTCGTACCACAGAGACTGATCTGAGTTTGTCACTTCATATTGCGAATGGCAACCAGACATCGGATTTAGAAAACTATCTTTTCCATTGCCCATCTAAAGCCGAGGCTGACAGATTGACGGCGCTATTAGAGCAAATGCATCGAGAATCTGTCAAGGTCAATAACATCATGATGAACTCAGCAAATGACACATTACATGATGCTCCACCAGTTATGCTAGAAAAAACACAATCTGTTACAGAAGAAGAGATTGCAAAGTCATTCAAGCTAGTCATGCAATGCAAATGCAAGCTTTATGTTCAAAATGCAAGCTCAAAATGGGGCAGCTTTGGTAGTGTTTATATGAAGGTTTCACAAAATTACAACACAAAAAGAATGCATGTTGCAATGGAGTCGCACAAAGGTGGAAAAACAACCCAACTTGTCAGTGCAATGATCCAAAGTCGAAATGTAGAAAGATTAGGCCCAAAGCGTATTACTTTCCTGCTAGTGGATGAAATCGAGAAGACCAGTGTTGTCTATATGATCCAAGTGCGTGAGGAAAACACAGGTGATAAGATTATTGAATATACTAAAACCAAAAATGCTGAAAATGGCTGGTAATACAAATGCATTAGACTTTCAGATATGTAAACATTTTAAATATAATCATTTTGTGCAATTATATAATACAAGCAATAACTATACAGTTCAAACAATGCGTTTCCATAAGTAATACGACAAACTTGTAGCAAGTGTAATGATATAGTCCTTTTCGTCGTTTGTTAGTACGTCAATGTTGTCTCGATGCTTCTTTGAATTGATTGTAACAGTACATTTCCCCCCTAAAGTGTAAGCAAAATGGAAGAAAGCAGGAGTAGCTGTATTAGGAACAAACAACAAGACATGTCTTGTGTCTTTGATGTGAATTTCACCCGAAGCCATTATATAAAATAACTTTAAATTATCTAAGGCATCATTCCAGTTAATTCCTTTGAGCTGCAAAAACTTGCTGAAAGACGGATCGACTTGTTCCAGTTGAATAGGATTGAATTTTTTTGCAAGCTGTACTAAATCCTCGGGTGATTCTTGTGAAATGTTAGGGTGTATGATCTTATACAGTTTGTTCCAATCAGCCTCTCGTTGATAAAAATACAAAGCCTATCCATGTTGAGAATATTTACAAACAAATATATATTTACCTTTTTCATTATTTGGTGCATTTTTAGCTTTGCAGACTGAAAAACATCGTTTAATGTGTATGTTTCAGGTACCAACACTTCATTCAGAGGATTAGAGTAACGCTTAGGTCTTTCACTAACAACTTTAGACCAAGCTCTCTGACATCGATCTTTGGAGGTACAACGGTCCATTCCACGATAAGTAACAAGAATAAAATATTGTAGAGATATCTTTCTTGAGTATTCATTTTCTTTCAAGTCTGCTGCCATAATACGACCCACAAACTTTTGAACTGGATTTGAGTTCACTATATCAAAGCTTCCTTGTCTATGAACACCAAGGTTATCATGCCATTTCTCTCTACCAAGTAAATTTTCTGCTGGACAAATCATCAATGTGTGTCGAAAAGGTGCAGCCTCGTTACTTGATTCAGAATTTTGACTGTCGAATGATAAATCGTCTGAAGATACAAAACAAGCCACTGGGCTTTGGTCCACTTTCAATGTCTTGAGCCCTAAAGCCTTACCGGAGCTCAAGATCCAGCTAATCAATCCTTGAACAGGCTCCTCTGTAAGAGGGAACTCGTAGATACCACTTAATATACGGTTGCGTGAATAAATAGCTGGGCGATCGTAGACAGATGCTGTGTTCTTGATAATGCTCAGCATGTTTAAGCTAGGAGGTAGCAAAGCAACATTGTCTAAACTTCGCTGAATATAGCGCAAGTGAAAGTCATAGACAAAGGAGTTGACGTGGATACGCTGCTTGAATTGATCGCATTCACTCATAAAGGTTTGGAAGCTTTCTCTCCCTATCTCTTTGCGTTGATATGAATAAGGAGAATGTTGTAGGCGACCATAGCGACGATGAAGTGTATAAAGAGTAACAGAAACAAAGGCATCTGTCAATCTTACTTCACACATAATAGAACCACCTTCAAATACTTGTAACAAATAAACAACTGGAGAGTCCACTGAGTAATCTTTAGTAATCGTAAAACGGGACTGATATGCTTCCATTTCATCTGGTTGATCATTTGAGGGACCGTATACAATCAAGTGCATACCTATGCTTTCCAAATACGAAGCATATTCTCTCATAAAATCTTGAGACAGCTGTTCATACCAGGTAGTCATTTCTCGAGTTTTAGATACATTGTTGAACAGTTTTTCAAAACACGTAGTTGCTAATTCAGAGATAACAGTAGATTCTGAGAAAATTAGTGGTGTACGGCAAAAATGTAACAAGCGAGAAGCTTTTAAGATCTGCTTCAATTCATCTACTGTCATCATTTCGTCTACTGTGCTAGTGTGACCAGGTCCATAATATTGATCCGCCCATTTTGTGTATACCTTGAATGCCTTTTCATGTGCTGCTAATGGTTTTGCTCGTGCTAGATATACCTCTAAATAAGGTTCACCATGGCGCACAAGATAGTCACTATCGTACCAGTATTTGTTGTCTTGTGTAGATTCAACGTATACATCTCTTAGAACAGTATTAGCATTTGCTCCTCGAAAAGCTGTATAAACCGGGTCACTAGTAGATCGTGTCATATTGCACAGCCTTGCATTATCAAAAGCGTCTAGTGTTGATTGAGGATGTGACATTTCTAGCCCACTAAGCGCGCTACTACTAATTCTTGATATACGATAACCTGTAGTACGGTTTTTGTGCTCGTATGTGTTCCTAATAAGCTGTTGCAAGTTTTCAAAATCAACGACAATTGTTGTCTGTTTACTACTACTGCTTCGTCGGTCTACACTTTCAATGGTAGGGATAGAAGAAGAAGAGTCAGTTTGTACAAGTCTACTGATAGTATTTGCTAAGCTAGGGGACATGGTAGATCGCATACTGCTATTATGAATTTGCGACAAAGCACTATGTTGAAGCTGTGATGGCGCATTAAGAGAATTGTCTGGTTCCTGATATTGACGAGATAGAATAGTAGACATCGTATCAGAATGATGGAACAATCCAATTTTCTGATGGAGGATATTGTTGAGACCCATCTGCCTCGTTTCTTGCTGCATGACATTCTTATAAGTAGCATTATAAACATGGGTTGAGAATTGTTCAGAGCAATTGTAAGCATAGACAGTGAATTGAGATGAGTCCATAGTAAATATCATAAAACTATGTTGATGAGAAATATCTTTGTAGTCAGTATTACTGCTTCTCTGCTTGGAAATATGGTTTGGAAAGGCTTTAGAAATACTTGATGCAAGTGATTCTTGTCGACTATGCAAGCTAATACTGTCGTCCCTTCTGAAGGACTCGTTTTTGTGATAGCTAGTCGGTAGTTCGTCTTCTCCTATCGGATTAATGCTTCCGCTGCTTCCAAAATACATAACATTACGCCCAGCAGCTCTAAGATTGAAATTAGTAGCATCTGTCACTTCTGTACTACTTCTTCTGATACTGAGAGATGATGATGAAATGTATTTACTGTATAGCTCAGGAAGCCCGCTGACAATAAAGTAACGATAGTCTTTGTTATTGAAAGTAGGCGCTTCGATTAGTTTCTTTTTGTTTTGCTTATTAGGAGGTGAGTAAGAACTAGCAGCTCTACCGTTTGAGTAATTATTAACCTTGCTCAGTTGTAGATTGAACCGGCTAAATAAACTTTCTTCGCTCTTATGCATCTGTCTTGTGCTAAAATAATCAACTCCTTCTCCATGATCAGGCAAATACAGTTTGTATTCTTCGTATCTTTCTTTTTCTTCATCATCATCAAAAACGCAAGTAGCAAGCTCTGCTCTAGCTACAATGGGTTCCAAAGACGGGTGAATCTCTGTGAGATCTAATTTGAGCTGCATGATAATATTATCAAAGTACCACGGTGCTAATTGAATAGTATGTGACATTTTCTTGACAGTTGAGCTTTGCCATTCTGTAGCCGTATCCAGAGTGTATAAGAGTGAATTCGCTACAAGTTTAAATTCGTCTGTTTCTTGTTGTTGTCTAGACGATGTTACGCAACAATGCACTAGATTTTCAACAACATAGTCACAGATACTCTGCTTGAATGCTTTGTGAACGTGATGGTATATATGCTCCACACCAATTTTGCAATGAGACCAGATATCAACACCAAGAATAAGTTTTCCATCGCTCAAATCTTCAAAATCAGAAGTCAAGCATGATTTTAACGAATCGAGATTGAGCTGATTATAATATTCATTTGGAGCCATACCAGGATAGCTTGATGTTATTTTACTGTAAGCCGAATCATCTTCATTTAGGATTGACAGGCAAATACCAGCCACACCTTCACCGACCCGCTGCTCGAATGGTAAATATGTCCCCGGCGCTCGATTTAAGTAATTGTAATAAAAACATAAATCCAAACAGGACCAGTCTTCAGAAGGTAATTGGTGCTCGTTTTCGTCAAGTATCTTGATATGACCTTGTTCATTGTAATTGTTATACCTCAAGTCATGATGGCGCCTGATAAATGCAGATAAATAGTTGGAATGGATGACATGTAGTGACGATTCACTTAAAATGTTCTTGCGTAAAATCTTTACGAAATGCACTGTATTACTTATCAGAGAAGGTAACTTGAGTTTACAATGAACGAGAGGTTCTTTTTCAACAGGCAAAATAAAATCAATATCGGCACGAGAAAGTCGAGAGTTGGGATTACGTACTAAGAACTGTTGTACTTCTTTCAGAGTAATTTCCGAAGTGATACGAGCATCAATCATGTCTACAAGTCCATCTATAATGTAGTAGTCCAATTCAACACCGTGCACTTCCAATACAAGCTCTCTCCCTTCAAAGCTTCTTAAGTTGGCCTTTTTTCCGCCTACAGGAGATATAGCAGGCACTCCTGCATCTGTCAAGCTAGGACTGTGGTGTGGACTGAACTGCTGACTTGACATACTCTCTTGTGGCGAAGGCTTGTTGTATACATATGAAGAGTGACGCACACGTGTACAATGGGAAGTGCCTAGCACTTCACTATCATTGGGGTTGTTGATCAGGAGCGAGGAGCCATAGGGTGACTCTGGGTTTGCAGCGTAATATCCGTCGTCTTGGTTATTGTTGTTATTATTAGTGCTAAGAAAGGATTGGTTCATGCTGTCAGAAAGTGTAGCACTGGATTGCTGAACAGCATTTTCTTCAGAAAGGAAAAAGTACAACACTGAGTTTTCGTGGGAACATACAAACATACCAGCCTTATTTCTCACAAGAAAAGGAGGAAGTGTATCTGTCATCAGCTTGTTGTAGGCAGTGTTGGGCGCAATTCTCCAATGGAGCGGAAATCGTTTAGTGTAGACAATGTCACAACTAAATTGACCTGGTACAAATTTCTTGATTGGTGAGAAAGCTGTCTCTTCGCCTGAAGTTGACAAGATATCAACAAGGTTATTGTTGTTTTTGCTGTTGCTACCGGAATCATATAGGTAATCTTCTTCTTCACTGGATTCATCACAGGAAGAATAAAAAGACTTATCTTCATCAACTGATGTCAAAAGGTATTTACTAAACGAATTAATTACATATATAAACACTTGATTTACTATTTTTTACCTGCACAAACGAGTATTATTTAAAGACTGCAAGAGGGAGAGCTTGTTTGTCTTTTCCATCACTTCATTCACCATGGACTTTGTAACACGTATGATTTCTGAACGATTTACAAACTGCTGCATTTTAGAATAAAAATAAACCTGAACGTTCTGTGCTTGAGGGATCAGCAGTAACCAATACAGTTGTGTTTTTGCAGTTCCTTCATCTTCTTGATTTTTATCAATCTCTTCCTCTTCAGAAATCTCGGGTTCTAAAATGCTGATGCCTAGTCCTTGACAAAATTCATCGCTATCTTGTTCTTCATCACTAATGTGGGTTCGGTCAATACTGGGCTCTGTAGTGATATTTAGTCCTTCCCCATCAAACAAAGAAATGCCATAATTTGTATCGTTATCTTCCAATTCATTATCGTCTCCTTGATGACTCAATATAGTGTTGGAGACTCCATTATCGCTTGCATAGAAACAATCTCCTACACGAATTAGACGGTAAGACGTACTATCGTGTTTCTCAAGCTCTTCAAAGAACAAGCGGCGGCTTTCTTTTTGATTCTTGACAAATGCTAAGGGAATAAGCATGGTTGTTGGAAAATCAACAAAGGGATTTTTCTTCTTGAGTTGAGCCTCAATATACCGAATTACACTTTGAGTGATTGGACCAGAGCGAAGCAAGCCATGCATGATTTCTTCTGTAAAGAGCCAAGTGAGCCGAGCTTCTGTTTCAACAAGTGCATCTTGTTTATCTTGGCTTAATGAAAGAAGTCGATCACGGTATGTTTTGTCTACATCTAAAAAGGATCTTTTATGAAATGAGTAAAATTTATCAGTGTAGCTGCTGATTACTTACGATTGATGATGCATTGTATTATCAGAAGGACATGTTGGTTGATGTGAGAACGAAGTATCAAGAGGATCATAATCCGATTGTGGCAGACTCATGCACACCAAGTGTAACGTAGCAGTTGTTCCGTCTGCTGAATCGACCGGTGATAGATGGGTACCTATGGATTCTGGTTCAAAGCGATATTGTACACCATCCTCTGTTTCTCCCTCATATGAAACAGGTAAGCTCTTTAAAGGAAAAACGACTTCTTCATAACCAATACCAGACCTGTGTGGCTTTCTTAGAGTACAGTCTAATCGAATGAATAGAGGATTTTGTGCACACATGACCACATCAGCTAAACTGCTAGGTTTTTCACCTAAGGAGAGAGACAGCCCTAATTTTTGACCAGCTTTTGCGAAAGGAGGACGATAACAATAGACATTACTTCGCTCACTATTGGAGATGATGACCGGTTCAAAATAATGGCCCAAGACAGAAACAAAACGTTGATTTGCTGATATCAACTCTTCTTCATTTGTTCGCGATCGACGCTTTAATAAAGCTTGTATATTGAGATAGCCAGTCAAATCAATATCTATATTGGTCTCGTCACATATTTCTAATACTTTCTCAAAGTCTTCTGAGTCTACAGCACGACCGTGCAATAAACAAGTGAAGATGGACTTTACAAAGCTTCTTGAATACACCTGTGTGACGTCTTGCATTAGTCGAAGCGTTCTATCGGATAAAGAAGGTTCTATGGAGCTATATCCATATGCCAGAGTAGGTCTGAGAGTAGATTTCAAACTCTCTAGCCATTCTCTGTAGGAATAGGGATCCATCAAAGTAACTTTAACTGCGTCTTTCTGACTACTATCTGCTTGTCTTTTACATTCAAACATTGTCAATCCCATAGTATTAAACAATGGTGGATCGCAACTTCCGCGATCCAGTTTGACCAACCCTTTCACAATAGCATCTAGACGAGGTATCAATATGACAATAAACGCAGAGGGATCAAATATCTTGATAAAGCAGCGCAAGTCTCGAAAGTTTTGAGCAGTATACAATGTACTTTTGCTAACACACAATTCTGGATATTTAAGTAATTCTTTGATATGAGTATACCAGAAGTTGTCCACAGGCGTCTTGTTTAATGATATGCTACGATCTGTCACGGCAAAAAGCGATTGCTCTACATAATAATGAAGGAGAGCAATGTCTCTAAGAACAGGTCGAAGCTTGGAAATACTATCTTTTTCGGCTGAGAATAATTTATCTGGTCGGGGGCAAGTGCAACTGCTAGTGCCTTTTTCGTTTTGCCAAGATAATGGAGTTTTTACAGAAGTGGGCAATGGCGAACCAATTGGACTAAACTTGGATACAGTTCTTGAGCGAGTGCCTGTTACTGTAGAGGAGGAGGAAGGAGTTCCATTGTTTCTTCTTCCTCGTAAGTAAGATACAGTAGCCGTAGTATCAGGGCGGATGTCATTGACGTTGGTCTCATGCTCTTGCTGTAAGCTTTCTTGCTGTTGACCAACAGCAAGCGATAAATCGTTCTGAAAGCTACTTGAAGATGATTCTGGGTGATAGTGTTTACTATAATTAGGACAAGGGTACAAGGCAAACAAAAATGTCCCTAATCTTAGTATAGAAGACAGATTAAACACAGCATTACGTTGCATCCATTTGACAGATCCACGTATTTCATCTTCAACTTCCATTTGGTTCATCAAAGCCTCGGTTACTGAGGAAGAATAATTTGATCCAAAACTATACACGGCATCGAACGTGATGAACTGAGAAATTATCTGTTTATCCTCTTCGAAAATTTCGATCTTTGCATGATTACATGCTCTAAGTGTGGATTCATCCGAAATAACAGGTTCGACCCAGATCTCAGTAGAAATACGCTTTTTGGACACATCCTTCCAGATAAAGTATTGCATAGCATAGATACTACTCATATCATTGCCATAAGTTACTTCTTTGTAGAAGTGTGCAAATAATTTGTTGCATGATATCAAGTTCCACTCCTATTCATAGGATTAAACAATGTCTCCTCTTTTCATTTTACTGTATTTACCTTGCTCAAGCGCGTAAACATTATATGGTCAAAGGCCATGTTAATAACAGGTGTAGAAAAATGACCATAGGGATGCTTGTCTTGATGTATATCTTGCACATCCCAGTACCATGTTGATCGATTGAGATAGTTTCTGACTATAAACTCGCCTGTCAATGACAATGTAGGATAAACATACCAAAGAGACTTGTTGCTTGGTGTACTATTTTTCTCCGACTCAAATTTGTTACTATCATTATATGCTAAAAAGTGCGAACTATCGCGCATAAGCAATGTAGAAAGAGGACGTTTTGATAGCCTAAAACCAACAGTCGAATCGAATTGTTGTTGTTGTGCGTCATTTCCAGAACTATTAGGAATATTGAGTGGCGAATTATTGGTCTCTGGGAGTATTGATACCATTTGGTGCTGATCCTCATTGTCAAGTAAGCACTGTAATTCTCCCGTAATCGCTTGGCGAAGTGATGCATTGGCATTGAAAAACATAATACGGATGTAAAGCACTCTTTGTGTTTCTCTTACTACTCGTACTTCGCAAAATTGAGGAACTATGTGGCGCTTTGAAGAAGAGTTACTCGGCGAGAGACTTGCAATAGAGCGTTTGCTGCCTTCTACAGCCTTTAATTCTTCATGAAGATTCAGAATCTTAATATAAACTTGTTGATCTTCGCTCATAAACGTTGACCATTTCTCTAATTTTGCATAAACTTGATTGATTGTAGCTTGTGCCTCGTCAAATTCATTACTAAATTGTTGCTGTTGCATTTCTGTACCATTCATATAATAAGATGCCATGTTGCAAGCTACAGAGCTTCCTTGCAATATCAAGTTGAATGAGCTTTCATCATACCAACACATATTGAAAATACGTAGCTCAGACCTTTCCAATTTTGCCCAGTGGGTGCTAAACTTCTGAATATAGCTCAACTGGGCCGCCCATTCAGCAGAGTTGGCTGATTCAAATTGATGCGAAGTAGCCAATATGTTACTTCTATCTGAAAAGTTGAATTGCACTAGTTGCTTCAGCATGCTATCTGTTTCTGCTAGCCGTTCCAATAACCTTTTCATCTTGCCTACTTTTATTAGCCCAGGTGCTCCAGCTAAGTCAACTGTAGTATTGCCTCCTTGGACAGCCATCATCTGGCTTCGTCTTTGAAACGAATCCCAATTATGCAACATGTGAGAGAATGTTGAAGTCGATTTTACGACAATCTCGACCTTAGGTGCACGCATGCAGTTAAACATGGAATCGTCTTTAAGTATATGGGGCTCTTCAGGTATGTGTAACAATCTATCTTGTGAGGTTGAAATGGACTTGAGATAAGAGCGTAACGAGGAAGTCCATAAGGACTTGATGGAGTATTGTACAGTAACGTTTGGTTGCCACCTTAATACAAATACAATCAACACATTTTGCTTCTTCTGAAAATTAGTCAATCCTTCAGTCGATAACTGCTTCGTAAGCCCGTTGGAAGATTTGGAACTGACAGGTTTAACCTCATCTGTAAAAGAGACAGAATGGAGCACGAATCCTTGTCGTAATCTTGCGCGCATGAAATGCCAGCACTCTGAAGGCAAGAAATACTCTTTAAACTTTAGTCTTCCCGAATCTTCCATAATGGGTTTAGACATCGGATCCCAAGGAAACGCCCTTCGACCCCAATGAGATTCCATCATCATTGGATTAATAGACGTTGGTCCAGATATTCCGGCAGCGACAGAAGAGGATCTATCCATGGTAGTTGCCGAGTCGTTTTCTGGAGTGTTCGAAGGTACATTTACGTTGTCTTTGCTTTTGCCTGTGCGTAAAGCCTTTGATGAATCAAAATATATTTCTTTGAGCATATAGCGGTGATGGTAGATGTTGGGCGGGGCTGAAAAGACTCCAAGCTGTTCATCCACTATGGGAGGGCAGTACTCTGCAAACGTGAATACACCATTAGTTGTACTGGTAACGAACTCCAGTATTTCATTATCAGGCACAAATCCGAAATTTAAGCCAGGAAAAAAGCATTTATCTTTTCCGATTTGAATTACATTACAAGCAATGTTCTCTGCTACCAATTCTCGAATTACTGATTCATCTTGAATGTTAGATTTTACTACACCATCTGTTAATAGTACAATTGAAGGCTGACCATCCTTAGGCAACAATTGGAGAGCAAACAAACCAGCTCGTAGAATATAAGCAAGTGTGCTGCCTGTTTTACCTACTCCCCATGTGTCTTTTGTCTGATGTCTGTTGCTATTGCCTGAAAGAATGCTTCCATTGGAAGTGGTAGAAGAAGAGTGTCGATGATGGTGGTGATGATTTCTATTATGTATGCCTGTGACATTTGTTTTTGTTGTGGTATTGTTTATGGTATCTTTTCTGGATTGTTGTTTTGAAGGTATTGTTTTAGTTCGGGGATAAATGGAAGACTTTGATGACATTACATTGGCAACAGAGGTCTTGCGAGACTGTATGCTTTTTTTGGTTGTAGAAGGTGTTGTAGGTGATTCAAGAGAAGAAAAATTCGAATCAGCACTATCTGTCACTGATTGGGCATGGTTGTCTCGAACATCTAACTCGTACCCCACCTTCAATCGCCTCATGATTAGTTTCTTTCTGAATTTGCTTAAATCACTTTTAAACGCATCAATTCCCTCTTTCAAGTTCTTCAAAACGGCATTGGAATTATTGACTGATACTTGGACGTTTTGCATTAAAACTCGCATTGTTGGATATTCTGCTAGAATAGGTATTACGTTCATATTTGATCCGAATTGAGAGCACTCTGCAATAACAGTGATTCTGACAATGTTTTCCATCTAATCAACACAAATTAATGAACTCCTTCTGCGTATTAGCATAATGCTTACTATAATAGGAGGTGATGCATCAGACACATTCAATTCAAATGGTTTAATGAGCCCATTAATCATATTCTCAATTCTACCGTTAGATGATTAGCGTTACTGATGCTACCCTTAGACGGATACTTACACACTAAATGTGTCCCCAATCATGACATTTCCTGTGTTTGTCTCAATTGTAGCTAAACTTGAGCTCAGATCGATAATAAAGACCATACAGTGTTCTTTTGCGACTTTTAGGATTCGAGTTCGGGGTGTGATGACATACATTTTATCATTTGGTTGAGCGCTTGGTGCAAGCTGAGTTGAGATAATAGCTGAAGCTGGCGTGCCTGCTTCGTCAGTGATAACAGGAGATTTAACTTGCTGCTGTGGTGTATCTAGCTGTTGTCTAGAATCTTTTCTTTTTCTGACCCAAGCAGGCCTTATACCTCCTGACAAGTAGAGTAATTGAAATCCCTATATTATTTTATTATTAGATATAACTTAAACTTATGAAAAATGCATTTTACGTCGTATTCACCAGTAGTCAAAGGTCGAAACATATGCTCGAGAAGCCACATACCCTCCGAAGAGTTAGAGTGATTCTTCCCGAGCAAAATAGCCGTTCGAGCTTCTATTAATTTCTACAAAGTATGAGTATCATACGAACAAAGTTACTTGTCGACTCACCTTTATGTCTGTGGTGGACTCACTTTCGGGATTAGACATATTCTTATCAAGAACTGACAATAGCTGACTTGGTAGCAAACTACGAAAAGTTTAACTTGAAAGATCGCCTTTGTTTATTGTGGTATAAGGTAGTGTTTTATTGGAGGTATATACGTGTGTGTGTGCTTTTTACCAATAAACAGAACAATTTTTCTTTTATCACCTGAGGGCACTCAAATATACTTTTTTTCGTGGGTGCCACAAAAATAAAGAACAGGCACAGGAGCGTGAATATAGTATGCGTTTGTGTAGTTGAAGTCAATAAGGCACAGATGTATCAATAAGCTATCTGAGCCCTTCAACCATTTGGTTTATGAAATTACCTCTTATCCGATCCAATAAACTCAAGTTTTCGAACATAGGAATCAGGTACAAGTAAATACCATCTCAAGAAGTATAACTCACTTTTGTTGCATAAGCGATGGTAGTTTAGACACTTTGTAAACCTTATTTGCATTCTCACTCTGGCACTAATATACGCAGAATGTAGATAAAGAGAGAAAAAAAAAAGATGATGAAAAGATGGGAAAACATATAAATACGTCTTTCCATTGTATAATCTTTTTTATTGAATTAGAATTATGATTTTCTTACTCAAACTTGCTTCATTTATAGCTGTCTCCATTCTACCATTAGCAATTGCCGAAAAGCCAGATACTCTTTTAACGATTGCTTACCTACCATCCGGTGAAATACCCAGTGCTTATACACTGTATTGTTTTCCAACAAGTGGAACACATCCTAACCCAACTGGAGCATGCGACATAGTATATGCTGTCGACGGATACTTGGAAATCCTTAAACAATCACAACCTGCATGTGTACCCCAAAACAACAATGTCTCTATAGTAGTTTCTGGGACAGTCGGTGGTAATAGCTTTGATCTTAGAAGAAACTATACCGATGATTGTGCTGCTCGTGCTGATTTAGGTAGTCTCATTCCATAGTTATGAGCACAATAAACAATAATCTTGAAGTCAAATGCATAATTCTGTAAAGTCAAATCTAATTTTCGTTCCAGCTCTATATAAAATAATACTATGAAACCAAGTCTACAATAACAGAAACAGACATAACATGCAGTTGTATTCAAAAACGGCAAGGGCTTGTTTGACATGAGCAGCAGATAGAATATTTTAAAGTAAAAAAGTTAAGATAAGAGCAAGTATCATTAACTAATTTCAAGTTGAAAGACCATCACTGTAACATAACGAATGATAGAAATTCATATCTTCATTTCAACTGATGAATACAAGAGTTCCTACTTTTTTATAACAAGTGTTGAATTGATTCTTTGAGCACACTGATTCATGTAATACGCATTGGATACATAGTAAAACGATTGGTATATAGATCAAAGCTTTTTTAATAAGTTTTCATTAGTATCTAAAACTTAGTCACATAATACAAGTGCCAAGCTAAGAAAAACCGCCTAAAACAATGAATAGAATAACTATCATGCCAAATTTATGTAGGATCTCAAGATGTTTGCATAAACAAGGTCGGGTCTTTTGTAAGAAATTCAAAAGCCACATGTGACTACTTGTCATTCCCATACTCGTTTTGAACTTTTTTTGTAAAGTCCTCTTCACTCTTCTTTTTTTTTAATATATATATCTAAACATGGAGAAAAGAAAAGCCAGTAATACTAATAATGCTACTGCAGTCTCCATTGCCTCCACTTCCGAAGAAAGCTTTCCTCGTGGTGGTGCTAGTGCCTTAACTCCTCTTGAACACCGAGAGATCTCCAACAAAGTTGCCCGAGATCTTTTCAATACTGTAAGACCCACTTTTAAACTGCCTTCATTGACCGAATACTGACTGTTTTATGTATAGGAAAACAAGAAGGTAGCTGACGAAGAACCTCCTAAAAAGAAGAGAAAGCCTTCCAAGACAGCAAAAAAGACAGAAGTCAAGGAACAAAAGAAAACAAAGTCAGATAAAGCTTATATTGAACAACTTACTTTCAAGGTAAAAGATAACAGTTTGCCAAATGTGTATATCTAACAAGGGAAATTGCAGAAATTGACTGTTGGCACTTCATTTTTGGGCTGTATTTCTCGCATCAACGAACTTGACTTACTTGTTTCTTTACCTCATCAATTAGTGGGTGTTGTTGCTATTAATGAAATCTCTGATCCTTTAACTGCTTTGGCTGAAAAAGTAGCCAACCAAGACGATGATGAAGATGAAGAAATGGAAGAATCTGGCTTGCCTCAATTGAATCAATTATTCCATGTTGGTCAGTGGGTCCGTTGTAGAATTATCAATCTTCAATCTGATGACAAGAAAACCATTGAATTAAGTTTGAAGCCCAGTGTCGTCAATGAAGATATTGTCAAGGATGATATTACACCAGGTGTCGTAAGTATAAGCATGTATAGAAAACAAACAACGTATTAATGCCATTGTGTTTTGTACATAGACTTTAGGTGCTACTGTTAAGAGTGTAGAAGATCATGGTTATATTTTAGATTTGGGTGTAAAGGACTTGGCTGGTTTCTTGCCCTTGAAAGAATCAAAAAGCTACATTCAAAAATTCAACCGTGAGGAAGAATTGGCTGTTGGTCAATATGTCGAATGTGCAGTTCAAAAAGTAGCTGGCCGTACTGTTAACGTCACTATTGATCGCACCAAAGTTGGTTGTGCTTTTGTTGAAGATCCTTTCTCTCGCATTACCTCTGTCCTTCCCGGTCAATTAGTAACTGGTTTATCTGATGTTGTTCAAAACAATGGTTTGAGTGTTAAATTGCAAGGTCTTTACCCTACAACCATTGATCAATCACACATTCCTACTTCTATCGACATCGAAAAGAATTACAAGCTGGGTCAAAGTTTGACATTCCGTACCTTGTTTACCATGTTGAACACTGAAGATAAAAAGATTGCTGGTTCTCTCCTCACTCACGTTTTGGAACTTGATGTGCCTACAGTTGCTAACAACACCAAATCTGACAAGTTTGTCGCTGATTTATTTCCCACCGGTTCCTTTTTGGAAAATGTTAAAGTTACTCGTACAAATAGCTCAGGTGTTTGGATGACTTTAGATGGTGTCGAGGGAATCAGTGGTTATGTCCATGTTTCTCGTCTTGCTGATGAACATATTAACTCTGTCTCCGGTACATCAGGCAAATTCAAGATCGGTACTACACACCGTGCTCGTATCTTGGGTTATAACCCTGTTGATGCTTTATTGGTCTTGACATTACAACCTAGTGTATTGGCTGAAAAGTTCTTGCGTGTGGCTGATATCGAAGTAGGCTCCACAATTGAATGTGAAGTTGAAAAATTAGTCCCTGCTGGTGTTATTGTCAAAGTTTCCAAGTCTATCACTGGTCTTGTGCCTACAAACCATATGGCCGATGTCAAATTGACTCGTCCTGAATACAAGTTTAAGACAGGCAAGAAGATTCAATGCCGTGTACTTAGTACAGAACCCGACAGACAAAAGGTCTTTTTGACATTAAAGAAATCACTTATCAATAGCGAATATCCCATTTTCAAAGACATCCATGAGATCAAGGTTGGCGATGTAAGTCATGGTGTTATTATATCTATCAAAAACAATGGTTGTGTTGTGGGTTACTACAATAACTTGCGTGCTTTTGTTCCTGCTAAAGAGATGACAGAAACTCGTGTCGATGATCTTAGCCAAGTATTCAACATTGGTCAAACTGTCAAAACAACCGTTCTCAGCGTTGATCCTGAAGAAAATAGAATGTTGTCCTCTTTCATTAACACTAAAAAGAAGGCAGAAAAGAAGGCAGAAAGCAAAGCTAAACTTGACGCCAAACATGAAGCAAAGAACGATGCACTTGCTCCTGGAAGACTTGTCACTGCCACCATCAAATCTGTCAAGAAGAGTCATCTTACTCTTACTTTGCCTAACAACACTGAAGGTCGTCTCCATATTTCAGAGGTATTCAATTCTTTTGATGAAATCAAGAACTTGAAGGCTCCTTTAAGCGAATTCCGTTCTAAGCAAGAGATTGAAGTCAGAATTTTGGGTGTGCGCAACACTAAACTCAACACTTACTTGCCTATAACTCGTGCTTCTAAGGTGAAGCAACATCTTGAATGCTCTTTAAGATTACATGGTAGTGAAGACGACAGTGCTCGTGAGATGCGTAATATCAAGGCTGGTGATGAATTCATTGGTTTCATTTCTGACATTCATACCAATTACATTACTGTCAGCATTGGCTCACATACTTCTGGCACTTTGCAAAAGAATTTGGCTTCTACTGATATCAACGTCTGTAACAACTTGACCAAGCATTTTATCAACGGTCAAGCTATTCGTGTTGCTGCCTTAGTTGTAGATTCGAACAAGAGCTCTATTGATTTTATGCATTTGGAAGATCCTAATATGCCTCGTATCACTGATGTTTCAGCTTTGGAAGAAGGACAAATCATGAATGCTACTGTTCAGAGAATCAATAAGGTCAATGGTCTTGTACTTACTTTGACAAGTAAAATCGCCGGTAAAGCTTATTTGACTGAATTGGCTGATACCTACACTGAAGAGCCTACTTCAGCTTTCCAAGAAGGACAAGTGGTTCGTGTGGCCGTCGTTCATGTCAATGCAGACAAGCACCAGGTTGATCTTTCTTTGAGACCCTCTCGTATTTATCCCGGCATTGAGTCTAACGAAATCAAGACTTTCGCCGATATCAAGCGTGGTCATGTTTATGAAGGCTATGTCAGCAATATTGCTCCTCAAGGTGTCTTTGTCAAATTGAACCACTCTATTGTTGCTCGTGTCAAGATTGCCAACTTGTCAGATACTTTTGTTAAGGAATGGAAGGATGTTTACAAGCTCGGTCAACTTGTCAAGGCTAAGATCATATATATCGATTATGACATGCAACGTCTTGAAGCTTCTCTTAAGAAGAGTGTTGTTGAAGGTGCTGTTGCTGCTGAAAAGAAGAGTGAGCAACAAGCTGAAGAATCTGATAGCGATGAAGAGATGCCTGAAGTCGATGAAGATTCTGACGAAGAAATGCAAGAGCAAGAAGAGGATGATAAGGAAGAATCAGACGAAGAAGAAGAGAAGGAAGAATCAGATAAAGAGGAATCAGATGAAGAAGAAGAAGAGACATCCACTGCTGCCTTAAACATTGATAACTTTGATTGGACAGGCATCAACAACCGTGCTGATTCTAGTGATGAAGAAGACGACGACGACGACGACGACTCTGATGATGATGGCGATAAAAAGAATAAAAAGAAGAAGGAAGTTCCTGACTGGACTGCCGAGCTCAATTCCCAAACACCTCAAACAGCTAATGACTATGAACGTCTCTTGGTTGGCTCACCCAACTCTTCTTACTTGTGGATTAATTATATGGCATACCATCTTCGATTGTCTGAAGTTAGCAAGGCTCGTGATATTGGTGCCCGTGCTTTGAAGACCATCAACTTCCGTGAAGAACAAGAAAAAATGAACGTCTGGGTTGCTCTCCTCAACTTGGAAAACAATTTTGGTACAGATGAATCATTGCAAGAAGTAGTCAAGCGTGCATTGATTTACTGTGATCCCCTCAAAGTATACGTCCAACTCGCCAAGATTTATGAACGTAGTGAAAAAGATGATAAGGCTGTAGCTCTTTATGAAGAAATGACAAAGAAGTTTGGTCAGTCACCTAAAGTTTGGTTAGATTTTGCTCTTTACTGTCTCAAGCATAACAAGGCTGAACAATCTCGTGAATTGCTTCAAAAGAGTTTAAAGGCTTTGCCTAAGCATGAACGTAAGTCTGATTGACAAACTATTGTTCATTGATCTCATATGTTCTCCTTTTAGATGTCCTCACTATTGTCAAGTTTGCTCGATTAGAGTTCAACCATGGTGAAGCTGAACGTGGCCGTACTATTTTAGAAGGAGTTATGAGCAACAACCCCAAACGTTTAGATTTATGGAATGTCTATTTGGATTTGGAAACCAAGACTGGAGACGTTGAGATGACAAGGTAATGCTTTTTGACATTGTTCATTCAAACTTATTTTTCTATAGACGTCTTTTTGAAAGAGTATCTTCAATCAAGTTTTCCTCAAAGAAGATGAAATTCTTATTCAAGAAATGGATTTCATTTGAAAAGACACACGGTTCTGAAGATGGTGTAGAGAGAGTGAAAGAAAAGGCACTTGCTTACGTTGAAAGCCTGTCATAAAAAAATAACATCAATTGTATATAATTAGAGTAATAATAAGCATACTTTTTTTTCAATAAAGATTCAATTCAACAATGCTCTTTTCTTGGAAAACATGTTGTCCATTCCAAAAAGCGATCATTCTTGCGTAAAAGCATTAGCTTAGAAAAGGTAATAATAGTAAAAAGAAATCAGAAAGAAGAAATTTATTTACTATCAATTGATCACATTCGTTGATGTTTGCTAAAAAGAAAACCGATAATTTATCAAAATGTTAAGATTGGCTGTTTTTTTAGATCGAATGTTTACGCCACTTTTTTTCCTAGTGGATAGGATGTTCTTTTTTGTTATGCCTTATAGCCGTTTTGTGTGACATGTCAAAACAAATGGAGCTATTTTTCTTTGCCTCTTCTCTTAACCATTATTCCCTTTTTTTATTCTTTTTCGTAAAAAGGTGCCGTCATGCTTTTGCTATGCAAACTGAGACTACTAGGACAGTAACGACTTCCTAAAATTTTATGAGACTTTATAGGGGCTTCACTGGTCCTTGTTGGATTCATTTTGTGTCTTTTGAGCATGATCAGTAGTCAAGAAAATACTGAATCGCTTTATTTCTTGAAGCTAGATGACTTATCTCATCAAAGCCTGGCCATCACTTTTGGTCTGTTTAGCTACTGTGTTCAAGAAAACGACAAAATACAACGTTCTGTAAACGATGCTGTTATGACTGTTCCCTTTGGTAAGCTAAATTGTTTTTCTTTAATTTTTATCTCATTCAAATTTTAGAATTTGAGGTGATTCATTTGCTTAATTCAACCTATCCTCAATTGTTTGCCGATCAAAACACCATTGATACTGACCTTAATTCTGGAGGAGAAGAAACAGTACCTCATGATCCCAAGATGTATGCTGCCTTTGTACTCTGTCTTATGTCTTCTGGGACATGTCTTGCTCTAAGCATCTATAAATTTTTGGAAAGAAACAAGGTCCATGGTTACCAGGATATTTATTTTTCTCGAGGGTTTTTAACTCTAAGTGCAGCTCTATTGGCCTTATTGCTGATCACCCTTTCTTCCACCATGTATTAGGAGGCAACTTATCAACTCAATTTGGCTTTTCCTAACTTGAATGCCAGTATAGGCCCATGCATGTCCATGATTGGATGTGCATTCATGGTATTCTCTTTGGTTAGCGTTATTTTGTTAAAGGGGTGTTTCGCCACAACAGAAAGTAGTAATGAAAAATCATTTTATAACCAAGTTTAGAATGCGCCAAGAGAAACTTAATTTATCTAATCTCTTTTTTTTTTAAGCCACTTTTGAATCTAGAAAGTCGCTTGTGCGCCAATTTTGACTAAATGGAAGCAACCTGCTGATCGATAGTATGACAATCAAACATTTTTTTATTATTGAATAAATGATAGTTACCGAAGACAAGGACTTTTTGCATTAGCTTCTTCATCATAACTAGTTTCTGAAGAAGTACTATTTTTACGCTTTTTACCAACAATCGTATTATCGTCGGTATGTGAAGGATTTTGAATTAAGGATCGTAGCACTTTGTTCTATAATACAAGAGTCAGAAAATCTTAGAAAAAAATTAATTATAGTTACCTCAATTTCTAAATCATGAACACGAGACTTGAGAGAAGCGGCTTCTTTTTGTGCCATGGCTCTTAATTGATCAATGTCTCGCTTAAGCTCTTCATTTTCTTGTTGTAGACGTTCTATTTTAGACGCGGCTTCAGTAGGTGGGGAGCCTAAAGGTGGTAATGTAGGTCGTGTGGGAGCAGGTGATGTGTTGCTGTTATTAGAGCGATAAGGTGACCATGGTTGAAAAGCGTGAGGATAATATGGTGCAGGTGATTTATTCTGTTGCGTTGAGGGAGGCGATGATGGCGTGTTTGGTAAACTTTTTGATTGATAAGCAATAGGTGTCAAATTGTTGTTATTGGCAATAGGAAGAGTTGATAAAGCACTTGGTGAAGGCAACAAAGGAGGTTGTGGTGGTGGTTGATGCTGTTGTGGTGGTTGTGATTGTTGTTGTGATGGTGGTGGTGGTTGATGTTGCGGTTGCTGTGATTGTGATTGCTGTTGTGGCGGTGAGGCGCTTGGTGGTGGTGGTTGGTAATCTTTAGGATAGAGGTGTGAAGCAGGATGAGGAATGTGTAATTGAGGAATTACAGGTCGATTGGCTGTTGGCGTAGCGGGAGATGGTATAGGTGTCTTTGTCTCAACAATGGAGGAGGGTACATTCGTAGTGCTGGTATTGTTTGTATTTAACTTGGTATTGTGATTGTTATTAACACGATAAGTGGCGTTACTATTTGGAGCATTTTCTATGTCTTGTTTAACCTGTTGATGTACCGCGCTGCAGGCTGTGCCACCTTCCGCACGACGATGACGATTTAATGCATCTAGTCTTGCAAATGAGCGGAAACAATCTTTACAAACATAAGGACGCTCCCCAGTATGTAACTTTTGGTGGCGCTTAAGATCATGATGTCTTCTGAAGTGATGATTACATACATCACACTATATATGTATGACAACAGTCAATAAAATAAAATAAATTTTTTTCTAATAATAGACATTTACCTGAAAAGGTCGTTCAGACGAATGAGTAGTAAGATGCGATTTCAGGTTATGAGGACGACTGAATGATTGGTGACATTCTGGACATGGAAAAGGTTTTGTTTCTGTTGGTATAGCTATTGGGTTAATTCTTACGGTGTTATTAGGAGTGATGGGTGGCTTGATCACTGAAAATGTACTAAAAGAAGAGGAATTGTTTTGATTTTGGAATTGAGCAAATTCCGAGGCAGGTGTAACGGGTGTTGGTAAATATTCTTTCATTGGTGTTTCTACGTTTACTGGCCTTGAATTATTCAACAGCGTCGATATTTGACCTTTTGCTTCTTTCTGTTGTTCTGGCTTCTTTTGTTCAGTAGTCATGTTGACGAGCAATGGTGTTGATGTCTTTTTTTTTTTTTGAAAGAATGAATAATATAATAAAAAAAGGGATACAAAAAAAAAACTTAAAAAATTCTGAAAAGAAAGAAGGAAAAAAGGAAAAAGAGAGGAGCGAGTAAAAAGAGGCGAGGGATAATAAAATTTTATACGTGATACGAGTAACGTCTTCCTTTTTTTGTCATGATGCCAAGCCATGCGCCACAACAACCTTAATCAATGGCGAATATCTCAAATTATGGTAATAGTGACTGCTATTACTTTTTTTTTTGTGTCCATATGAAGTGCAAGCCATGGCCAGTGGATGCACGCCATTATTGATTACGTATAATTGTCTCCGTCTTAATCTTTGATTAAAAAAAAATTAACCTGTGGCGAGAAGACAAGAGTTACTATAAATCGAAACCATTTTCAGCATTGACGGTTTATAAAAAAGGAAACTAGTGTTCTAGATTATAAGCCTGTGATAGAGCCGCCTTTCTTTTTAGAAAAAAAAAATGATGAAATAAAATATCAAATTGACCGTATTCGCCGCTCAAAAAACTTGTGGCAATTTTAAGTATATTTCAAGCAGGTATGACAGATTCGGGAAATTCCTTATGACCTAAGAGAAGGGAAGGTGAGCGGCACCATAAAGGAAATTAAACCTCAAACTCATAAACATTTTCAGGGAATAAACAGTAAAAAATATAATTAGAAATATGATATTTTTTGAATGCATGTTTATATAATGAAAACAATGTTATAATGTGAATGATATGAGTGTATATATATATATATATATATATATATTAAGTGCATATGAAATGAAAGAGAAAATCATTCAGTTTGAGGCTGTGCAACTCTAACTACTTTTTTGAGTAGGCGAAGTAGGTGACACCATAGAAGTTCTCTTGATATTTGTAGGTTCAATAGAGAAAGATGATTTTCTCTTTTTGCTGTTGTTCTTTTCTTCTTTCTGTTGGAATAGAACAGCAGTAGGTGTTTCAGGGGAAAGCCAAGAAGAAGGAGTAGTTGAACCAGCACTGTTGTCTGTTGTTTTTGTAGTGGGGTATGATGGTTTGGTATATGGGGAATAATGCTTTTCTTGCTGTGATAATCGATAAACATGGTTATTGGTGTCTAAGTTTTCATATGGCAGTGAAGAAGAGGAAGAAGGATAGAGATTATAAGAATGATGGCTTGAAACAGTACTACTAAAGCTACCTCGATTAAGAGAAGGACGAGGATAGTAATAATCATGTGGATTTGTGCTGTTGTTACTATGATTGATGTTGTTATGCAGCAAATACATGTCATTATTTGCTGGCTCTTCAGAATGATTCGTCGATCGAGGCACAGGACTTGCAGATAGATCAGAGTGGCTAGGTCTGTAAAACACTAAAGTTATGTCAGTCAACTATATATGCATATGTTTTCTTACTTTGTTGTTGTTGTGGTTGGAAGTGGTGATGAACCATATTGCTACTATTGTAAGGTCTGTCCCAATGAGCAGAAGGAGTGGTAGGTACGCCAACGGAAGAGGAATAATCTTCCGACACCCGATGGTGAAGGCCAGAAAGAGGTGGTGGTGATGTGGTGTTACACTTGCTGCTGACACCTTCATTTGACGAGTGATTTTGTGCAGTGCACATGTAGATAGAAGGCTCGTCAGCAAATAGAGGGAAGAGTACATCCATAATCTTGAATTTAGAAGCAAGTTCTCTTGCTCGATTAAAGGGAATCCTACCAAATGTTAACCTTTTTGAATAGTAAACATGTATGTAGTTACCAAACACCCTTAAGATGCATCGCGCCTACTTTAACAACGACGCGACCCTTTTCGTTTTTCAAGATACCATCGCGCTTGCCTCTTGACATCCCAACCACGTTGAGAAGCTTAGTACCATTGATCATATCATTATCTATATAAATCAGTAATTTGTTACATGTTTGTTTTTTATTATTGTTACCTTGTCTACGCGCCACACAAACACCTTTGGCATCTACCTGGAAGCAGAGTGTGTTTTCATCTTCCCATAAGTTAGTAGTGACTTTGGGTCGAGGTGAACCCATCATGGGAGCGGAAGAGTAGCCATTGCTATATAGAGGCGGAGTTTGAATTGAGTGATGTGAATGGTTTGACCAATTGCTATAAGGATCAGGTACAGCAGCATCATGCTGATGATGATTATGGTTGCTATGGTGATGATCGTCTAGAAAAGAGGGACGATCGTAGGCATGGTTACTACGGTACATTTGGGTATGATCCACCGTTGCATTTGCAGATGGCAAGTAAGTATAAGGAGGGCTAGAGTAAAAACTGTCCATTGATTTCTAGAGAAAGAGGAAGGGGGTAAAGAAAAGAAAAGAGAGAAAAGAAACAAAAACGTTCTTTTTATTGTAAACAAGGAAATAATCGTTTCAAGCACAAAAAATTATCTCAAGTGGCGGTCACGATGATTGGTTTCCTCAAACAAGGGGGGGTAAAGAGGGCAGTAGTGACAAGAAGTAAAAAAGAAAGAAGAACTCATATATACAATATATACTAACCTGCTTTCTTTATTTGATTGTTGCAAACAAAAAAAATAAAAAATAAACAAAACTTGTGAGTATATATATATATATGTATAAATGAGAACCTGCATTATTTCTTAAGCCCAAGTTATTGATTAGCTAAATATTGTAACAAGAGTCATAAAGAATCTATCTCTCTTTTTTTATTTCTCTCTTTCTCTCCTTTATTTAACCGCCTAATCTTTCTCTTTTTTTTTATGCATAAAAAAAAGGCTATAAAACTTTATTTGGAATATCGTTCCTTTTTATCCCTCTCTTCCATATCGTCGTCTTGAATGAAAACAAAGAGCTCCTCTCGACAAGAGTCCCTCTCCCCCCCCCCTAACTAACAGCAGCACAAGATAAATATATACAAATAAGAAACTTAAAATCTTCTTTTTTTTTCAGGTGATACAACAACAACAACAACAACAAAAAAACTTTGGAGCCTAAAACAAATATCCCTCTCCCCCTCTTTTTTTTAGTTTTTTATAAAGTAACAACTTACCGGGTACTGCCGATCTTAAGAGGCAATACACTCTCTCCTATAGAAGAATAAACAATGAACGAATTTTAAATATATATAAATAAGTAACGTATAGATGTCATTTTTATAATATATGCGCATGTAAGTGTTAAGCTTCACGATCTACAGCGAGTCATTTCTTGTATATACGTATTTGTAAACTATTAAAAGTGTGATACACCTATATTTCTAACTAGTTGCTACGTCCAAACAATCTGATTTAGCCACTTGGTCGAAACCAAAATCCCTTGACGGACTTTGAACCAACCCCTTTAGGACCAAGACATCCATTTTCATGTATTCGACCGAGTAATAAGGGCAACCCATCTCTTTTTTTTTATTTTCTGTACGATAAACAAGAAGTCAAGGGTAATCAAAGAGTACCACTGTGTGGAGCATTTGTTATCAAACATGTAATACCCTTCATTGTGCTTCACTCCTTAAGGCATGAATTAAAAATAAAAAAAGTGGAGGAAAAGTATCACTGGTTGCCCTGAAAATGAAAAAAATGAAATTTCAAATGATCCAATCAAATCATTCATCTTAATTTACGTTTTCGAACCCCGAATTTTTTTGCACGCCTTTCATTCATTTTTCACCTCCTTTTTCCTTTTTTTTTGTAACCATAAAAGAAATGACTATTAGCACACCTCCTACGCAACAAGGCACTCAGACTTCCGAGAAAGAGGAGATATGGTCTACTATTCTAAAAGGCGTTGCTTCGTCTAAAATGGTTCCCAGCAAAAAGATTCTTGTGTTGGGTGAGTTTCATGTATGGTTCGTCATGTACTCTTACTGACATCGTCCTGTTTTTTTTTAGGTGATCCTGGAAGTGGAAAATCAACACTGATTCACTATCTAAAGAACGATCCTGGACCGCAAGCTATTCAAAACGACAATGATGAAGTGCCAACAGCGACCAATGCCCCCTTTAGCATAAGTAGTCGTCCTAATTACATTCCAGTTGACAATCACGACGATGATGACGCTACCAACACTTTAGCTTTGGGCTATAGCTTTATTGATATTCAGGACGAAGATAATGAAGGTAAGACAATAGGACCCAAAACGAAGGAAGGGGTGGCTGACTTGTATTAGCCATTGCACGTTTAGGGGTATATCAATTAGGACTTTCAGCTGCAGAATACATGCCTTTGTTGAAATTCGCATTGAGTACAGAGACACTAGCTGATTCAGCAGTCATTATTGTGTTGGATTGGACGCGTCCTTGGGAGTTTTTAGAGTCATTACAACGTTGGATTGATGTGTTGCAACGTAGAATTGATGAAATTTGTAAAGAAGGGAGTGCAGGAGAGACATGGAGTAGAGGAAAAGCAGTTGTAGACGAATTAAGAGAAAAGGGTAAATATATATCTATTTATCACTGGTTACTGACTCATTCTAGTTGAGCATTATATGCAGACATATACTGAGCCTGTGCCTAATACAGCATTTAATCTTACTGCTTCTACATCTACAGGCTCTGTGCCTTCTACACCTACCGCATTTACTACACCACTTGTTACCACTACGACTTCAGCAGATCAAGTCACTTTACCACTCACACAAGGTGCATTGACAAATAACCTTGGTATACCTTTGATTGTTGTGTGTTGCAAGGTAAGTCAATGAATAATAAACAAATAGCTAAAAACATGACAAGAGTGATGCTCAAATTACACTTGAACAAACGTTGGACTATAAAGATGAACAATTTGATTTTATTCAACAAACACTTCGTTGTGTCTGTATGAAATGTAAGTAATAGATAAAACAAAGAAATTATCCCTTAACATCATCTTTTTTTTTAGATGGTGCTGCCTTATTATATACATCAACACTTCAACCTTACACTTATCATAATTTGCGCCAATACATTATTCATCGACTATTGACAACTTCTACAAAAGCATATCCATTCCAATTAAAGGCACAGGTAGTGGAGCGCGATGCTGTCTTGGTTCCAGCAGGTTGGGATTCGTGGGGTAAATTACGTGTCTTGAGGGAAGGATTTGATTGTGAAGCAGTCCATCAAGGCTGGGATTCAGATATGGATGCTGTAGCAGATCGACAACAGCCTGGTTTCCATGGAGCTCGAGGAAACTATGAAGAAGTGATTGCTGATCCTAACTCTAAAGAACAGGTATACACATGATAAGTATAGATAGCATCTTAATCCTCTTTTAATAGCCTTTGAGTAATATCCCTCCTCCTGTTACTTGTGAAGATGAGCAAGTATTCTTGGAAAGACATTTCGATACTTTACAACATGGTACTGAATTACCAGGCAGAAAGGGAACAGGAGCACCAAGCATAACTAAGCCAAGCGTTGTTGGTCCACTTGGTGTTTCTTCTGCTACTATTGATCTCATGCGCTCAGGGGAAGACCGTAGACTCAAGGACTCGCCTTTAGACGCAATCAAGGTAAGAAAGAAAGAAAAGAAAAAAGAATCTATTCACTTATGATATATCTAGATGGCCTCAAATACCACTAATGTCACATCAAATAAAACAACCACCATGACTGCTCCTTCTACAACACCAGGTACAACCACTTCAGCATTACCATCCATGGATACCAATTTGAATAATCCTATTGGTGGGGTCAATCAACCCGGTGGTCCTTCTCATGAAGTATTGGCCAACTTTTTCCAATCTTTATTGGTCAAAAAGGCTTCATCTTCTTCAGGTGGTGCATCTTCTCCTACAACACTGCTAGGAAACTCTACGTTGGGCTCAAGAGAAGGTTCATCAGAAGACATGACCACCAGTACGAATACAACTGCAACTACAAATACTACAAATACTACCACATCACCATCGTCAGGTACGACAAGAAGACCTACTATTAGTAGAAAGGATGTTCATAAAGAACTAGATCGTATGCGTCAGTACGTAAACAAGCAATAATAATAATAAAAAAAAAAAAAACTGAGCTGTCAAATCATGAAAATTGATGATGTCACATAAAATAGTTCGCCGCTTGTATTTAATATATTTTGATTGGTCAGCTACCAAAACCTCAATATGAGTGGCTGTATTGTTGGGATAGGGGTGTGTAGCAGGGCCATTATTTTACATTTTTTTCCATCTCTCTCTCTTTCCTCCCCACTCTATACATAAAGATGTCCTTGACTCTCAAGTCTCTTGTTCAAAACTCTAAGCTCCTTTCAGGTTTTTTGAAGCCTGTCTCTAAGGCTTATGCTGGTGCTGCCGGCTACAGACAAATCGGTAAACAGAAATGAACATGATGTTGAATTGTTTACTTATATAGAAGCATAGGTCTCCGTTACGACGATTTGATCACTGAAGAAAGCGAAGTTGTTCAAGAAGCTCTTCGTCGTCTTGAGATTGCCGAACCCCGTGAAGCTTACGACCGTGCTTACCGTATTCGTGTCGCTCAACAATGCTCTTTGAGTCATCAACTTTTACCAAAGAACCAATGGGTTACTCCTGCTCAGGTAAAAATTCATTAGAGACGATTTGAACAAACGGACTGATGCATGAATTTATAGGATGTCAGATATCTTCAACCTTATATTGATGAAGTTGCTGCTGAACGTGCTGAACGTGAAGCTTTCGATAACATCAAGGTTGCCGCTCGCCATTAGATTTTCATGTATAACAATCAACATTGACCTTTTTTTTTATTATTATGATTCTTTAATTAAAAAAAAGAAAGAGTATTATTTGTTAGGGCAGTGCGGGAAATGACTATAGTTACGCATGTCATTATTTACATATAGGGGGATACTTATCATGCTATTAGAGATCACTACTTTAAGACGGGGATTTAATTGTTTGAAGGCAAACAATGCAATCCTATGTTGGATCATTCTGGGATAGATAAACCCAAAAATCATTTGAATACAAAGAGCCCTTTATATGAACACAGCAATGAGATGTGAATGCAATAGTTGTTTATGCTCGAAAAAGTATTACTAAAAAAAGTGATTCAGTCTTACAGAATGGAATAGAACAAGGCTACCTTTAAACAACTTGCAACAATCACGTGAGGTTCAAAGTCCGTTATAGTTTGTCTTTTTCTTATTTCTCAACTTGTTTGTTTGTTTTTTCTTTCTCTTTTTTGCTATTTTATCTATATATAAATACGAATAACAAATAACAGAAGAATGAAGATATTAGAACTACCAAATGAAATACTTCAATTGATTTCAGATTATCTACCAAAAAACAGTATGACAAGACTGTGTCTTACGTGCATAAAAGGATATCAATCATTTCTACCCATTTTGTATCGACATATTGAACTAGGCCATCGTACTCAAATAAAGCAGCTGGAAAAAGGTCTTTTGAGGAATGCATATCTGAAAGAAACAGTCAAGACACATACTCAAATTCTTACACTCAAATGTCGACAAGGTGGAAATAGTCACTGGCTGGTTATTTCGCTATTTGAACAATTACCCAATGTGAAGCGACTCTACTTTTGTGATTTCCTTGCATTATCCATCACAAAAGTCCGACAAGTGCTGTGTCTGTTACCTCGCTTAAGCTGTCTTTATTTTCAGTATTGTGATTTAACGACGACAACAACAGCAACAACAATGATCGACTCGTATAGAAATTTGCCGAATTTAAAGGAACTCACTTTATTATGGACTGACTTTTCAACAGAAGCCATTGAGCAGCTGTTGAGCTTTACTCCCCACTTGAACCACATTGTTTTAGGGGCAAACCATAACCGGAGACCATCTGCCAATAATTCAGCACTCCATATGTTGGCTGCAAAGTGCCCTGACATTCACAGTCTATCTATTTCACTACAACAAATCAAGGAAGACTCTCTTTGTCGTGTTATTCAGTTGTATGGACCACAATTAGAGTATCTCTCGATACGATGTGAGGGAAGTAATACCTTGATGTCTATATCCCAACATACAAAACGATTGAAGCACTTGGTCATTCGATGCAGTAATTATACTGGTTATAATAGTGTGATGAATGTATTGCAACACTGCCGATCGTTGACTCATTTAGAAATGGTAAGCTGGCCATTGCATGATGTACCTAGTGTTGTTTTGGAACAAATTCGAGTTCGAGACAAAGGTACTGCAACACAAGCATCGACTATTTCATTTCTAGAGGGCATTAAGAGAACAGTGGCACTAGATAGACAAGACTTGCAAGAAATTCGTCGTTTATGTCTTTATTAACATCCATATTGCCCATTTTATTATTATCTTGCATTACTGCCAACATGCTTACAATACCATTTACACTTCTTTATTAATAAATAAATTTCTTCTTTTTTTTAATTTTGACAAGTATATGCCTTGTTATGACAACCCATTTTTTGGTTCTCTTTTCCTTATATACTTTCTTCTTTTTTTGTAAAGAAGGGTCTCTTTGTAAATCAAAAGAAAAGTCCTGTTTTATGTATATACATATATATGTGCTAATGCTTGTTGAAACAAAATTATTTGAAAGTATAAATACACACTATTGAATTGAATATGTTCTTTCTGCAGGTGCTTTTGCTTTTATTAAGGAAGTATATCTATCTTAAAAAGAAGATAAAAATATGCCTCTCCTTTATTTTTTTTTCTCCTATTTGTAACAATAATGATTCTTGATTTAAGCTCTTTCTTCTTTATGCATAAATGGGATTTGTAAAACGAATGAATTCTCGGAAAGAATATCACGATGTGAGCATGTATGATAATGGAAACTATGCTGCAAGACGTCTGATGAACAATAAGCCAGATAAGCTGTATTCAGTATACCATTGTGATCCAACAAGAGTGGTTTTTATTGTAAGGATTGAAATAGGAGACTGATACTCATTCAATTGCTTGGACTACACCTGGTATAACACTATATGTCTTGATAATGATGTATATTCTCGGTAAAGAAGACACAGCTTAGAAACTTCCAGCAAAAACACACACACACACACACACACATAACGGAGTTTATAAGGATGTTTCAACTTCAGATAGAATGCACAGTGCGAGACTTCTTGTCTTTTTTTTTTTTTTTTTTTGCTCTTTGCTTAGATCTTTATTCACTATGGTAAGCTAGATCGCTGCTCTAAGTTTGTCGCTAACACGCTTTTTTTTTTCTTTAGTCTGTAAGTGCTGTGCTATCACGAAAAAAAAACTAATAATGTGTAGTATTTTTTACCTCACTTAACTAATGGTTGGCAAGTAGACCAAGCTATCTTGTCAGAAGAAGACCGTGTTGTAGTCATTCGATTTGGACACGATTGGGACCCTACTTGTATGCAAATGGATGAAATTCTTTACAGTATTGCTGAAAAAGTAAAGAATTTTGCAGTTATTTATTTGGTAAGTAAAAGAGAAAGGGTATTTTAGTCTAAACGCACCTTATTTAGGTTGATATTACTGAAGTTCCAGATTTCAATAAGGTATATAAATATATATATATTACACACATCTATTTAAATATGCTAAAACTGACTTCAATTTAGATGTACGAATTATATGATCCATGCACAACCATGTTCTTTTTCCGTAACAAGCATATCATGGTTGATTTAGGTACAGGTAACAACAACAAGATCAATTGGGCCCTGGATGATAAGCAAGAAATGATTGATTTGATAGAAGTAAGTGAATTATTTTATTCTTAGTAGTTTATTTAAAGTTGAACTACAGACTGTTTATCGTGGTGCAAGAAAAGGAAGAGGTTTAGTGGTGTCCCTCAAGGATTATTCAACAAAATACCAATACTAGTGTATAAAAGTTTATTATGAATAAAAAGAAAGTTTAAGGAGGAAATAGTAAAAAGAGAAAAAAAAATACAAAGTGACGATAGCAGTAGTGAATACAAATAAATAAGAATTTCACGTTTTATATGTATATATGAAATTGGGTATTTGTGTTTAATGATTTGAAGGCAAGATAGAAATGATACTAATTCTCTTGCTGTTCAATTCTTCTTCTTTTTCCTTTTGTTGTTGTATTAGCAGCTTTTGTCTTCTTAGTTCATCTACTCTCTGTTCGAGTTCTTCCAGTGTTAATGTGTTCTTTTTGAGCTTATGTTCATACCACCTTACAATTTCTTTAGTACGGTTGGTCTTGACCTCTTCCGTGCCGAGATTAATCGTGGTTTCATCTACGGGTGCCCCCAAAGCAAGTCGTTTCCATTCATTTGTCAAGTATTTTTCTTTTAGTCTGTGTGTCTGAACCCCAATTTTAACTTTGGTTAAAGCCCGCGCTAATATGGAATCTTGGGGTTCTTGTGTAGAATGGATGCGTTGCTTGGCTTTTAAGGCGGCTGAGGCAACAGGAATAAGATCGGCTAAAGAGACGGTGCCTCTTCTAGCAAGCTTAATACTTTTTCGCTTTATTTCTTCTATTTCGTCATCACTTGCTGTGGGCGTAGGTGGCAAGTCAAACAAAATGATAGCGTCTTCTTTTGATGGATTTGCGATTTCTAGTTGCTTTATTTGTTGTTCTTTTTCACCTATCAGAGGTACTTGTTCTATTGTATAGGTTGTAGTAGCCATGAATATTTTGATTTAAAAAAAAGAAGCAAAGAAAAGAAAGGAAAAGAAAAGAAAAGAAAATCAAAAAGAGAAAAAAAAAGGTTTATATCTTGAATAGAGAGTTACACTTCTCTTTAAATGTGGATTATTGTAATACCAATAGAACGAAAAAAAATTTTTTTTCTATGTATGCACATAGTAAAGAGTTCATCTAAGATGCATATAACACAGACATCATAACCCTGTTTATAACGTATATTTTTATCACATTCCTTTTGTTTATTTGTTTCTTTTTTTGAGATTTGTATGTACGAACATGGGCTGATTCAACGGCTTGTATCATATGATGATATCCTACAAACTTGCGTGTTCTTTCTCATTACACAATTGATTAAACTATAATCTTTGATCATTCTTCTTTTTTTCTATGATTTACTTACTACATACCTACCAAGTTCAAGCCAATCAAATCAGCTTTGTTTGTTTGAATGATAAAGTCACCATAGCTTGAACCAATAACATGATACATGTATATATTTATAAGCTATAAGGAGAGCTGTACGCATAATGTGATTAGAGAAATAAGGTTTGATTAAAGGGTATTTGATAGAAGGAATCATCCATGTGTAACTTTGTCAAAAAAGATAGAGATCGAGTCATTCTCTTTGATCAAACTTGACTTAAGTCTGTTTGATTGTTCAACTCCAAAATGAAAAAAAAAAAAAAAAAAAAAAAAGTATATTTCGTTTCCTCTTGTTTTGTCAGCAAGCGAAAGATGACAATTTCAAGCAACTATTAGCAGGCTAGGCTTTTGTTTTGTTTTGTTTTTGTCAGTTTGTTAGATTTTGTACTTCTCCTGTTGCTTTTTTAATGTCAATATTTGAATTTAGGGATTAAGTTTCAATGCTGCTAAATATTTATAAAAGAAAAACTAATACTTGTCCTAGCATGACTTGAGTATAGAATCAAAAGCTATCTATACATTCTAGGAACAACTGGATAACATATGTTGCTGAACAATGGATAGACATACATCAGTGTTACACCCTTAATTGAAATTAAAGGAGTTTGTGTGTAAGAATCTCTTTCAAATTAAAGCAATTTTATAAGTGTATACCTCTGGACAATAGCCTGAGGAGCTTTGTCGAACGAAAATTTTTGTTCCTATTGTTGTCCACACTTTTCTATTAGTGAAAAACTCCAAAGGAAATAAAGATTATTTGCAAATAAAAATTGAATATCTTCTTAGCAAAAGCAAAAGATGTCGTCGCCTGCAGGATTTGAACCTGCGCAGGCAGAGCCTATATGATTTCTAGTCATACTCCTTAACCACTCGGACAAAGCGACTTCAGATGTTAGTTGAATTTAAAAAAATTATATATTTATAAAACTAAAACTTCACGTGATAGATAATTTCTCATTGGCTGATATAGCTTACATAATAATACTCATTATTTCATAATCCTTTTGCTCTTTGCAAGGCTAAGGCCCTAACCTAGACGCAATATTTCCTGCGTAAGCCTATCAAAGAAATACGATATACGAATGCTATACAGAACTAAGATATAGAATATTAAACTATTGGTTTTTGACTTTAGAAATGCAAACAAAAGTAATGTATATCAATTAAATTTTGATTTTTATTTGTCTTTTTATATTAGTCGTAGCTAGATAAATCATGTCACAGGAACTGCTTTCAGACATAGATCTAGAGATCCCATACTATGAAACACCTCCTTCATACAAAGAGTTCTTGTCAAACCACTTGATGCTAAACAAGCCGGCCATCATTGGATCTGCTTTGACGCAAGATTGGAAAGCAAGAAAAGAATGGATCATACCAATAACAGAGCCAGTAACTAGCAATACTACACCTCAACCAAAATATAAACCAAATTACCAATACCTAAAACAACGCTTTGGGGCAGCAAAAGGACAAGTTGCTCGATGTGATAGACGTCATTTCACAGATCAAGAAAGAATGATCATGTCTTTTGCAGAATTTGCAGATCTTTGGGAAGCGGCTGATGGAAAACCATCCGTGTACTATCTAAAAGATCTTCATCTCGTGAAACTATTTCCTAAAGATATTGCATATCAAGTTCCTGAAATTTTTGAAGGTAACAATTGTGTAGTTGCTATTTTTTTGACAGTTTTATAGATGACTGGTTGAATGAGTATTGGCTAAAACAAGGCGAGGATGATTATAGATTTACTTACCTAGGTGGTGATTCGACTTTTACACCATTTCATGCAGATGTATATCGATCTTATTCATGGTCAAGTAACATATGCGGGATCAAGAAATGGACTTTGTTTCCACCTGGCCAAGAAGACCTATTTAAAGATAGATTTGGCAATATGATATACGATATTCGAAATGTAGATACAGAGGAATTTCCCAAGTTTAAGCAAGCGCGATGCATAGAAATATATCAAAGAGATGGCGAAACTATCTTTGTACCCTCTGGTTGGTTTCATCAAGTAGAGAACATCGGTGCAGCTATTTCTATCAACCACAATTGGAGCAATGCATGTAACCTAATGATGACATATCAATCAATCAAAAACGATTTAGACGATGTAAAAGCAGCTATTCAAGACATAAAGGAAAGTGTGAGCGAAATGGATTTTATTGTTCAATGCCAGCATTTGTTGCTTGCACACAGTGGATGGAATTGGCATACTTTTTTAAGCATTCTTTGTTCTATAGTAGACCATAGAAGTGATGGTGCACTTAAAGCCAGTCAGCCTGATTTAATATGGCAGCTGGATCAAATAGAGAGGGTTCTAGAGCAATGGGAGAAAGACGAAGAAGAAGATTTGATAAACTATTTACGACATCAAGATGATTTACATAAGAAGTATACAGTACTAAAATCGAGTATTGCAAGCATTCGTTCTACTCATAAATTATCCATTCAACAGTAAAAAGCAGAATAGTAGCATGAAAAAAGTTTTTTTTTTCTTCTGACTTTCATATAAAATGACACTAATTTTAAATGACAGAAATTATAACCAAAATTGTAATTGCCTTTGTATTTTCTTAATACCATGTAGCTACAGTAGAAGTATTGTATAAATTTGTCTATAGAGTCGTTCTAAGATTCTTTTATTATTTTTTTGCCACCTGTATACAAGGCAAAGGAAATGTGTACCTGAAATAAATCAAACTCAGTTTCCGCTTCTCCTTAATTAAAATTGAATGATTGAAACCAACACTCTAATTTATCTATTAACAATCCTCTCTTTTTTTTATTTTGTTTACTTATTCGTCCATATTTTTTTTCGAACTTTCAACCCCTTCTTTCCTTTTCCTCTTTCTTAAATTATCTTTATCGCTTTCATTTTGTTGACCTGTTTCCATGTCTTTCATTTTCTCTACAACAACAGCTAGACTATTCTCAAGAGAAAGTAGTAGAGAAAGAGTGGCAGACTGGATTGGCTCTGGAAAGAGAGCACACCTTATTGGTGAGTGTTATATATATATATCTTTTTTTTTGACAATCGTATTAGACAACACCGATAAGACTACAACAGAACCCGATCATTGGAAAGATGTCCATAAAAATATTAAGCAAATGGATCAATTTTATGACGCAACGTTTCATGCATGGCTGAAATCAGAAGAGAACGTACTCGTTACATCCATTTACCTCCATAGAATTGCAAATGAGTATCCATTAGAACGTATTATCAATGCTTTGGAATGGCTGACAACTGATTGGAGATGGGAGAGTACGAGCATCTTAGTAAGGCATGTTACTGTAGACTGGACATACGATGAAGGTATGACTTGCGTGTATATTGCCTCTTCTTAACCCCCTCCCCCTCTCCTTTTTTTATGTTAGGCGACAAAAAAAGAGCTACACTTTTGCGACAATTAACACACAACTGGGCAACACAATTTATAGCCACACTGATCACAACCATTCTGATATCTTCGCCTTATTCAACAAGTGGCGTTAAGAAACGTGAACGATTCCTTAAGGAATTCACAAAAGACTGGGACTTTTCTAAATTGTCTGAGTTTTTCATGTTTTTGAAAAGTAGAGCGAATATCGACTACAAGTTTAAATGCGCCCTGTTAAAAGAAGCTGCTAGCAGAGACGGTCCTACCAACAAAGCCAGATCAGAACCCGGAAATAATAGCAATAATAATAGCAGTTCAAATCACCATTATCACCATAGAAGAACATCCAGTAATGATTTTAAGGAAATCAAGTTAACTATACTTGATGAAATGGATGGCCATCATCACACGGAAACTTCTTTAGAGAATGAAAGCAATCTTCATGATGAAAAACCAACCACAAATACTACAGCTACAGAAGAAAGTAACGGTCTGCAATTGTTTGGCAATAGATGTTACTCTAGTGCTTATATCAATTCTGCATCATCTACTTCTTCAGCCAGTCTTGGTCCACCTTCATCTACAACCACTAGTTCTTCTTCTCTTTTATACCATCATCATCATACAAACACAAATGGCTGTAGACTAACTGCGCCTAGCAATGGTTCTTCATCTTCTTCATCTAACCATGACATTATACCATCACCTTCAACTTCTTCTTCAGACACTAACAACGATAAAAAGCGACTTACATCAGCCACAAGAATTCATCAAAAGTGATATTAAACACAATAAACAAACAAACATTGTTATGTTGAAGTTCTCAGGGCGTATTTAAAAAAGAAATGTATTCAATGCTTATTTGTCAAATGAGAAAAAGCGGGTCTTTTTGTGTGTGCGTGTTCAGTGCAACACCAATATTCTAAAACATATCTCGAAAGGAAAGTATCATGCATGATCTCTTTAGACGCACTGTTTCTCAAATCACAGAACAAAATCTGTGTTATCATATGTTGTACTTTTAAAAACTATATGCATTTAAGAAGTTTTGTTCTTTATGTGTTTAGGTGCTGTGATACTCCTACCTAAAGGTTCAGTGTAACTCTTCTGAAAAAGTATGTTTCTAGATCTTTGTCCATCAAAGCAAACAAGTCAATTCTTTATGGCTTAGTCGTTTATTAACATTTATGTTTGGGCTTCTTTAACAAGAAAAAGCAAACATCAAGCCAACATGGTTCATTTGTCTTTTGTCAAGTGTCTTTCAAATGTTTTGTCTTATAACCTTGTGATGATAGCAAAATATATATATATATATATAAAGAAGAGTGTTTCAAACTTTATTCTTTTTCTTTCTCTTCTCTTCTTTATCTCATACACAGATTCTTTGCATGTATTTGCTATCACCATCATCATTGCCAAACAAAACAACATTATGGTAGTATAAGTCGATTGTATCCCTAAAAGAAGGTTTATTCAATGGATAGGATGGGCGAACTGGAAAACTGGATGGATGAGTATTACATTCAGAAGCTTTGGTCTAGTTTGAATGCCAATGTCATTGTCAAAGTAATTCGAGACAGAAAAACCTTGTAAGTTTTGTAAGCATACGAATAGAGACCATATGCTGATAAACGCATAGAATGAGTTCTGGTTATGCTTTTGTTGACTTTAGATCTATTTCTGCTGCTCAATGCGCACTCGATATGTTTAATGGGGAATTCATACCCAACACATCATGTATTTTTAAATTAAATTGGGCTTCAGGAGGAGGCATCGTTGATCGCAGGTAAAGTACTCCTGACTATTTCCTCTCATAAGAATCAGAGAAGATAGGCAGCCGGAATACTCATTGTTTCTTGGTGACTTGAGTCCTGAATGTTCAGATCAAACGTTGTGGGTAAGGGAATAACAAAACACAATCATTCAGTATTGAATCATCCCAGAACATTTTTTCTGCTCGCTATCCTTCTTGCAAATCAACAAACATAATGAAAGATTCACATACTGGTATGTCTCGAGGCTATGGGTTTGTACGGTTCCATAGCGCAATAGATCAACAGCAATGTCTTTCAGAAATGCAAGGCTTTATGATTGCCCATCGACCTATTCGGGTATCATTGGCAACGCCAAGAAGGAAGTCAACATGGGAGCATTCCTCTTGTTTTGTACCGCAGCGATCGAACACTACCGTATTTGTTGGAGGACTTTCTTGCCCTATCAGGGAAGATGAATTGGAACAGTATTTTTGTATTTTTGGTGATATTGTCTATGTGAAAATACCTCCGGGAAAGGGTTGTGGATTTGTTCAGTTTGTCTTGAGACAGTCAGCTGAAATGGCTATTGAGCAAATGAACGGCTATCAGATAGGGTCTTCTAGAATACGTCTCTCATGGGGGAAATCACAACAACCTTTTACGACATTGCTTCAACATCCATTCCAAGTAGCCAACAAGAGTCTAAGTTACAATACAGAGCGCTATGGATCTATGCTATTATCTCGTCCATTTTCACCTGTTCATTTGAATCAGTTCTATATCTTAGATAAAGAGACTTATGCTTCTTTTTCATCATTTTAAGTACTAATTATTATTTATTATACCATTTTTTTTATAGTCAATAAAATATTTATGTCTACATGAGCACCTTTTTGAACATGCCTTCGCCAACAATTTGCTCTAAACCTTGACCAAGACATTCATATTTTACAAAATCACGTACTTGTTCCGTCGTCATACCAGCAATTCGCACAAGCACACCTCTTCCCTTCAAGACAGGACTCACTGACCACAGTACCTGACGGTCTTCTTTGGATTTTAGATTAAGAGGCATCAATCGCATCGCCTCTGTCTTTTTCTGTAATGCATCCACAGATGTCTTGAGCGATCCATCTGTATCAGAGGCAATGATAATCAATGTGGCAAAGCAGGTATACGGTTTGAGTCGATCCGCATAAGCAGTTTCGTTTTGTTCTTTTCGCATGAATGCTTCGTCCTCCAGCACCATCGCATCCTTGATCACTAACCGAGATCCAACATGAATATCAATACGACTAGAATAGTGTCGAAACGACCAGTTTTCACCTCGTGCCAATCTACCGCTTGTAAACCAGTCCAAGAGGACCAATTGTGAGCTTTGATCCTTCAGATGAAATTTTTGTCTGGATTGAAAGGATGAGTCTCGGAAACAAGTGACGGGATCAGGTAAGACAAGTAAAACAGCTTTAGGGTCCACGACAGACTGAATAATCTGAACTGAAGGCTGAACGATAGCTGGTTCTTTCCATAGGTTGGTTATAGCATTCGGTATCAAGTCAGAAAATTGAAATTTAGGTTGCTGAGCGCTTAAAGAAGCCAACCATTGTCGTTGATGTTCACGATCCTTAAAGATCTTGGTGCTGCCTTGGGTCATGAGCAACAAGATGGCATTTTCTTTGACTGTCATGTCGATATCGAATGTATCGCCACTAATTACGCCTCCTCCATAACTCAACATATACACAACAGCAAGTCGCTCAGCGTGACCTGTGGTTGGAATGAACTTGAGCGGGTATTGAGCATGAATACGTTCAAATTTTGATTGATCGTGGTAACATTGGCATACGAGAATGCCTTTTCCAGGCTCGTTTTCTGCTGTGGTAGCAAACCGTTTCATCAAAAAACGTAAAAAAAAAAAGCGACAGACGTTGATGTGGATATTTTAAGGGGCCGTATCGTTCCTATTGGTTTTTGCCGTCAATACTCTTATCTTGGAAACACAAACAGTGTGGTACAGTGATAGTTGTATGTATACAAAAAAAAAAGTATGCGAATACGGTATAATTCATACACTGACCCAAGTGTTGGATATTTGTCAAAGCATGCAACCCTCGGGTAAAAAAAAAAAAAAAGGGTCTGAGATACATTATGGATTCCAGTACATCTTTCAAATTAAAAGGACATCTAACTCATTGTGAGTCCCAATTGAGCTTGATCATTCCATACATTCAATAGATGATAAACCTCCTTAGTCTCTCTAAACTTGAATCATGTTTAAAGCCATCAGTCAAACATAGGAGAAGGGAGAAGGGATCAGTCACCAAAATAATTTACCAAATAATTTCAAGATTGTACAGCTTTGTTAGTCAAACAGTACCTGCAAAAAAAACTATAACCTATTTTTTATTTTATTTTATTCTAAGTTCATACAACACTTTAAAGTTTTTAACTGTTTCAAGTAAATAAACTCAAACTTTTCGATTTCTTTTTTTTTGACTAAAAACGTCTTTTGTTCATGTTGAATGGCCTTCCCCCCTTTTCTTTTTCTTTTTCTGGGGAATAGAATGTAAGAATTAATAATGAGTACATAGCAAAATTCCCTAATAAAATTGTACATGATTGACAATAAAAATACTCCTTTTTGATAAACATGCTATAGTGACACAAAATACTTTGAAAAAAGCCCAAAGATATTTTTTTCTCTATCAATTCACAGTATCATTGTAGCTTATGCGATACTTTTATTTAGAATTGAGAATAGATATAAAGTTACTGCCTATCAAAACAAAATACTAAGAAAGAGGGAATTCAAATTACTTATGCACATATCCTTTTTTTATCCCTTATTCGTCCATTCATCAATCAGAATGCGTTTTTGAATAGACATTAGAGAAATCCTTTATTAATTAAATACTACAGCGCATCTTTCATAACGATGTCTCTTGAATGTACTCAAATATATAAAGACAAGGCCGAATTGAATTTTCAAGATTATTCATTCAATTTAGCACAATCAATATGATCAAGATCTTCTCTTTTACTGTTCTCTCTGCTTTTGTCTTTTCTGGTATTCAAGCTGCTTCTTTAGCTGATTTCACTGAAATTGGCCTTGGTGGAAAATGTTCTCTTAGCAGTAAAGTACGATGTGATTCATCTACTGTCTGTCAAAACGGTATCTGTATCTACAGAAGCACTGTCGTTAGTCGCTCGGTCCACTGCGATCAACTCTTGTCTGTACGAGGTTACCATGGACCTGTTCTTTCCGTTGGTAATTACTGCTTTGCTGAAAACAAGTGTGATGGTCTTTACCATGCTCTTACAGTCGACGTTGATCTTCTTAAGGCAGATTCACTTTGTGAACAATACGGTAACTACTGTGTTAAAAAAGACGACTTTTCTGCTCAACAACAACAACAAGAGGCTCCCAAACCATCAGGCTCTACTAAAGGACATGGTCTTATCACTCATCTTTTGGACTGTGGTCTTGGTGACTGTGACAAGCAAGATGAAGCCAACATGGAAGAGCAATCAAACTCTACTAAGGGACATGGTCTTCTCTCTCACCTTTTGGATTGCGGCTCTGATGAATGTGTCAAGCAAGATGCAGCCAGTATGGAAGAAGAGTCTCCCAAACAACAAGAAGAAGAAACTTCCAATCCACCAGGCTCTACTAAGGGACACGGCCTTCTCACTCACCTTTTAGACTGTGATTCTGAATGTGATAAGCAGGATGCAACCAGCATAGAAAAGGAGTCTCTCAAGCAACAAGAAAAGGCTTCCGAGCAACAACAACAACAACAAGAAACTTCCAATCCATCAGGCCCTACTAAGGAACATGATCTTCTCTCTCATCTTTTAGACTGTGACTCTAATGACTGTATCACACAAGATGTAGCTGATTTGAAGGGAGACCTTCTTGACTGTCACTCTGACAATTAGTATACATTTTATTTCATCTCTACTGCATTTATCAATAAACCAAAAAAAAAAAAAATTAAAACTTTTTTTTATCACTTCTCTTTATATTATGGCAGATACAGAAAACATTAGAAAGCTCAACTTATATCTTAATTTCAAGTCGCGTGTTCGTATTCATGATGGAAGAACATTTATTGGTACATTTGTTTGTATAGACAAAGACAAGAATATCATCCTTGCCAACACTGAAGAGTTTAGAGGAGGTAAAAAAAGAAAGAAAGAAAGAGTAATGACAACTAACAGAGTTGTTCTGTAGATGAAAAAAGACTTGTTGGTCTAGTGATGATCCCTGGTAAACATTTGGTTAAAGTTGAAACTGAAGATCTAGAAACTATCGATGCCATGTACACATAAAAAATAGAGAAAGATACCCTTTGTATATTAATAGTATTGTTCAAGAGATTTCCAAGGATCCTGAGTAAAACTTGGTAAATACAAGTCTTCTTTACTGTTTTGGTGTATGTCAACTGTTTCAATATCTCCATTTGGTAGAATATGTTTCCAAGGATCTTGAGTAAAACTTGGTAAATAAAAAGAAGCATATCGTTCTTGTTCAGAAATATATCCATGCTTTGGATAACCACCACGGCGACTCCCTCTGCCTCTATAAGAGCCACGTCCTCTATAAGGCCGAGTTGGTTGATAAGACATAAGCAAAAGAAAGAGACAAAGAGGGAGAGAGAAAAAGAGACATGACTTCATTTTGATTGGATAATATCTTACACACACACACACACACACACACACACAAAAGCATTTTTCTCCTCTCTCTTTTTTTTTTTTCTCTCACAAGTTCATCGTGCTTCTTTTGGTTTATAAATACTCAGTAAAGTATGTATTGATTCCCATTTGGTTTATATCTGATGTGTTATGTCACTCAACGCGCTTCTTTGTAGATAATGGCAGATACAATTGAAGCAGATGTTGATTCCATTATATCGCGACTTTTGGAAGGTAAAGAAGTTATAAAAGAAAAATGATTAAGCAGAGAGAATTAGTCAGAGGAAGTCGTCCCGGTAAACAAGTACAACTGGCAGAACATGAAATTCGATTCTTGTGTCAGAAGGCGCGAGATATATTCATGAGTCAACCTATTCTGTTGGATTTAGAAGCACCCATCAAAGTATGTGGTGATATTCATGGACAATACTATGATCTTTTGAGACTATTTGAATATGGTGGATTCCCTCCAGAAGCCAATTATTTGTTTATGGGTGATTATGTAGACAGAGGAAAGCAATCATTGGAAACAATCTGCTTGTTACTGGCATATAAAATCAAATACCCTGAAAATTTCTTTATTCTTCGTGGTAATCATGAATGTGCCAGTATCAACCGTATATATGGTTTCTATGATGAATGTAAAAGAAGATATAATATCAAACTATGGAAGATATTCACAGACTGCTTTAATTGCTTACCTATTGCTGCTATTATTGACGAAAAGATTATGTGTATGCATGGTGGTCTTTCGCCTGATTTACAGACAATGGAACAGATTCGTAGAGTCATGCGTCCAACAGATGTGCCTGATACAGGTAATATAGAACCTATCTAAGACGGTTGACTGATATCTATACCTAGGCTTATTATGTGATCTTCTTTGGGCTGATCCTGACAAGGATATTACAGGCTGGAGTGAGAATGACCGTGGTGTTTCCTTCACATTTGGTGCAGATATTGTGTCTCGATTCTTACAAAAGCATGATTTAGATCTTATCTGTAGAGCACATCAAGTGGTTGAAGATGGCTATGAATTCTTTGCTAAAAGGCAGTTGGTTACCTTGTTCTCTGCTCCTAATTACTGTGGTGAATTTGATAATGCTGGTGCTATGATGAGTGTTGATGAATCTTTAATGTGTTCATTCCAAGTAAGTTGCCCCTAAGGTAGAAGTGTGTACTAATAGTTTAGATCTTAAAACCTGCTGAAAAACGAGCTAAATACGGTGGTGTCAATAAAGGAGGAGCAAGACCTAAGCAAAAAGCATAATAATAATTATAAATAAATAAATAAATAAATAAATGTAATCCAAGAATGCTTTCTTTTTTTTTAAAGCTATGTTTAAACATATAAAGTCAAATCGTTTTATAGCCATATTAACAGGTATTCAAGTTGTAAGTCAATAGTGTCATATTTAGATGTACTGAATATCTTCAGATAAGGGCGTTATGGAAGATTTGGGATGCTATGGATAGAAAATGGACAGGTAAAGAATATACAATATTGTACCTTATTCACAAATGCTAAGACTCGATTGTTGTACTGATTTCGCCTGCTGTTTATATCAGTTGCCTACTGACTATATTGATTGCTACAACAAGTGTGGTTGTGACATGGAGTGTTTATCATGTATAGATTGATTGTTGAGGTCTATCTTACCTAATACATTTATAGGTTCATATGCCTACACTTAATGTGGGTTGGTGGCTATTTTACTTGTTGACAATCTGTAGTTTCTTGAATGATTGCGTCTATCTTGGTATATCAAGCACAACGAAAGAACAGTTTATTTCAGACTGTATTTCGGATGCTATTGTTGCTTATCATCAAGGCTGTGGTAGTAGTGCAAACACAACTTCATCTTGTCAAAATATAGTGCCTGTGCCTTCTATAAGTGACTGCAAACAATCATGGGCATTTGTGGTTATTCAGTTCAGTATTGTCACTATTCTTGATTTAGTCATCAATGTAAGTGATCGTGTGATTCATGTTGATACTCAATCGTATTAGTTGATATTTGCCTACGTATTGTATCGGTTTAAAACACAATGTCTTTATTAAACTTGCTTTTCTAATGTGTTTAAGAGGGCCAATTCGCATTCACGTACACGCTCTTGAGTAGTGACTTGAGATGTCATAAGATAGACAACATTACCAAGGGGTCTGGCAAACAAATTGACGCCTGTTTCTTCAGTACCATCAAATCCATTCTTAAATGCACCTGAGCGCAAATGCTGAATGATTGATTTACTGACAGAAGAACTATATCCCTTGCTCTGATCATCTTTTAATTCAATAGCCAATACGGAACCCAGTGTCATGACGCTCTCGACATTGTTTAGTCTAGACAATCGATCCACAACTTCAGGAGACCACATAGACCAAATAGAATGTGCTTTCCAATCTTGGCGGAAAGGAGTCCAGCCACTGTTGTTCAATTGATCCAAGCTCTCAATGGACTTTTTGGCCACAGAACAACCCATAGGATGAGCAGTGTAAGAATGGCCATGCAACAAGCAATCTGGTTTATTTTCAGACAAAAAGACATTGTAGATACTTTCTTTTGTGACAGTTAAGGCCAAAGGTAAAAGTCCGCCTGTCAATGTCTTTGCATAAGCGACAATATCTGGTTTCTAAAAATAGAGATGCTTGGGGTCAGGAAAGACAAAAAGTTAAGTCGACTTACCGCTCCAAGAAATTCAGATGCCGATCGACGGCCTAATCTGTACCACCCAGCAAACACTTCATCGAAAATGACGGGTAAACCTTGCCAGCCTTCTTTTCCTTCTTCTTTGCGATCCATACCATAGAGCAATTGAGAACCTTCTTGACGCACAACATCAATTAAGGTACGCTGGAACAAAGGATCCACAAAAATCATACCACCTGCACCCATTAAGACAGGTTCCATCAGCAATGAACCAATACGACGCTTTTGAGCCTTGAGTGTCTTGAGTTCTTGGCGAATGTATTGCTTATAAGTTTCAGCAAGTGTCGCTTGAGTAGTATTCAATTGAAGCGAGTCATGGATAGAGTAGATCGAATTGATTGAGTCGTAAACAACCTTGGTGCTCTTGTCATGATGATGAGAGGCAATCTCGGCTGGTAGTCGGACATAGGCTTGGCCGTGGGAAATATGGACAGAAGGAGGCTTTAGCCAGTGTCCCTTGGGCTCATACCACTGGACTTGTTCATTGTACACATTAGGAGGACAGGCATCCATAGCACCGATCGTATCACCATGGTAACTACCATCAATACCCAACACTTCAACGGGCTCTTTGATACTGAAATCATAGCGTTTAGCAGTAGCACTCATGGCCATTTTCAATGCCACCTCCATGGCTGTGGATCCATTATCAGAAAAGAAGACACGGGAGGCCCATGTGTCCTTCTCCAAGACTTTCTCAGCCAAACCAAGTGCAGGCTCATTGGTCGATTCAGGAAAGATAACATGGCCATAACGACCTGCAGCATGAGCAGCAGCCAGTGTCAATTCAGGGTTTGCATGGCCAAGGCCTTGTGTCCACCAACTAGCACATGAATCAAACATATCTTGAGGAGCACCCGCTTTGTACGTTGTGAAATAGTCTTGATGAGCAGAATCAATCACAGTAACGTCCTTCACAATCTCATGTTGTGTGAATGGCCACCAAAAGATATCTTTGGATTTCTGAGCCATGGTCTCTAGACGGTCAAAGCGTTCTTGGTGTCGAATGTCAAGTTCTTTGATGATGGGCACAAGATATTCGTCGACTTCTGTATAATATTTTTCCATGGAAGCCTTCTCTAGTTCTGGATCCTGGAGCATGGCTGGAGGAGGAGGGATGGTGGCGACCAGTGCTTGATTGATCTTTTGAGCTTGTTTGTCAATCAATATATGGTTTCTATATCTAGGTTGATCGAATAACAAAATAGTAGGCACATCATAACCACGTACATGCAGTGACTCAAGTGAAGTTAATGTGGTAGAGATCCCGCCTAAATTACTATCACCGACCAAAATAGTAGGTAATCTTAAATCTCGATAAAAATCTACCTGGGGCGTACCTGTCAAATATATATATATATATGCATAAATAACTTCACCCCATTCCCCAATCTTTTTTTTTTCGTACCTGACATGACAGGACTATGAATGCCTCCAGCTGTTTCTAAAAAGAAATAGCTACCATTCTTCTTTTGTTGTCGTACATAATCCAACATCTGTTGTTTGACTCGGTCCAAAACTTGTTTATCATGTGGAGGCTTAATTTAAGATTAATCATCAAATGGATAAACCTTTTTTCATCTTACCTTATCAGTGGCAATGTGGGGACTGACTGGGTCTGGATACGCGTACAGTGTGTTGGTTTTTAGTAAAGGAGATGCATTGAATGTCTTAACATGTCTAGTCAACGAGTTGAGTTCATTGTTTCTTGTCTTCTCTTAGTACCTTTCATCACTATCCACAGGATAACCTGTCTGCACAGGCTTCAAATAAAACACGTCACGATTGGATTCTTTTGCAACAATGGCAGCTGCTCTACATAAACCAGTAGCAAAGATTGTCTTCCCTACATTTGTATTAGCTGCAAATATCTGATAAGCTTGAAAAGCCCTTGTTGGAAGAAAAGGTGTTGGCATGTCAAACAGTGAGAAGGACTGGAAAAAGAAGGGTTTTATACTCGGAAATACTCACGATCAGGGCAAAATGAAAAAAAAAAAAAACTGAGATCTAATTTATGTTGCCCCCCAAAACTTTTTATTGTATATAGATAAGATGGATTATAAAACGCGACTCTTTTCTTCCCCCTTTCTTTCTTTTTTCTTAACTTTCTCTCTCTTCCATGTTTGGTCTTCGTTTCTTAAGAACTACTTCAAGACAGTTCAGTACAGCAATTCCTACACGTCTTGCTGCTGTCACTCAAAAAACTACACCTGAAGCTTTGTCAGCAGCTGCCATTCATGCCAATGGACCAATGAGAAATGACTGGACAAGAGAAGAAATCCAAGCTATCTATGATTCACCTCTCATGGAATTGTTATACCATGGTGTTCGTATTTTCTCCTTTTTTTGATTTCGTGTATTGATTTATTTGATGTAGGCCAAAGTCCACCGTGAGAATTTCAACGCCAGAGAAGTGCAACAGTGTACTTTATTATCGATCAAGACAGGTGGTTGTACTGAAGACTGTAAATACTGTCCTCAATCTTCTCGCTACAAGACTTCTGTCAAGGCTCAAAAGATTCTTGATTCTGATGAAATTTTGTATGCTGCCCAAAGAGCTAAAGATGCCGGTAGTACAAGGTAAGTGTTTGTTGGGTTTATGGCCGGCCGATCGGTTCTAATTGGTTGCTTTTTTTCCTTATCGATAGGTTCTGTATGGGTGCTGCTTGGAGAGATTTAGCTGGGCGTAAATCTAACTTTAATAAGATTTTGGACCATGTTAAAGTGATTCGGTAAAGAGGAGATTAATATAAGAGATAGCATTGACTTAGGTTATTAGATCCATGGGAATGGAAGTTTGTTGTACTTTGGGTATGTTGGATGAAGAACAAGCAAAGGCATTGAAAAATGCTGGTTTGACAGCCTACAACCATAACTTGGACACATCTCGTGAATTTTACCCCAAAATCATTACTACCCGTACTTATGATGAGCGTTTGAAGACAATCGACAATGCTCAAAAGGCAGGCATCTCTGTCTGTTCAGGCGGTATTATTGGTTTGGGTGAAAAGGAAGAGGACCGAGTTGGTTTGTTACATACCTTATCTACCTTGGCTTCGCACCCTGAAAGTGTTCCCGTGAACGCTTTATTGGCTGTGGAGGGTACACCTTTAGAAAAGCAAGAACCTGTTTCTGTGTTTGAAATGGTGCGTATGATTGCTACTGCTCGTATCATCATGCCCAAGTCGATGGTTCGTCTTTCTGCTGGACGTGTTCGTTTCTCTGTGCCAGAACAAGCCTTGTGTTTTATGGCTGGTGCCAATTCTATCTTCACAGGTGACAAGTTGTTGACTACACCTAACAATGAGTTCTCTGATGACAAAAAGATGTTTGATATATTGGGTCTTGTTGCTAAGCCTCCAAACTTTGCTCAAGGCTCTGATAGAAAAGAAGCTCCTGTTTACCAAATGCCCAAGTGCTTTAAGGCTAGAAAACAAGAAGAAGAAACTGCATAATTATCATAATAAAATTGACTACGCTTTGACCTTTGAAGTTGGCTTAGTCATGAGCAAGTGTAGAAATTATCAACGTGAGATTTATAATCATATGATTAGGGCAAAAAAAAAGTTTAATAAGTTAATTTCTAATTTCTTTTTTTTTCTCTTTTCTTTATCTTTTCTTAAATCTTTGATTTAGCCCCAACCTTTCATTTTCAATTTTATAAAATCCAAAAAAATCTAAACTCGAATTCATTCGAGAATATATATATCAACAGACATTCCTTTCAATTAATTAACAAGGTACTTTTTCATTATTCATTGCAGGAAACATGGATTGACTTGAAATAGATAAAATACTAATTTAATATGGGTCAATTAATCTCTGGCTTGAATCTCCGTTCAGGTGATGCACTTGTACCTGAACTGAGTTTTGATCTTGAAAGTACATCTTATTATACAAAATAAACTTGTTACCAACATTCTTCTGTTTTCTAGACGCTGTACCTTCGAATCAAGAACTTCAATTGTACAACAGACTGTCTTCCGTCTTGATTAAACCTTGTCCTGCCTTGTTACATTTACTCAAGAGTTACGTACCTGCTTCTAAACAGATCCGAGACGCCATTGCTAAACCTACTCCTGAAAATGAAGCAAGCGCTTGGGATACTGTCTCACTTACAGTTGATATTTTACGTGACATTTATGAATACTCTATCGATCTAAGTAAACAATTGAAGACAAGGCATTATTTACTTATTCTCTTAGGCAATCATTTACCTAAATTATTGAGTGTGCTTTGTGAAGGCGATGTAAATAAAAACCTGGAGAAAAATCAAGGTTTAGCGAGATTGTTTGCTGAACTCTTGGACTTTGTTTTTGAGTTTGATCGTCTTAAGGCAAGTATATATAATGATACATCAAATAAACTAACATATACTTGATAGATGCAAAGTCCAACGTTACAAAACGACTTTTCTTATTATAGACGTATGTTACAAAGAGGACGATACAGCGATAACACAAGCGATCAAAGTATATCTGATTTAAGAAGTGAAATGATTGAAGATGACCAAGCAAATCATATATCCTTATTTATTGCCTATCCTACGCCTATGCTTAAGTGCATTATTGACATCACTGCTGAATTTGTAAGTAAGAATCAATTGCAAAAGAGTGTAGGAGGTTGGCTTGCTGCTTTATGGGCCACTTGTTTCAATACTGTAAGCAAGAAAAAGTGAGTCTTGCGTTTATTTTTGTAACATGCATTAACTTGTATTAGAAATCAAAATCCTGAGATATCTGCATTTTGTATGAAAGTTATGGTGGTCTCCATTATTCTGTATGATCATATTGATCCTAATGGTGCTTTCTATAAACATTCGCCTATCAATGTAAGCATTTTCTTTTGATCAAAAGATGATAATTGACCATTGATTTTATTAGATAAAGAACTCAGTCAAGATAATCCAAACGATCAACAACAATTTAAATGCTTCTAAAGAATGCAATGCTGACAACTTGCTATCAGCATTAAGATACAATTCTAAGCATTTAAATGATGATACCACCCCAAAAAACGTCAGAAACCTGGTACTGGCTACATAGAGAGAGAAATCTATATGTATATTTTCTTGCATCCTATTCATAATGTAAATTTTTGTTTGTATAGCAATAAATCATGAATCCATACCCCCCCTCCTTCTCATATAAATTACAAACAAGTTTTCGTGAAGATCAAGTTCTAAACTAAGGCATGATGGTTTGTTCCAAATATAGTGAAGCTCAGTTTGGCGCGAAGTTTAAATTAAATTAATCAAATGTAATTTTTGGGATTAAACGTTGATCACTCCTAAATATGGACATTTGAAAGTTGCTTTATTGTGTTTCCGAAAAAGCGTACTGCTAGCCAACAAAACTAATATAAGACTAATATTGTTATCAAATAAAATTAATATTGTTAGCTAATAGAAATTGATGACCATAGATAGGAATGTGTGTACACTTTATCCATATTCTTTAACATCGGAAAAAGACGACAGTTCATATAGATATTTAACCTTTTCTTAGGCACATAAAGGTAGCATAAAACCTGCTTGTATGCACATAGAGACTTCAATTACATGTAAACCATGTTATTTAACGTACATGCTGGTTTTGTAGTTGATTTGGATAAAAAAAAGCGACTTGTAAAAAATGGCCATTTTGACCTCAAATCCATAGAGTATTATTCGTGAAAATACTTGGGTTAGCAACTTCTAACCTTCTTTTTGCTCGGCAATGTCCAGGATTCGGCTAAGACATTTCGTCAGTCAGTTCTCTCGTCTGTGATTCCTCCGTTGGCTTTGAGAGCTATTGCAGAGGCACAGTGGAAATTCTTTTGGTCCATGTTACTTACCTCTATTTAACATAATGTGACATACTGGTTTATCTTGAGGTGTATTCCTCATCGCAAGTTCTTGCATTTTATTATGCCTCAAGTGTTCGATTCTCTTCTTTGCCCAGTTTGCATATCTTCAAAAGACTCAACCATCCACTTGTTATTCCACTGTCCAACTAAGAAGAAGGTATGGCAGGAAATAATTTTCGAGTTCCTATGGCCTACCACATACATCTCTAATATCAAAGAGACTCTTCTGTCCTTAGACTTCTCGTACATCTGGTACTGCCAATGGAAAGGAATCAAACCATACAGAATTCTCATAATAACTCTTTCACAAATTTGGCTTGCTCATATGAGATTTATCTTTGACATGACCCCTCATTGTATCCACAGCAATACTGGCAAGCATCCGATCCAATGTTCGTCATACCATTGAAGAGGATCAATGCCATTCACTCCTATAACCTCTACATTGTTTATTTTATTTTAAATTTTACTCTTAGTGTACGCGACTCAATCAATAAACACAATTTAAAAAAATCTTCTTTTTGATTCTACAAGATGAAAAATAGAGCTATCAACAAGCTTAAATACCCAAAATGACCGCTAAAGACTCTATTTATTAATCAAAGTGTCTGCTTGCCTATTATATTATCAAAATGGTATGATAGGAGTGAGAAATCTCATGGTCATTTTTGGGTATTCTTTCAATATTTCAGCAGTAGATTTTTCGTGTTAAAGTGATTGTTGCTCATCGAATAATACCAAAGAAAGCTATGCTGGTGTCCAAGTTGGTATATTAAGCTTTCATGAAAATATAATAACTGCAGATAAATAGATGGAACAGGCTGAAAAACTGTTTGGATGCCAAAAGCAATGAATAGTATTTTTAAAGTTTCCGAAATACTTTGATGCCACTCAAGACGCAGGAAATTAAAGAAACTATGGGTAGGCGCGTTAGTAGAGATTACACAAAGAATACAGCTGAATCAGGTAATACAAAAAACCAGTACGTTCACAATACGAATGAGTATCAAAGGCTTCAGAAAGGGCTGCATCGCCTCGATTACATGCATTCAAAGCTCATTTCATATTGTAATTAGTAAAAAATAAAATAAAATAGGCATTTCTCAGTAGATATTGATTAGCCATTTTACCTGTAATGCATGACAAGCAAAACAGACTATTAAATTTGACACATTGGATACCTAATGGAGCACTTTTGAATATGGTGGGCACCAAAATAAATCTCAATTCATTAAATACATAAATAAGCTAGTTATGATTTATTTTCCTCTAATGAAAAGACCTGCTTTTCTTTAGCATTGATGATCGGGAGAATCTGAAAAAGTTTTGTTTGAAATGATATCTTGATCTAATAGTTGCTCAAAAGACCAAACGTTCGAATTGATCTTGTTTTTGAGAGACCAAAAAGTACCGCCAACACCACTATTTTTATAAACAGAGACTTGGGTATCCATCATTATTTTCAGCCATTCGCTCGAATTAGATACGCCAGAAGCAACAGACCATTCGCCAAAGAATACAGGAAGATGAAAAGACTTGGCTTGGGACTTGGTGTTGCAAATACCTTCAATGATTGATGTCTTATTTTTGTTGGGAGGGAAAGCATAATAAGGATGAAGATCAATGACAGCATTAGCAGAAGCAGTCAGAAAATCTTTCCATGCGTCCAGCCCTTTAAAGGCATCATGGAAAAGCATAGGTACTTTGAAAGAAGAGGACTGAATGATTTTGTACGCTTGTTGATAATAATTTTTGAGCTGTTTAAAATGTGCATCTGTATCGGCGTGTGGTTCATTGGCAGACTCTATGGCTGAGATTCTGCCTTTCAAACTACTCTCTAAACCATTCATCCAGCCCACAACAGCTTGTACTACCTGGAGGCTACGCTTGATATTATAGTCAGAATAAAATCCAATAGGTCCTGAACGACCAGAATGATCGTTTCCGTTTTGTGAACCAGGAAGGCCATGCAAATCAATGATAGCATACATATCATATTTTTTGCAGTAACCAAGAACACGTTGAATTTGTGCTTTTTGACCAGTAAAGATATAAGGCTCGGCTGAATCAGGTTTGATAAAGGCCCAATATCCTACGGGAATACGAACATGATTTACTTTAGCCATTGCCAATTTCTTAAAATCATCTTCAGTGACCCATGTATCCCAATGTTGCTTCAAAATTTTAGCAGGGTCAGAAGCTTGTTGACAAAACGTCCATTCATCCTTCGCTTTAGATGCATATTGCTCAAAGAAGGAAGGATTCATCCACTTTTCCAAGATAAGCCAGTTACCGAGGTTGACTCCCCATGCTTTTGTAGTCCAGTAATTATAAGCAGTACCTGCTCTCTTGTCTAATTGGACATGTGATGCATTGACCACCAAGAAAATACCAGTCAAGGCTATCAACAAGTATGTCCAAGTAATCATAAAAGACAAAGAGATAAGAAAAGAAAGAGAAGAAAAATTTTTGGTTTTCATGTCTATTGTTCAAGGACCTATTTAGGAAAGTACTCGTTCCCCTGAATGTCAAAAAAATTTAAAGGTACACATTTTTGAGACTCGGGCACTAAAATATCGCTTTCAACTCGCCATGTTTAGGACGAGGATTTCGCACACCTAGGCTGCTCTCCTAGAGTGACTTAGCTTCACGATCAACTATCAAGAGTCAAGATATTTTGATGTCTGATGACAATAAAATCATGAGCTTGAGATTTAACATGCTCTTCCTGCTATCTTTACAATATAAACTTCTAATCATCTACTGGTTGGAAACGCTCCTATTCCGGTGCAATTTCTTGACCAAAGTTTGCATAGGTTCAAAAGATTCTTAACCTGCATTTAGAGGCTTCCAGACAGCGTATGCAACTGTCTACTAGTCGGCTTCTGGTATTTTGATGCACACTTTCTATTTTTTCATATGAGAAAAAAATGAAATTCCATTTTCTCTTCTTCAGTTAGAAGAAGGGAAACAATAGAAACTATCAGCTCGGATGAAACCAGAGAACTCATATTGCTTAGACTATTGCCTTGTGATACAACCAGTACGAAAAACTCATTTGCAAATTCTTCTTGCTGTGCCAAACATCTTGACTGTAGGAAAGAAAACACCTAGACTTGGATGACGTTATCACTTCAGATATGAGTGCACCAAAAAAATTTTTTTAAAGTGTTCTATTAATTTCCGGAAATAGTTTACACAAATTGTTTATCGGCTTCGTACTACCTAAATTCTATATGTACCTGAAACAAAGGCTTACTGATTGATCAAGTTTAAGAAAAATACACTCAAGAAGCAACCACGGCACAGGTATATAAATAAGATTATAAATCATTCGGAAAAGAGGGTTTACTGTCTAACAAGGACATGAATTTATCTTGGAATAAGGCATGTACTCAGAAGCCTATTGAGCCAGACGTAGTGATGGATGAAATTATAGTAATGCAATAGTTTATTAAATTAAGAGGGTAAAATTATTTTTCATGCTTGGAAGGTCTAAGCAAATCCATAGCTTCAGCCATCTTAAAGAACAGTTCCCAGTTTTCAAATGTCTTTTTGAAAAGATCAGAACCAGGACCATGGGAATAGATAAATACATCACTCATAGAATGAACACCTTGGGATTCACCATGAGGAAGGTTGCTACTCCATGGAAGACCAGCTCCATTCTTACCAGCAGCATCCTTATGGTTACCAATATAGTCACCGTGGCCATCAGAAGCAGTAGGGTTACGAGGACCAGTGTGTGTCACTTGCCATGCTTCATAATGAGCAGGACCATTGTTAGTACCGGCAGCAAGAGTGATATCTGGTGACCAATTGTCAGGGAAACCATCGCCATTTCTATCAAAGTAACCAGGGAAACCAGCTTGGGCATAGACACCAATGGAGTTACGCATATCACTCTTGTCATCATGAGAACGAATATAGCGTTGATCAACAGAACCCCAGACATCAAAACCATGAGAGTGATCAGCAGTCAATAAAATCAAAGTATCTTCGTATTCGCTGTTCTTCTTGAGCCATTCAATTGTTTTCTTGATAGTAACGTCGAGTTCAATCAACTCAGCAAGTGCTCTAGGGAAATCAAAGGTATGGAGTTGCTTATCCACAGAAGCAGCTTCAGACATCATAAAGAAACCATCTTTACCACCACGTCTCTTCAATACTTCCAAAGCAGCAATTGTCATGTCAGAAAGACCGGGTTGATCAGAACCAAGAGCATCTTTACCACTGTTGTCAGGAGCAGCCTTGTTACCAACAGTGTTGTTAACGTACAAATTTCTTTCAAACCAACTGCCATAAAAAAAAGAGAGTTAGTTTTTTATCAGCTGCTTTAATTAATTCACTTACACATCAAGGTTACCAGTGCGGAAAATACCAAGAAGCTTGGCCTTCTTTCCCTTGTTGGCAAGCAACTGCTTCTTGTTCATAACAACGTTATAACCGGCCTTTTCAAAAGACTTGTAGTAATTGTTATTATGCAAACTCTTGTTACCAGAGAATTGTTCAGCACCAGCACCTAAAAGAACATCCACAATACCTTTAAAGAAAGATTAATGAGCACATGTATAGATAACTCAAACATGACTTACCAGTATCTGTCCAGTTGCCAAAACCGTTCAAGAGTTGGTCAGTAATTTCAGCAAGTGTAGATCTACGACGAGTGTGACTATAGAAGGCAGCAGGAGTAGCATCTTGACTGAAAGCAGTGGAAACAACACCAATAGCCTTGTTGGGTTGACGACGGCGGATCAATTCAGTAATCAATTCAACCTTGGGATCATCAAAAGGGTCTTCAGAGGAGTCAGCATAGACACCTAAACAGTTGACAGAACTCTTGTGACCTGTAGCATAAGCAGAAGCAGAGTTGGCAGAATCAGTCAAGAGACTGTCAACAGAATTGGTAATCACATGACCGAGGTTGTCAAAGTCTTCAAAAGAAAGCAAGCTTTCATATTTACCAGAAGTATGTTTACGAGCCAGGGCACGAGCAGCAGTAATCATACCGATGTTTGTACCATCAGAAATAAACAGAATAACGTTCTTTGCCTTCTTTTTAGGCTTCTTGGGTTCAACAACATGGTATTTGACAGAATAGGACTTTTTGGGACTGTATTGAACCTTAATTTCGTATTCACCGGATTCGATAAGCTTGATTCTTCTCCAAGCACGAGAGGCAACAGCAACTTCAATAGGCTTGTTGGTTTTGTTAAGGACAGAAGCATATTGGGTATCAATGGAATCGATCCAATCAAAGGTCCAGTTCTCAATTTTAGGTTGCTTCTTGAGCTTAAAGTAGTCATTGATATCGTACCATTTACCATTGCCTTTACGGATAGTAGTCTTGAATTCCTTGTAAGGAGCAGGTGTAGGCTTGGAGGTGTCTTTGTCATAAGCATGGAGTTCAACTCTCAAGTCAAAATAGGCACCAGGGATAAATGTAGAACTATCATCATACGAGTTAAAACTATATAGATGATTAGCACAAGACTTACACATCGGGAGGGAAAATACAGGCATGAGGATCAGGACAAGCACCAAGACGAGGGAATTGACCTTCAGGATCAGCAGGTCTAGAAGAAGAGATATGAGTTCTGCTAACTGCCAAGACAGAAGAAGCAGCAGTAGCCAAAGAAATGACTGTGAATGCTAAACCTCTCATTGCAAGTAAATTAAATGGAAGGAGAGATGGTAAAGAATAAAACAAAACAAAAAAAAACAAAGGAGAATTTTAATGCTTTTATACACACTTTGAAAGAACCTTCTTAATCATAAAGTTTGTACGCATTTAACGTCTTACTTTCATACATGTATTCATCTTCATATATTTTACTCGCTATCGACCAAAAGCCGAAGCACGTTGACACAGCCATGTCGGACAGTAATTTGACTTGATTACACGAAGACGGTTACATTATGTTGATTCCAAATCTATCGTAATTTACCATCTTTGAAAATATCTGTTAATAAAAAAAAAGAAGAAAAAAAAGCATCGCTAGATATAATCCATGTTAAATGAAAAGCGAGAAAAAAGGGGGAATAGGGGCTTCATGCATGTTCCTTTTATTTAAGAGCTTCAAAACATTGAGGAATCATCGTTAATTGTTGTTTACCAGGTATTTACAAACGATACGCACGTGATGAGTGTATTGGTCGAGATCTATAGAGAAAAGAATGTAAAATATTTGTTAGACAAGTTTGTGATACTGTCAAAGAAAATGTGTTTGCAACTTGAAGATACGCTAATGCAAACAAGGCATAGCAAAAACTACAATTCCCAACTCCTCCTTTATTTTTTTTTTCTACTCGACATTTTTAATATGCAATTTACCTGGTAAATCTGTTATCAGATGGTAGAGCAACAATCGCCATATTTTAGCTTCAGCCACCGGATGGACCATCTTAGACCCACGTGCGATAGCAATAGTGATCATCTTGTTTTCTGTCTATATATTAAAGTTGACACTATTATTTTAGCAGACTAGAATGGCTGGTAGATTTATCTAGACTTCTTTATGTAACTTAGACTCTCCCTAGAAATTGCCCGCTTTTCTTTTTTCTTTTCTTTTTTTTGATTAAAATCAAAAGTCAATGAACGATGTCTTATGGGCTCGGACAACGTAAGGGTTTTGTCAATTGAGCAACATCTCTTTTTAGATAATCAAAGTGTGGCCTACTTTATTTGAACAAAACCTTTGTGAATAAAGAAGAACAAGCAAAAAGGAGTTCACGGGTACGATCTTACTAACCTTGAACTCCTTTGGCAATAGGTGACACATACCACACTCGAAGAAAAAAAAAAAAAGAACTATCTTGATACACTGAGAAAATTAAACAGAGTTTCTTTGGAATTACTGAATTGTCATTAGACACAACTAGATGGTTGCATAAATTCAGATGTTACAGACATGTCTTTTCTGGAGTATATTTGACTTTAGACCTATTTTATATGGTGTCACTGTTCTATTGAAGTTTGGTTTTATACCTAGTACAACAAAAGATTAAATGCCAAATGATTTTTTCTTCTTTATGTTCCTTAAGACTACAATGCAATGGAAAGTCCCAAGAAGCAATCAATAATTTGAAGAAAACAAGAGTTACAAGAAATTTAAATTGATAGAATCTATGAATATCATTTCGATCATTGCACAACTATCTCTAGGCAATGTTACTATGGAAACATGGGGATATACTGATGAGATTAGATCACAAAGGCTTAAGTGCAGATGCTTTAATCAAATGACTCTGGATACTATGGACGAAACCATGCAAAATGACAAGATCAAAAAAAAATGAACGATATCAAACAAAAACTAGCAAGACTTGTTCAATATCAACCCAAACAAGAAAAGTAAAGTCATTTTGGATTTTCACGACTCAATCAAATGTTTTTCTCGGTGAAAAGTGTTCCTACAGCAATATTTCAAAAGAAACAGAGAGAACTAGCTTCTTGATAGGCCAATAAAATAAAGGCGGAATCATAATCATAAAAAGATAGTTTATTTTTTTTTCTGTCTTTTTTTTTTTTTTCGCTCTTTTTTCTATTTCAACTATGGCTGTAGAGACAAGATATTACGAGATCCTTGAGGTCTCTGTTGACGCTACAGACAATGAAATCAAAAAGGTAAAATATTCTCTATTGTTATTGACTTGAACTCACACATATATAGGCTTATAGAAAGCTGGTACCATTTTTATTTTTTTTTTAAAAAAAACAAGGCTTAGTTTATATTAACCTTGTCTATAGGCCATGAAATATCACCCTGATAAAAACCCTGACGAAGGTGAACGTGTAAGTAGTATACATGCATAAACAGTTATATTGATTTATTTTATCAGTTTAAAGAAATTTCTCATGCCTACGAGATCTTGTCTGATCCTGAAGCCCGTGCTAATTATGATCAATTCGGTGAAGACGGACCAGGTGCAGGTGGAGGATTTGGTGGCATGTCTGCTGATGATTTGTTTGCTAATTTGTTTGGTGGAGGTGGAGGTGGAGGTGGAGGATTTGATTTTGGTGGTGGAGGAGACTTTTACTACGGCTCAGGTTCAATGCCTCGTCGTCCTCGTAAAGGTGAAAGCATGAAATATCCTCTTAATGTCAGTCTGGAAGATCTCTATCTTGGTAAACGTACTAAGCTAGCCTTGGAGAAAAATGTCATTTGTTCCAACTGTGAAGGGTAAAAGTGCTTTGTATAGGTGTCTATATGCTGATATTTCTTATTAGTAAGGGCGGCAAGACAGGTGCTACCAAGAAATGTAATGCTTGTAAGGGTCGTGGTTTCCAAGTAGCCATGCGTCAAGTAGGCATGGGCATGATTCAACAAATGCAAGTACCTTGTCAAGAATGTGATCATACAGGTGAAATTGCCAAGGATCGCTGTAAGAAATGTAAAGGCAAAAAAGTCACTGTTGAGAAGAAGTTCCTTGAAGTCTTTGTTGAAAAGGGTATGATGGATGGACAAAAGATTGCCATGAAAGGAGAAGGTGATCAAGAGGTAAAGAACAAGTTTATGATGCATATACTGATCTTTTTCTAGCCTGGTGTTGAACCTGGAGATGTGATCCTTGTATTGAGCCAGAAACAACATGCTGTATTTACACGCAAGGGCAATGATTTACTCTGTAAAGTGAAGGTCACTTTGACAGAAGCTCTTTGTGGATTCGACAAGGTGGTTGTGACACATTTAGATGGCCGTGGTATTCAAGTCAAACATCCTGCAGGCAAAGTCATTCGACCCGGTACTGTGAAACGTATTCCTCATGAAGGTATGCCTACCTATAAACGCCCTGATAGTCGTGGTGATTTGTTCATTGAGTTTGATGTTGAATTTCCCTCGGACGATTTTGCTACTTCTCAACAACTGGCTAGTTTGGAATCCTTGTTGCCTAAACGCCCTCAAACAACTGTTCAACAAGAGATTGTGGATGAATGTAGTTTAATGGATGCTAGTATGGAAGCCTTTGGTGCTCATCAACAATCTCGTCATGCTTATGATGAAGATGAAAGTGATGATGAACAAGAAGCTGGTGGTGGTGTTCGTTGTGCTCAACAATAATATATATATATATATAGATTTACCCTTTCAATGTTTATGTATAAAAAAAAAAAAGACAATTTATTTTATTTTATTTTTCTAATAATCTTCGTCTTCTTCTTCATCATCATCATCAAATGGATCTAATTGATTCGAGTAATTTTGACGCACAGGTGAAGGAGATCGAGAATTGTTTCTTTGTGTCCTTGCTCTTTGGGCTTGAAGTCTTTTTTGTCGATTTACTTCTTCACATGCATCAATCCAAGCAGAATAAACATCCACTGGTTCATCCAAGTCTATATGTAGAATAAGTATACATATACAGAATAGAGCAAAGCTTACATGTGATCGTAGTTTGCCAGTTGACATCACATATTTTACAAGTCAAGATACCCACTTTGTTTTGTTGATCACTATAGAACATTCAGTATACACGTCTTCTTGTTGTTGTACTTACATTTTACAATCAATACTGTTTTCATGATTACAAAAGAGACAGTTGAAAGTTGTGTCAAGCTTCTCTTTAAGTTTCTTTTGAGGCTTTCTATTTGACTTTCTTTTACCCTATACGAGTATGATTAAATATATAATGGGTAGGATGCAACTTACCATGATGCTAAAAGAGAGAAAAGAAACAAAGAAAAAAAAAAGTAAATTTTAGGCTCATTTAAATCATAGCGTGTTTTGAAAAGACCTGTTTTTTCTCTTTATGTCTGATTTTAAGGGTTTTGTATTTCAAGATCCAAATAAACAAGACCAAGTATCTGAACTCACTCTCCAATTCAGCCATATATCAACAGAAAATGAGAGTACGCGTTTAAATGCTTTTCATCAGCAGCGATCGCCTTTAGCTCATCGATCTCGGGAAGAAACACAAGAAAAAAGAATACAAAAGGCACTTGAATTACAAAAACAGGTATAGCATCATTGGACATTGAGTACATGACTTATAGATAATAGCAACGTCAAATATCTATAGACAAAGCAAGACAATTGGCATTGGGCGATACGAATGATTCGGACGATGAGGAGGAAGACGAAGAAGACGAAGAACATATTGCTCAATTGCATAAAAGATCAAGAGATGAAGATGAAGAAATGGAAGAAACAAGCACAACTAAACTATTTAAAAAGAACATATACAAGAAGAAAAACAACAGCAACAAAAAGAAAAGAATATTTACGCGTAAGTAAATGATCTTTAAACGATAGATTAACCTTATGCTAGTGACCAAATCATGTACGCTGAATACTTTGAGATGATGCCTTCTGATCTATTTCAGGATTGGGTCATGATGATCTGTCCAGTAGGAAAGCGATGCCTTGTCACTTCAGGAGGAGGACAAACGATTGCTCGATCAAGAAGAGGTCATTTACTCAACCGCTTCCAGTCTGTCCTACCGAATGGCTCAAGCTCAAATCGTAGTTCTGATTTCTGCATTTTGGATTGTGTTTATGATGCTGTTCATTGGACATTCTATGTGTTGGATGTCATGTGTTGGCGTGGATACCCTATTTATGATTGTGATACGAATTTCAGACACTTTTGGCTGCAGACACGCATTGGCCCTCATGAGTTTGATAGACCTGATTATCATAACCAATTCTATAAGTTTAAACCATTGAAGCCTGTCTTGACAACTGAACTAGCTGCTGTAGTCCATGATCCTGAGGGTTACTTGAAGCAGCAACATGATGATGACTATCCTATTGATGGACTTTTGTTTTATCATCAGCAAGCTCGTTATCAAGGCGGTAGTACACCACTTGTGGGTTGGGTGCCTCGAGATAGCATGTCAAATCTTTCTGTACAATAAAACGATTGTATTCATACCTCTTTTTATAGTACATGACTGATAAACAATTGGTTTTAATGAGTAAATAGGGCACGAATTTAATAAATACACCTTGGGTATCGCTAGGGCTACTACTTTATATACATTCAAGATTAGATCTAAACAGAAACTAGTATCCAAAGTCTTCACAGTGAAGATAAACATTAGAAGATTTGTAGAAAGCCACCGTATTTTTAAAAGATGCGTTAAAGCTAGCAGGACCACATACTATACAAAAGTGAGAGATTAGAAGCAAGCTATATAACAGTAAAAAAAAAAAAGACAATGCTTACCAAAAGCACCAATATCATTTTCAACAGACAAACAAGATGAAGCGTCAATACGTTGACCTTGAATCAACTTGATTTCTTTCTTGGAATAAGGTTTAGATGCATCTGTCTTGGGTTCTTGATCTAATTCGACAATTTCATTCATAGAACCTACTGTTACCTTGGCTGAAGATGCATGTGTAGCCACTGTGGGGGCATTACTTTCATAAGTAGCGTCTTTTGAGGTAATATGGAGCTGAATATGCAAGTTAGGAAACTGTTCATGCGTTTCATAGATGCAATGGATCTGTTCTAATTCTTCACGGAACCACTCTAGTTCAAGAGGACGACGTACAGACCAGCTGAAATAGATGTCTTTGGCTTTCCAATGGTTCAATAAAGAGGCCTCACTTGAATCGTTTTCAAGCGACATGACAAGTGTGTCTGTCAATTCACGCAACAGACGCATACCAAAAGTGACACCAGCACCACCACAAGCAATGACAACAGAGGTATGAGACTGAAGCACGTCTACGGGTCCGATCGACTGACTGCCAAAAGGACCGCTCACAAACACACTCAGTTCTTGGTTAGGATCGACCTTGTCATAGAGCGTACGAGTAAAGTTACCACGGGCGATGACACAGACTTCAATGGAGTTTTGATGAACCAAGTTGGTTTGTTGTACGCTTGTGATGGTAAAAGGGTGCCATTGAAATGGCGAAAGAGCAGGAATACATAAATTAATGTGTTGGCCAATATGATGTGTCTTCATAGGACTGCCAAGACGAATCGACAGCTTAGTGCAACCCTCAGGTAGGATTTCACATCGAGCATGGCCAACAAAGGTCTTGACAAACCACACTGCAATAAAGTTAAGGATATAGCATACAAGGCCTGCAAGGAAATAACGCATGGCATAGGGTGTATGGACAGCAATAGCACCAATAAAGCCAACACCAAGCACATGTGTACCCAAAAACAATTCATAGCTAAACACGCGGACAGGTAAAAGACTGCCCAACACAACCACACACAGACAAGCATAGCCACCAAGACCATATTGGACCTTGGAAAGCTGAAGTTCAGATTGCATAAAACTCGGAAATTTCGACCATGCATAAAGCATACAGGCCATATGGACAGTAGCGCACAAAATTAATGCGAAACCTAAAATACGGTGGAGGAAATTCATCTTGATGCTTGAAATCCCGGTTAAAAAGGAGAAGGCAGAATTCTTTCCGGTTGAAGACAATAAGAAGGGAACAATAGCCAAGGCTAAAAAGCCTGCTCTGTTTGAGTTAACAGCAAGGTCTACGTTCAATAACAAGAGTGGCAAGACGGCAGAAAGAAGGGCCAAGGTGATTAAGACTGCACCTAAAGGAGGACATGCCCTGAATGGTGCAAATGAAAATGTGTTGATAATTCTGTTTTCTGTTTTTCTGTAAGTCAGTGCGAGGGGTGACAGTAAAGAATGAACAAACCGAAGGTGAGGTGTCGAGCGAATAAGTGTATAAACATAAACAGAAATGTGTCGAACAATAAGGAATGCAAGAATTGACATAATAATCGTAATTAGTTTGTTTGAATACGGCTCATTTATGTTGTAAGGAGTATCCTGTGAGCCCATGTCCATGTCCATGTCCATTTTTGTGTGTGTGTGTGTGTGTGTGTGTGTTGTTATAAAGAATAAAAAAAAAGATGGGTTTCAGGCAGACGACAAGCATTTATATTTGTCGGCAGTACAGTAATGGACTGCTTTTAACTTGTCTATCGCCCAATCGTTTTTGAGAAATAAGCTAAAATCTCGCATTGTTTTGAGTAACAGTAAACAGAAACGTACTTTTTGGTTCCGAATGACCGATATAGTTTTTCCATATCAACATGTCGCGTTTTGAATCTTCACTTGTCGCTTCATTGTAAGCCATGAATGTTCCTTGCTTGACCATTCGTATTAGCTCAGTATACATTACAGCAGCTTTGCGCATCCATAGCTTATACTCTCAGCTAATTAAAAGCACACGAGAGATATAATGAGGTTTCGCCTGACAGAGGGACCTTTAATATGGATTTACCAACGCATTGATTTATTTGAATCCGAATTTAGGCGATGAAGTCTTTTTTTTTAATGAAATGAAAACGTAGATACAACTCTGAGTACAATTCTAGAGACATATTACATAACAGTATTAACTTTGTGGCTTTGGACTCCTTGCAAAAACGCTTTTTGAGCTAATCGTGATACTTCGTTTATACCAAAGTAAATAAAAAAAGGGGTGTATATGCTTAATTTTAGCAAAAAAAAAAAAAAAAAAAAAGTGCCTGATGGTTGGTAGCTTCGATAAACAAGGACATGCCTCGCAGTAATCACGATATCGAGACTCAAACATACATAGGTTATTACTACTAAATAACATTTGATTCCATTTGGCACACTACGCATTTAATATGCATTTGATCCTCAATTTATACGTTTTCCGAGTATCAGACTTATTGTATGATCTTACAATTCATTTTGAACAGAATTGATAAGCATAGTAACATCAAAAGTGCAGACGTGAATGTTTTTTCAAAATAAACCATTATTTCTGCCTTCTGATTCCCTTTCTTTGAGTTTCCTATGTTTGAGTGTACATCAAAAAACATATTGATGTAAAAATAGAGCAAGTCTTGAAAAAGTCGAAAAATCGTCAATAGATACCCTTTACGAAATCATCACTTTTCACTATTTTGCGATTGGTGATCGATGCAGGCATTATTGATACAACATGTCTTAATACGAATTGTTTCTCTAAGCTTATAAAACACCTTCAAAGTGTTAGATCTACAAAAGTACTATAAAAAGTGTGCACCTAGCTCAAAAACGAAAAACACACTTTTTCGCGGATAGCTCAGAATTTTACTAGCAAAGACACTATGTTCTTTACATCATTAGCTTACCTTAGTTTAATGTCTAGTAATTTTTTTAATATAGAGTGTTGATATCTCTTCACTTTAAATACTTTTAGTCCATCATTTCTCTTGAATTTCTAAATTTCTTCATTTTAATTTCGAGATGAGAATACTCATTTAGAAGACACTCCATTTATATCAAGATTTAAAGCATATTAACTTTTTTTTATTTCGTTCTATAATGCTCTTTCTTGTTAGCGGTTAAACAGAAGACACAATAAATCTCTATTCATCACATCAAAATGGCAAAACAAGCAAATTTTTGGAGAATTGAATGACTTACAGCATTTTACTACTACTGTCATATAGTACACTCTAATAGAAGACATAGTCAGTCTAGTAAAGAGCTATAATTGTGGGCGACTATTGATTAAACTGAAAACTAAGAAGGAAAGGCATAATCCACTATATGCGAGTATGTAATCATTTGGACCACATTGATTGATAAACATCAATGAAGCCATGATGACATTCATATTGGTTTCACTAACTTGAAAGCGTTCTTTGTGCCTTGAACATATCTCAGTCTTTAAAATCATGAGAGAAGAACCATTGGGTTAATTGAGGGATACCAACTATTTTTGACTTATTCTTATCAATGTACTCTCAGACTTGCTTTCCAAATTATCAAGTATTTTAATAACATCATTAACAAAACATCATGAATGGACAACTACTCCTCATTTATCAAAAAGAAGAAATGCTCATGTCCTCTTATAGTTTTTTCTAAAGAATCTCTATAAAACTAGACTTTTGAATTTATTGATTGCATTCGGGGGGTTTCTTGTATTGTAAATTCTTCTTTTAAATGATCCTATCCTGTTTGATTCATTAACATCATTGACACTCACAACATAGTTGTACCAAATGCTCGGTTATCAAACTCTTGGCTCTTGTTATTGGACTAAAAAAAAAACCTCCTTTTCATACTATCCAATCAATTGACTAGACAAGGTTAAGAAGTGACACCATTTCATTTCCTATATGAATCCCTTTTTTTTTATTTTATTTTTTCTCTTTTTTTGTATTACAAAAATAATGAAGCTTTTTATTGTTTTTATACTTGCTTTTATGCAAGTGGCATTTGCTCATTTTGAACTGCTTTATCCACCTACGCGTGGATTCAATGAAGATACAGAATCAACAACACCTTGTGGTGGTGCTAACACAGTCGGCAACCGTACTCAAATGCCTTTGTCGAATGCTTTTGTCCAAATTTATTCCTCTCATCCTGTTTATCAGTATGGAATTTACATTGTGGCCAAAAACAATCCTTCTGCTGCTGACTTCAATACAAACTTGACTACCATTGGAAGTGGAGGTCGTAATTATCCTGAAGCTGCTTGTTTACCTTTGAATCTCAATTTGGATCCTGGTATTACAGCTGGTACAAATGCTACTCTTCAAGTGCAATACAATGGTGGCGACAGTATTCTATATCAGGTATACTTAATATGGTTATCATCTGACTCTATTCACATCTCATGTAGTGCACAGACGTAACGTTTACAGATGCTCCTTCTGATTGGAACGCCAGTGCATGTGTGAATGCCAGTTCCAATAACAATGCTACCAATGCTATTTCTGCTGCCACTCATCCGTTCTCTCTATCTAGTATATGGACGCTTTTCTTAATAGCTAGTATTTCATTATTTAATCATTAAAGACATCATCTGTAACAAACTTTGTTTGATTTTTATTCAATCTATGTAAGTAGAAGGTGAGAGAAAGAGAGAGAGAGGGATTACAAGCGTGTGTATATATGGAATATGCATATAAAATAAAAGGAAAAAAAAAAGAAAGGTTATATTTAAGAAGCACCAGCAACAGCCAACCTATTTTATCATGAGTTCATCAATCATAAACATATCACTTACTTTTTCAAGTGGGCCATAAAGACTTGCAAGCTGACATCATCAGTCAAGACAACAGCACCATCAGTAGCACTATAAGGACTGCCAGAGGTATGTGTGGTAGAGGGATTTAATTTAGAGAGCAAGAAACGAGCTTGAGATCCACCTTGATCACACACAATGTAACGAGGAACAGGGAATCTTTCCATCAATAAGTCTTGAGCATCCAAGACAGGTGCTTCCAAAAGTTGCTTGAAGTTTTCATAGCCTTCTTGGTCTTGATAACCAGCTTCACGCCATTGTGCAACAGTAGAACCATGGAAGATCAAAATATGGAAGAAAGTATCCAACAATAAGATAGCATCTGCCTTGATAGAAACAGAATCCAACAAGACAGGTTGAGGTGCACTATCAAAGCTGTATGATGTCAGAGTAGGTTGAATCATGATAAGAGAAGAATCGACATTTTCACGGTTCAATGTGTGGCGATAAAAGGCAGTTTCATCAGGCGAATTGTTAAAGACTTGCAAGAATTGAGAACGTCTTAAATGGAACATGAATTGAGGGTAAATAGAAAAGTTTTCAGACAGTCTGAAGGAATGAGGATCGTCTTTACGGTAATCAGCAAAGCGTTGACAGAGACGAATCAACATACGGTCCAACCAGCGCAACACATCAGGTCCATCGTCAATTTCACCCTTAAAGACAGCAATACGCGACATCAAGACAGCAGAAGTTTCTTGGTCAAATGAATTGGCAATCTCAGGGCTTTGTCCTTCAGCAAAGTTACGAGCAACCGTAGTGACACGAAGACGGAATTGACCACTTGAATGTTGATAGTGAGTAACGAATTGGATCAGACCACGAGAACCAGGCTGGAAAGGAGCAGAGGGTTGATTGACCACTTCAAAATAGACAGCATTGGTTGTCTCATGGTTTAATGAACACATCTTCCAGGCAGAAGTATTGCCAATACCAATCTCAGTTTCACCTACATAGGCAGTCTTCTTGTTGGCAGAGACAGCATGGCCAATAAGACCACAGACCTTTAATTCACGTGTGGTCTGAACATCCATAGTGGCATTAAAGCCCATTTGTAAATGGCCTTGGCTATCCTTTTGAAAGATACGTTGGAAACTTTGCTTAAAGATGGCTGTGTTGAAAGAATCAGCCAAGATCATAAAACCACCTGTACTGTTGACCATCGATCTCATTTCTAACAAACCAATTTGATCAAGACAGCCAGCAAAAATATCAATGGTATGGCCATTTTGAGCTGCTCTTTTAGCGAGTGCATCATAAAACTAGATATGATATGAGTATATAATAATAATAATAAAAACATATAGGAAAAAAAGAACTTACTTTGGTGGCCTTTTTGTAATGCTTTGCAGATTCCTTTTCAATATCATGATGGGAACGAATAGGTTCTCTTAATTCGTTACTGACAACCATACCAGGTCCTTCAGAGGCAGCACCACCAGAGAAGAGCATCATACGAGCACCTGTGTTGGGGAATGTGGTCTCCAAGAGACCAACAGCAACACTCATGGCAACACCTGTGCATCTTTCAGGACGCTTATCATCAGCCACGGGCCAAGGATCACGTTGTAAGTTTTCCAAGATAGAGGTCAAGACAAACTCACAATCCTTGACTGGAAGCAAGAATCTATGAAGCATAAGAGATCAGTATCTAGACAGAGTAAATTGATGTTACCTGTTAGCAGCCATGGTCATTTGAGGTGGTTGACCGGGACGATTGGGATGTTGTCCAGGTACAGGGCGAGCAAGATTGTTGGTTAAACCCAACATTTCTTGGATTTGCTTTGCAGCATATTCCTTTGTACCACGGAAAACAAATGACTTGGGGCAATCAGAAAAGCCCAATTCATGGACTTGGGTCTATAGAAAAGACAGCATCAATAACATCATCTCTCCTGCATAGCTACACCTACCATGGTACCAAAGGTGATCAAACCCACCCAGGCATATTCAGGCAACAAACTTAAGCTGACAATCAAAGATTCCTTCAGTGCCTTTAAATCTTCTTCTTCAAGACAGGTATCGACGATGAATAAAAAGATAGGTGGGATTTGAGCAACACGGTTCAAGTTGTATTCAATCGTGGTGTATTTAGGCAAAAGTTCAGCAGGAAGATTGGTGTTTGAGATATCCTTATAATGAGGTGGAAGCGCGTTTCTTTGAAGACAGAAGGGACAAATCCAGAGCTTACCACGCACGTCGATTTGACTAAACAAAATGAGTATGGCCATCGTGTTGTTTTTGTTATTTTACCAGTAAGGATTCAAGATGGCTCGGCAGGGAGCTTTACAGGTAACAGGCTCATACCAGATGGGGCTTTCAATAAAGTCTTCACGTTCCTTTAAAGGTGTATAGAGACAAGCAATAGGAACAACAGCCTTTGTGGCTTCAGTACGTGAAGATGGCCAAGCATTCCAAGAGAAACGAATACCGTCCTGCTAGAGTTAGTTTTTATGTAGGAATAAATTGGCAGCTTACTTGTTCTTCAATTTCGTCAAAGTTCATCTTGTTTAATACAGAAAGAGAAAGAAAAAAGCGTAAAAAAGAGAGGAGTTACAAAAAATTAAAAACGCGGTCTCTTAATACAGAATGTTATTATTTGGCTCAATCGAAACAGAGAACGTATTTGAATTGCATTGTTCTCTCATTTCCTGTTATCGCCAGAGTAGTACTTTGTCTCTTTTTTTGATTGACGTCATGCTTTTTTTTTTTTTTCTATTAAGCTTTTTTTTTTAAAAAAAGAAAAGTGATACAAGACAACTTGAGAAGAATTTGCCCGTATTTGGAAGTGTGTTTTTGCTATTGTTGTTTTTAATGCAAGACAGACTTTATATTTTGTTTTGTTTTGTTTTTTTCTCTCTTTTTCATAAGCTATGGAAGATTACGAAACAACCACGACTACAGGTAGAATGATCGATTTCAAGTAATTTTGAAAAAAAAAGAAAAGAGAATAGATATGAAATATTAAAATTCTTTATTTTGTATTAGATTTACAAGGTCTATACAATGATATCGAACATTTGATAGGTAAAAAAAAAAAAAAAGAACATAAATTTGTAGTCAAGTAGCTTGACATATCAAGCTATAGATGTTCCCTTTGACCAGTTTACAAAAGATGTTGAACAAAAGATTCCTGAAGAAACACCTCAAGAGAATTATGCTTTTGAACGCCCCATTTTGATTGAAAGTGATAATGATGATATTGAAGAAGAGTAAGCGACCTAACTCAATCCAGCTCACTGACTGTGCTTTGTATAGACTATGGACGCCAGATCAAGCACACTATGCTATGTCTACATGTTATCGATGCAATAAACCCATACCCTCACTTCAATCGTCTAGTCTACAATTAGTAGCTTCAGAATTGAATGTAGCTAACATATGTGCAGACTGTTTAAACAGAAAACGAACAAGATCCAGATCATTTACATTGGATGGAAACAATGTGTTGACTCAGTTTGCTGATAAACTAAAGCAATCCTTTGGCAGTAATAGTCTCTTGTCTCCTTCAAAGACAGTTAATCGTCGAAAGAGTATGCCTTCCATGAACTCCACTTTTACTGAGCAATCGCTGGATGTTCCTAGTCCAACACCCTCTCGACCGAGCAGTCGAGCTTCTTCATTTATTGAAGATGTTAAACAGTTTCTATCGCCTCTTTCTCGAAAATCAAGTCGAAATTCATTATATCAAGACTATCAAGATCAAACACCAGATGGTCCCAAAAAAAAGACGAGCCATAGCTCATTGTTTGATGCTATCAATCTATGCAAACCCAAACAGAAACAAAACACGACGCCTTCTTATGAACGACGTATCATTGGTCTATTGGAAGACGATACGACATGGGCTCAAGAAGACAGTGAAGTATTCGGTATTCATCAAAAACAATACCATCAACAAAACCAGGATCCACTTGTCAGTAATACTTATATACCCCTTCGACGTAAACAGATCAAACAAATTGAGTCAAGACAAGAAAGAATGAATGTTTATAGTAAGTACATTCAACCATACATCAAATCCAACACATGACTTTAGATAATGCCTACATCGAATGCATGGAATTACAAACAGACCTTGTGCCTTGGATTATTAAGCAAACACAAAAGGGCCCACCCGATGCTTGGTTTGGTTATGTTCCTCCTCCAAGAGAACCAAAGAAATTCATGGGTCTCTTTAAGCGTAAATCAAAACAAGTGGATGGAAACAACCTTCGAGCGCAGCAGCTTCAGTTGGGTGATGAGCTATTAAGTAGAACAACACCTTTGTTAAACCGTCAATACAGCAATAGTCAACTCTCAGTATCTCCTGGTGCACAATCTCCTTTATATGATCTACAAGCAGATTTTGCTACTTCGCCTGTGAGTCAACAGCCAGATATAGAAGATGAGTCTATCCATTCACCCTACAAGCCAGATCCAATTCAGCCAGTATCCATCTTGAAAAAGAAACCTTCAAGCAGACACGTCTATCCCCAAGAGAACAGTTTTGAAGACTATGGACCAGAAGAAATAGAAGACATGTATCATGAAGCTCCTTATAATCAACAAAAGCCACACAGACCAACGCATGCTGTGGAAGACTACTATTACCACCATGAGAATGTCAGAGGGAGAAAACACAGCGGCAGCTATAGAATGGCTGAACAAGAGCATGTTAACCCACCAAGAAGAAGGCAAAGTTATCGTTCTCTAGAACAAGACCATCGTCCAGTGTACGAAAAAGAAAGTCGCTATTACCGTGAACCACACAGATCAAGTAGAAGAAGAAGAGATAGTTTTTATGAGCACTATGATCATGAAGAAGAAGTTCCTTATGATTACTTTGATTTGCCAGCGCATCCTGTTCGTCCACCTTCAAGCAGAAGGGTCTCTCCTGCTAGAAACTATGCTTCCAGACTTGATTATTATAGCTCAGCAGCCAAACAAAACCCTTACATGATGGAGGAATGGGAAGCCACATTGGATGATTTATGCGACTTGTTTCCTCGAATGGACCGTCATTATATCAATGAATTCCTCATGTCTGCTCAAGGCGATTTTTTTATTGCCAAAAGTATGATTATGGAAATGATTATGAAGATGCCTTAAAAGAAAGAATGATGTAACATGAGAAAAATAAAATTTATCATTTTTTTCACATACGTTATTTTATGTCTTTTACTGAAAAACAAGTCTTGCTGTCCATTGAAAATCATGTTGCTACACTGACATTAAATCGTCCTCAAAAGGGAAATGCACTGACTGGGGAAATGAATGCACTTTTGTTGGAGTATTTACAACAGATCGAAAAAGACAAGCAAATTCGTGTGGTGGTGCTTACAGGAGCCGGCAAATTCTTTTGTACGGGCATGGATTTATCTCAAGCCAATGCGTCTCAGGGCAATATCAAGCGCTCGTTTGACCAGGGCATTCAAGTATTTGAATATTTCTATCGGTTTCCTAAACCTATTATTGCACGCATCAATGGTCCTTGTCTTGGTGGTGGCATGGGACTCGTGTTTACGTCGGATATTCGTGTCGCCCATCAGGATGCTTATTTTGCCTTGACTGAAGTAAAGCGTGGTATTATTCCTGCTATTATTTCCCAGTACATTGTGCCTGAATTAGGACCACAAAAAGCACGTGAGTACATGTTGACTGGGAGAAAGGTCAGCATGAAAGAAGCATTACCTTATTTGAGCACAATAGTGACAGATATGAACCAATTGGATCAACAGGTGTCCATGTATACAGGCATGTTGTTATCTTCTGCACCAAATGCCATGACCAATATCAAACAATTAGTGGACACTATCCAAAAAGGTGCTGACCTAAAAAGACCTGGTCGTATTCGGGACAGTGTACAAGAAGCTTATATTAACATGATGCAATCAGAAGAAGCAGCTTATGGTATTAAGGCCTTTGTATCAAAAAAGAAAGCAGATTGGTCTGCTTTTATCAACTCCAATGCAAAATTGTAAGTCACTAAACAAATAAATCACATTTGCATGAATTTCCTTTTTTCCTTTTTTTTCTTTTCTTTTTATTTTTGGTTCTACTTTGTTTCTCTTTACGATGCATCCTTCGGATTTTGGTTCTTCTAGGCAGCCTAGAACAACACCTTCTAATATGGATCCAAACAAACCACTTGATAGTAAGTTCATGTCATAATAAATTACATGGTCTTATTTCCTTATATAGTAAATAGACTAAGTACTTGGTATGAAGACTCTGAAGAGTATGAAGGTAATCTTGAAGAAATGGCCACTGCTAACCTAGATCAGGTAAAATATATCCTTCCCAAAAAAAAAAAAAGTCCCGAGCTTACACTAGTATAGTCTTTTCAAGACGAATTACAACATGTCAACCAATGGTTTGGCTTTTTGACAGATGCAGAGAAAACTGCAGCACTTTATACCTTATTACAACATTCATCCCAGGTACAGATCAGATTTTTCATTCATATGTTACAAGACATGAGAAGACCAAATCCATTAACTCGAGGTTTGTGTACTACTTGAACAAAATGACATTTAACCCTTACTATAAAAAAAAGGTTCCGAAAGAGCATCTAATATCATGAACTTGAGCAATAGAAGGTTATCTTCTATCAACCAACAACAAAGCCGAGTGATGAATAACAGACATTCGTTTGCATTGGGTGATACACAAGAACTAAGTCGTATTTTTGGTTCTATGGGATCAAGCTGGCTCAATACAGACGAAGCCCATGCTTTACCCCCGAGACCTACCACAAGTGTATCGAGAACACCTAGTCATTTACGCCCAAAATCTGTCATGGAACTTGGAGGCACATCATCATTTTCTAACTCTTGGCTAAATCAACGTCAGCCCAACATGTTTACTACACCAGAAATTCAACCTGCTATTGAACGACCTCGCTCGGCTGATATTTCATCATGGAATCTACCTTCTTCCTCTTCATCACAACCACCTTGGAAGCCATTAGGTAATCAGCATGACATTGATTTCCAACCACAATGGAGAGACAATCCTGTCATTCAACACTCACAACCCGCCACTCATTTCCCAACTTTGGACGATACAAAAAAACAAGCCATGCCAACAAGACAGACGAATTATGGACAGTATTTAGCAGCGCCCAAAGCCATGCGTTCCACGTCTATAGATAACAATGATGGGCTTTTAGGATACGGGAGTGATCCTGGTGATTCTTCCCGATATCGATCAACACCTGCTGCCAATATTTCGCTACATGGGAAGCCTAAATCAGCGCATGAAGAAGTAGTGGATATAGAGCTATTAAAAGGTACAATTCACAACGTCGGTTGTTTCTCATAAGATAAAATAGATGTTCCTGCTTGGTTCAGAAGTATGCGCTTACATAAATACAACAATATATTTGAGAAAATGAAATGGCAAGATATTGTTAAATTAAATGATCAAGAACTTCAAGAAAAAGGTGTAGCTGCTCTGGGCGCAAGACGAAAGATGCTTAAAGTATTTGAAAGTATAAGAGACTATTGTCGAGCGCATGTAAGTCTCTTTTTGTGTATATGTCTATACTAAAGAGCCTTTGTTAGCAAATTGACTATTAAAAGAATATAGATTGAACATGTACAAGATCCAATTTATTTTAAAATTCTACAATTTTTTTTCTCAATAAAGAAAAGCATCATAAGCGAATTTATTTCTTGCCAGCAGCAGCGAGAGCGGCTTCAGTACCCTTCTTAGCGAAACGCTGGTTACGGAGGAACTTGGCATCCAACTAGAAGCGATATCAGCACCTTATCATCACACTTAATTTTATGACTTACACTCTTTTGAGATCGGTACTTGTGAGTAGCGGGCTTCTTGATACCGTTACGGTGAGCCTTCTTGTCTTAAAAGAGAAGTTCAGCCTGACGCACATATATGTATTATGTTCACTTACTTTGGTTGTGGTTGGTGTGGTTCTTTGACTTGGCCATCGCGATCTATGAGCTTGTTTATATCAATATTGGGCTGTTTATTTGACGCGACACAAGGAATGAAAAAAAGCAGAGAAGGTGACATCCGAAAATATCCATCCATTCCCCATCCTCATTTGATCCGTATTCTTTCTTTTTTAATCGATCATATGAATGGTTGTAATCATACTCGTTTCTAAATGCTTCCCTTCTCTGCCTCCCTGTGGTGATGATGATGGATTACCTTTTGTCGAGAGTTAAAGAAGGATCCACTCTACTGTCAAGCGATCATGCTAATTTAGTATGCACACAATGAATCTACCGGACAATAGTACCGGAGTTTTCTGTTCCGGTAAATATATGGATTAACCGAGTCGCACCTTTTATCTTGTTCTTGTCAAATGTATATGTAATCAACCCGCATTGATAACTATTTGCTCTTTGGTTCCAAAGAGTTATCAAAATAACACACTGACAGAATCTTTAATTCTTAACAAGGAACATATATAAAAAAAAATAGGTCAACATTTAGTCGATTGACATGGCTGTTAAAGTATATATATATATATATATCATGTACATTTTATTTTACTTTTAATGACAACCTCGATAGCCTAATATACACCATTCGATTGGAATAACACCAAGATCTGGATGAGCCAGGTCTTTAAATACTTGTGGCGTCATATCCAAAGAACCTATGATATGTAAGGAATAAGGGCGTTCAAGCACAATTGATTGTTACCTTCTTTACACCCAGGGCAGCAATCTGTCACCGTACAAGTAGTGCTTTTGCCTCCATATTTGACTCGTAATTGAATGAAGCACCAAGGGCTTTTCTTGGATGCTTTTCCATACTGCTTGATGTTCATGGCGCAAATACGGCTGTGATCACTGGCTTTTGGGCCACAAGCACCAATTGCGCCGCCTTCTGTCACAGGATGAAAAAAAGTGCCTGTGCCTTTAAATATGTTGCCTATAAGATTGACCACGCGAGCCACACCACGCTTCACGTATACATTGTCCGGCTTTTGAACTGCTGTAGACGTCGAGACAAGAGTAAGCATAAAGAACAATGCTAAATATCGGAAATTCATGGCCAAGAAATAAAGAAGAAAAAAAAAGGTTGAGAGGTCAAGCTTTTATACATGTTTCAGTTTTACTCTTTTTTTTTTCTATCGTTATAGAAAACGGAACCATATTGTTTTATTTTTAGTAAAAGGAGATATCTAACGTGTATAAAAAAAAGGAAAAAAAAATCTTGTCAGGAGAGTATGTCGAGGCCAAGAAATGAATTGGTCGTATGTCAATTTGCCTTGTTTAATTATCTATAGTAATACTCTGAATAGAGTCAAAATAGCATGAATGGTAGTATGGATTTATTCCATCATGCAATGGCTTAAAGATTAGCCACTGGTATTGTATGTACTAATAACAAAGGAGTCTCCTAAAACAATAATTATATCTTGAATATACTCAAGTTAGATAATGAGCGACACTTTGAAACTGGTTTTTTTCTTTTTCTTCATTTGAAATTCAAGTACTAGACAATCCTACAACCTATTTTCCCCCTATTTTTCTTCCTGATGCAAATATCTCCTCGTTTACACATCCCATGCTGTTCAATTTATTTTGCTTAGAAGAAAAAAAAAAGCACACAGCACCTACATGTTGCTAGTTATTTTGTCCTGACAGCATTTCTGGAGTGCTATTGAGCCAAATTTATCTGGACATTAAAGATTTAATGATTTAGGTAGAGCATTAAAGGAAAGCATTCTTTTCTATTCCTGTTTAGTCAAAAGGATTGACTTCAAGTTTGATTGTGTTGTTGATCTAATGCAAGGGTTGAGATTGGATGGCCATAATATCAGTCGATGAAATGCTAGGTCTGCTTCGATAGTTCCACAAATGCCTCGAGAAAAGGCAAAGTTGGTTTCTATAGCTTCTTATTTTGAATACAAAGGGCTGTTGTAACCTGATATAAAGCCTAGAAACACAGGAAAACACGTCTATATTTACTCGCTCAATTAGGACCTTTTCAGCAGATTTCATTATGCTCTCTCCAGTGGATTTGTTTCTACTAAACAGCAAATCCTATTGTCTTGCTAAAGTCTCTATTCTATGCTGAAATTATTTAATTATGCATTGCCTTAAGACTCATCATATTTGTTGCTGCACATTACATTTAATAGATATAAAATCGATTAGAAAGAAAAAAAATCTAAACTCAATCTTCTAATACAATCAGTTACACAAACCTATGTATAGAAATTAAAATAGTGCAAGTGAGGTTCGAACTCACGCCTCCGAAGAGACCAGGGCCTAAACCTGGCACGTTAGACCACTCCGTCATTGCACTATAAACTGACTGTCATGTGTGCATGTTTGTTTTGGTTCGCTTCTTCGTTCTCTTTCGCGGTTTTTCTGGTGATTCTATTATGTTAACAAATCTTCAAATTGGAATGGTGCATGTCTCTGATGTTCCTTAAAGTACATACAAAGTTTGGTGTGATTTGGTCTAGGTCTGATGGTACAATGGTGTTCCAAAGATTTCAGCCAATGGTTCTGTCTTCTGTCAGACCCAATCAGATTCGAGTCAAAACTACTGATCGGTGTGTCAATTGTTGGGTCTGGGTCTCAATTGTTGTACTTTTTTTTGGTTCCTTATTTGTCCTACTTCTTCCGTATTTTGTTTCATGATATGTTGCTGTGATTTAATTGTGTATTTTATTTTGTTTTATTTTGTTTATTGTATTTGACAGTTCATCTCAGTTTGAATCTGTTGAATTTTATAATTTAATTGTATTAATTGTTCTCCTGTTTGACATTTCAAACGTAATTGCTTTTTGGGCAAGTTTGATCTGTTCTAGATTAATGACAAGCAATTGTCTTTGTAGAAATTTATTCTAAAGAAAGTATAAAAGCTTAAAGAACTTTAGAAGGAATAAAAAATATCAAGAAATTAATCTTAAAAATCGAATTTTTTTTATAAATTTTATTTTACATATATCTTCATTGTCTTTTGAAGGAACTGTGCCTAAGGTTATAATCTCTCTATTTGTGTCTATCTCTCTATAATTACAATAGTCTTTACAGTCTTCTGTTGTTAATTATTGGTTTATCTCTTTTATTTGTTGGTCTCGTCGTTCAAGGTAAACACAAAGGGAAAAAGAGGGAGTTGTCAAGTGGTCCGGCCTACCAGATCATATATGTGTTCTAACATGTATTATTACTCAAGTTATATTATGTCTATTAAAGAAGCAAACTCAAGTACTAAACGTGGTGTTGGTATGAGGTTCATGAATGAGCCTAGAGAGTTCTCTGGTGAAGGTGATGGTAATTCTGCTTTGGTTTGGGTCAATCGTATGCAAAGGTTGAAGGTCTCAGGAGGTTTGAGTGATGAAGAAATGTTGTTCGTCGCTAGTGACAAGCTTGTTGGTAAAGCAGAGACTTGGTTCAACGTGGTTGGTGCAAATACAGTTACCTGGGATGCCTTCGTGAGTGCTTTTAAGAAGCAATATTTGTATGATCAAGAGGATAAGTTTTGGAGTCAAGTACAAGGTCTTAGACAAGGTGCTGAATACCCTTCAGTGGATGATGTTGCACTCAAGATGCAAGAGTTGTTCATGCTTTTAGACAACAAATCGCAGAGTTTGCAAGTGCGTACGTTTCTTAACGCTATTAAACCCAACATTGCTTTTGAGGTGGAAAAAGAAGGTGCACCAGTGACTTTTGAAGAGGCGAAAGTAAAGGCTATGCAGATTGAGCGTAGTTTGGTCAAGTACGCAAGTACTATTGGTTTTGAGCCCGTGGAGACTGTAGTCCCTAAGTTTCCTGTGTCTGCTCCTTCGGTTGCAAGTGGTTCTGTATCGGATGCTGCTTCTATGTCCAGTATGTTCTCTTTGGTGGACAAGTTAGAAAGGTTGAGCATTAATTTGGTAAACTTAACTAACAGTGTGGCTCAAAATGGTACTCGTGGTAATACTGGTGGTGTCGCTTCTGTTCGTCGTAATTTGGTCTGCTTTTACTGCAATAAAGAAGGACATAAGAAGCCTGAGTGTCCGGAGTTCTTGCAAAAGAACAATTTTGGGTCTGGGGTTGCAAGTGGTAGTAATGCTATACCCATTGGTAATGGGTCTTCAAACTTTTCTGGTGAAAGCCAGGGAAAAGAGAAGGAGTACCGATCTTAAAGGAGGTGATTGGTACTCGTAGTAATGGTGAAAATCCTCTAAAGAAAAATGACAAGTCGGTGAACTTGGTTGATACCCTGAATGACAACGGTGTTAACGAGATTTACGGTGTGAAGAGACCTGTGTCTGCTGTGCCAGTTGATACGCCGAATAAGCGGGGTAATAAGGGTAAAGCGGTGGATCAAGGTGATGTAGTCATGACTATGCCGGTTCCAGTTGGTAATGGTGCTTTTGTTCCTGCAGTTGATGGTATTGCTGCTCCTGTTAGGGGTGAAAATGTTTTTCCTCCGGTTGTTGGTGGTGCTGGTCCTGTGGTCAAGTCCAGGAAAAAGCGGTCAAAACCTCGTAGGTTACCTGTCAAGACTAATACCTTGAATGTTTGGGACACTTTGAGGAGTTTAGACGCTGGTCTTTCAATGTTGGATTGGTTAGCTATCGACCAAAGTGCTGCTAGGGATGTTAGTGATGGTCTGAAAGACTTGAGGCTGCAGCGACCAAAGAGGGCAAAGAGACATTTAGCTGCTGCGGTAGAAAGAATGAATGTTGGTGCTAGAATTAATGTAGTGGATAATGACTCGTCAAGTGATTCTGCTGGTTATGATTCTGGAGATTCTGGTATGTCTGGTTATGGTTCTGATGTTTCTTTGAACTCGGAGTTGGTGATGGTATCTGATGAAGCGGATTTGGCTTTGAGTGAAACAGAGTCGGTGTATAGATATCCATACAATTTGAATCGAATGAAGGTCAGCTCTCCTTTGCGTGGTGTGGTGACTATCAATGGTAATGCTGTTGAGGCTATCTTTGACACTGGGGCAAGTGTGTCGGTGATCTCTAAAGGATTGGTTGATGCTTTGGGTTTAGTACCGAATGGTGATAGTTTGCATTTGGTTGGGTTCAATAATAAGAAGGCGCCAAGCAAGAGCAATGTGGTCATGGATGTACCAATCTCTGTAGCTGGTAAGGTGCGACCGGATCATATGTGTGTACAAGACGAAGGTGACAAGAATGACAAGCTCTGTTTGCTCGGTGTTCCTTGGTTTCAAGCATATGGTATTGAAATTAATTTGTCTGAGTCTACTATTCGTATACCGTCTACAAGTGGGATGGTGAAGTTGCAGTGTTACACCACTCATTTGCCTGTGTCTTCAAGCAAGGTGTATCATGTTGAGGCTTCGCAAAATATACAGAGACGTTTGAAGAAGGCTTGGGTCCTATTGGCGTTGAAGGTGAATCCAGGTCTAGTGGGTTTAATGGTGGTAATGTAACTGATGGTGTTGATCCATTATTGATGCCTGTTGTTGAAGAATTCAAACACTGTTTCTCTGAGGTGACTGGTTTGACGAAGATCAAGGGGTATCAAATGGACATTCATTTGAAAGAAGGTTGGGAACCAGTAACAAGTAGGCCTTTTCGTTTGGGGTGGCATGAGCAAGAAATCATGGACAACTATGTTGAGGAAATGCTAGCTCTAGATTTAATTGAACCAAGTGAAGGACTGTTTGCGTCTCCTGCTTTCCTGGTGGATAAGCACTCTGGTGAGAAGCGTGCTGTGATTGATTATCGAAAATTGAATAAGA